CTATTGTCAAATGAAATCTATTCAAAATGTTTTCAAGTAAATTCTAAAAACAAGAGTAAAGGAAAATAAGTAAAGTTTTCTAAAAGAAATCGTTTTGTAGGGGTTTAAATAATAGCAAGATTGAAGTAGATCTTCGGGATCCAGATTTAAGTCTTTTAAAGTACTTAGTTCTATCCAGAAGCTAAGCCTAAATCTGGTCTTTTTTTAAAACAACTCCTTTTCATGAAAAGCAGGCAAGACTCGGATACTGTAGTGAGACTTTTTAAAATATTTAATGGCTTATTAAAGGTTCTCTAGATGTAGAGCTATTGAACTAATCGGTTTAAATAATAGTAAAATTGAAGTAGATCTTCGGGATCCAGATTTAAGTCTTTTAAAGTACTTAGTTCTATCCAGAAGCTAAGCCTAAACCTGGCCTTTTTTTAAAACAACTCCTTTTCATGAAAAGCAGACAAGACTGGCATACTGTAGTGAGACTTTTTAAAGTATTTAATGGCTTATTTAATGGCTTATTATTGGCTTAAAGTTTCTCTAGATGTAGAGCTGCTGAACTAATCGGTAAGCTGATCTCTTAACCTCATTTTTCAAGTGTCCTAATTGAAGAACCAATCAACATCAATGAAACAAATAAAGCGGAAAAATTTTTTAGATGAAAGTGAATCCATTTTCGTGTTCGGTAATCACTTGAAATCTACGCAATCTGTAGAAATTGAGAGGGGAAAAAGAGAAATGAGAATTGATTTCTTGCTCCTTCTTACTTCAAGATCACTTCAGCAATTTTGTGTACATTGGCTAATGAAGTGGGACAACGTATGAGAGGAAACCCTCTTGAAAATCAAAGAAATACGGTATAGTTTATTCGTTTTCTGAAAATCTCTGATCTTCTCTGGTTTGTAAGCTAAAAGATTTGAGATCGAGAGACTTTATTTTGCTTTAAATTTCAATTGTTCAATTTAAAGCGAAAAGAAGTCTCTCTACAGTATGCCAGTCTCTCTACAGTAGGTTTTAAAGCTATAAGAAAACTCTTCTTATCACTTTAAAACCTTTAAAAAGAGTAAAAGACAATCAAAAGACAATCACAGACAATTAAAAGACAATCAAAAGCCTTACCGCCTTTTAGACATCTTTAAAACCCCATCAAATTGTTGAGTCTAGTTTTGATTGCTTTTTGGTAAAGTATATTAAAGATTTAGACTAAGCTAAGTTAGCTTTAACGATTCAAAAAATTTACCTACAATCATTTACTTAGAATTTTTGTTTAAAGTAGTTAACATTGCCTTTTAGCTTCACCATTCTTTCAACTGATAAAAGCTAAATTAAAAGCTAAACTAAAAGCTAAACTAAAAGCTAAACTAAAAGCTAAACTAAAAGCTAAACTAAAAGCTAAACTAAAAGCTAAACTAAAAGCTAAACTAAAAGCTAAACTAAAAGCTAAACTAAAAGCTAAATTAAAAGCTAGATTAAAAGCTAAAATTAAAAGCTTACTGTATCTAAATGTCTCTTTTTTGTGGTCAAAAAACGGTTCGTTTCAGCCCATTATTCACGTCCGGTGACAGGTGGCAAAAACTGGTTTGTCTGAAAAATGGAGAAACTTGGAAAACGTAATGGACAAGATGTCTAAAAGGCGGTAAGGCTTTTGATTGTCTTTTACTCTCTTTCTTTCATTCACACAATGGTACATTATGAGAGATGGGTGAAAAGAAAGGGAAAAGAAAAGGAAAGAAAGGAAAAGGAAAGGGAAAAGACACCATGATACCCATCCATTTCCACCATTTCCACCATTTTGAATCACTGTTTTTTCAAGTTCAAATGGTGCTCGGATATGGCAAACCATTACGGGGAACAAGTTGGGGATCTTAAAATGAAATAGAAAAAGTTTTAGATAAGATATTAGCATTGATTGATGATTTTGATTTTCTACATAATTTTCAGTAATTTGGCTTGAATTAGTTGAATCTAATTTTTGATTAGTTAGAGATTAGTTAGATTAGTTGAGAGTCTTCTGCTATTCTTAAGGTAATGCTGATTCGATTGATCATAGTTTTCTAATATACAAGGTGTCTGAAGAAAAAAAGTTGCCATCGGTTTGAGTCGAGGAATCTTCTCGTTGATTTTTCAAGATTCATCATGGTGTTAGAATTGGTTTTGCCTCAAGCGTCATACAACAAGATGAAGTTGATTTTTTTGATCATTGTTTAGATGGAAAGCGAACAAGTGTTCGTACGAGTGATGAAATTGAAAGAGCCACCCGATAATGTTGGACGATTACGAGTCTCGGTTTATCGAATCGAATCGAATACTTCGAATACAATTTCACCACTCGAACGAACACTTGTCCGGGTTTCCATCTAAAAAATGATTGTAAGAAATATATGTTTATGCTTTGATCTATATAACTCTATTCTACACTTTGGAATCAAATAGTGACTGATTACGGTAGTTTATCCATCAATTTCTTGTGATGTCTCGGCGTGGTTCAATAGTGGTCGTCTTGAAAGCGCACAATTTATCAAAACTTTCCCTTATTAGGGCAAACTTCGCTCAAACTGGAGCAACCTGGCACTATCACAATTAATTCAACACTTGCATGTGAATAAAAAAAGGATAAAAGATAGCAAAAAAAAAAAAGGAGAACAAAAACTCACTCAAAAGCAATGCTTAAAGGTTGAACGGGTTTTTTTAAGTGTACAAGCTACAACAAACGGACAACTGAATATCGTCTAGTGACTGATTACGGTAGTTTATCCATCAACTTTCAATTTTAACTTGTGTATTGAATTTTTGACTAACTGCAGAGCAGTGGCAATTCGCCACAATGATCAAAAAAAATCAACTTCATCTTGTTGTATGACGCTTGAGGCAAAACCAATTCTAACACCATGATGAATCTTGAAAAATCAACGAGAAGATTCCTCGACTCAAACCGATGGCAACTTTTTTTCTTCAGACACCTTGTATATTAGAAAACTATGATCAATCTAATCAGCATAAATCAACTTGATCTTGTTGGATGACGCCTGAGGCAATACCAATGCTGACACCACTTTTGAGGTTTCGTGGCAGATTTAACATTTATCATATCTTCTATTTATTAATCTAAAAAATTTTTTGAGTTTTAAATTTTATCCGATAATTTAAGAAATAAACAAAGTGAAACCGATCTCCCAATCTATCATATTCAATTGAGATGGACACCGCCCACGATTTGGGGAGATGCTGGTAACAATGAACATAAATTGTTATAAATAACAGGGTATCTTGAAAAAAGTTGCCATCGGTTTGAGTCGAGGAATCTTCTCGTTGATTTTTCAAGGCTCATCGTGGTGTTAGAATTGGTTTTGCCTCAAGCGTCATACAACAAGATGACGTTGATTTTTTGATGTTTTTGTGAATAGGGGGTAATAGGGGTTTTGTGAATAGGGATTTTGAGCTTCCCGACATCGACTAGGGAGCTCAAAATCCACGTATACAAAACACACTTTTGAATTCTTCTATTTCACCACAAATCTTTCTACTTTTTGTTTCTATAAATTTGCTTTTTTTTTCTTTTAATGTTCAGTTTGCATTGTTGGATTGGCTATTTCAAAAATCTTGAAAATATGATTAATTTTTAAACGATAGAACTCTGTTGTTGTTGCTTTTGGAGTCTCTTATTTTCCGGCCTTTTCCGGCCTTCAAGATTCTAATTTGAAAACAAATTTTTAGAAACAAAAAGTAGAAAGATTTGTGGTGAAATCGAAGAATTCAAAAGTGTGTTTTGTATGCGAGGATTTTGAGCTCCCTAGTCGATGCCGGGAAGCTCAAAATCCCTATTACCCCCCATTCACAGAATCATCAAAAAAATCAACTTCATCTTGTTGTGTGGCGCCTGAGGTAAAACCAATTCTGTCAGCGCGATGACCCTTGAAAATTCAACGAGAAGATTCCAGACTCAAACCGATGACCACTTTTTTCCGAACATCCTGTATAATAAAATCGTAACTTATCCACCAAGGGCTTCAGATGGCGACCTAGCTGACCGAAAATATCAAATCCAGTGCCGAGTCAAGGAGGAAAACGCGACGGAGGTCAGGGAGAAAAATAACTTGAAACTTTTATAGGCTTTGAAATTCTCTTCATCAAAAATTATCATATAAACGTTGTTAATGAAGCTCTGAATTGCAGGACAAAACCTTGTTCCATGTAGACATTCCCGAGTTCTACACCGGCTACGATGAGAGCTTTCGTTTACCGTCAAACACTTTTCAGATCAGGTAATACATACCTATTTGCTTATTTCAAGTATAAAGTAATGCAAATAACTTTCTGGCCGATGCTGGGGAGCTCAAAATCCTTATTCACAAAATCCCTATTCACAAAATCATCAAAAAAAAACAACTTGATCTTGTTGTGTGGCGCCTGAGGCAAAACCAATGCTGACACCACGATGAGCCTTGAAAAATCAACGAGAAGATTCCAGACTCAAACCGATGACAACTTTTTTCGGACACCATATATTTCAAGTTCATATTGCATCTCTTATTTGATTCCAAAGTGTAGAATAGAGTTCGCTAAGTACAGCAGACTGGAACTAGGATTATCAAATAAACTATCACCAATTCTTTCAACATATTTTATTACCTCTAAATAGGAAAAACAATACACTCTTAATAATCGAAACAAGCAACCCAGCCATTCTAAAAATTAGGTTTTATCAAGCCAAACGAAAAGAGAGAGAGGCCACTTTGGCTCCTCAAAGTACCACAAATTTCTTCAGATTCTTTGAGCTTTTAAGATTGACACTGAATACGATCAGTACCATTATTCACAATCTGTTCAACTTCTTATTTCTTACTTTAGTCCTTCAGTTACCCTTCACCAGTCCAGTTATGTCATGAAAACAAAGAGCAAAGAGAGCACACAGAATCTTCGTGTAAAGATCATTAATGTAGTCTAGCCAAAAACAAATCTGTTTGTTAGCTTAAGAACTGAAAATTTGTTATTTTTAAAGTTTTATTATTATGATTTCAAACGCTTGGTTTGACAAGCAAGCGGTGCAACGAGAGAAAGAGCGAGAATCGGGTTAGTTTTTAAAAGCAATAGAAGAGCGAGAATCGGGTTTGTTTTTAAAACCAATAGAAGAGCGAGAATTGGGTTTTGTTTTAAAACCAATAGAAAACTTTATTATGTAAATTTATTTGTTAAGCATAATATTGTTTTTTTCAGAAAATTTACGGGATGCTTTATGCAAAGCACTTTCACAGCGTCAAGTCCAAGCAACGGAGCGCGCTCGGCCATTTCGGTGTGATTCGATGTGGGTTTTTGAAATGATAAAACTAATTTTAGCAGCTATACTGTTTAGTTTAATTGCTATAATATTTCTAGAATCGATCGTATCAATGACATTCTCCCAGGAAACAAGCAAAAGTTCTTAAAGCAACATCCGAATTTGGTGGCCTCTGGGAGAACGGTTTGTGTACTATATTTTCAAAAATTAGTAACTCAAGGTAAAAAGCACTTTTATCTAAAATTATATGGAAATTTTAGAATATTTATTATAGAATCTACTATATATAAAGTAAAAGAGACGTCCGTCCGTTTGTCCGTCTGTCCGTCCGTCTGTCTGTCCGTCCTTTCGTCCGTCTGTCTGTCCGTCTATCTGTCCGTCCGTCCGTCTGTCTGTCCGTCCTTCCGTCTGTCTGTCTTTCTGTCCGTCCTTCCGTCCGTCCGTCCGTCTGACTGCCTGTCCGTCTGTCCGTCCTTCCGCCTGTCTGTCTGTCTGTCTGCCTGTCCATCTGTCCGTCCTTCCGCCTGTCTGTCTGTCTGTCCCTCCTTCCGCCTGTCTGTCTGTCTGTCCGTCCTTCCGCCTGTCTGTCTGTCTGTGCGCGGCCATTGGCAAAAAGGAGCGGGGCTTAGATTGCGTGGAAAACCTCCCCAGTGAAAAACGCGAACGTTAGTGAGCGTTTTCCGCTGGTATAAAATATAATATGATAAAAGATGCTTGCTATGACTTAAAAAAGTTCACAAACAAAACAGAGGAGCTTTATGTGAATAGTACCCAAAAATTCTTGCAGAAATCATTAAAAAACAATTCAAATGTTAAAATTAATTTAAAACTAACTTCAATTAGCTTTTTAAATCATTATCTAATGATTTAACTCTTCAAAAATCGAACTTGCTTCAAATTTTTGCCTCTAAAACTACTTTGGTGCAGATTTTTTTTGAAGTAAATGTACTCAAATAACGTAGAAAAGCTAAGTACAGAATGTAAAATGATAAAAATAAATCTAATATAGATATTTAGATAAAGCAATTGATCATGGTTCCATTCCACAATCGTCGTCTCGACATGTTGGCGCATCGAGTTGGCAACACGATCTACGTGGATCATCTGGAATTGCCGGGGAATCAGGTGTGAAAATGAAAAAGCAATGTAAAACTAGAACACCGGGAAAGATATTTGAATCTAAAATAACTTTAGAATGATTCGAAATCCTTTGATCAACCGGCTCGGCGAAACGATTTAGCTGAAGCTTTCATTGCATCATGTGTCTCAAATGTTGACACAAAAATTGAGGAAACTTGGCAAGGATTGACACAATCACAAGAAGATATGTAAGGAAAATAAACTATAAGATTTATTAAGACTCTAGCAAGCATAAAGTACGTGCTTTGTACTCTCAAAGTCATTTTCCAGCAGATAGAGGGTAAAGTGATGTTGCTTTAAGAGTAATTTCACTAATGTTAATAAACTATTCAATTATCAAGTAACTGATTTCTGCTTCATTGAGCTTGATGTAACTAGTAACTAGTAACTATCAAGTAACTAGTAACTATCAAGTAATTGCTTCATTGAGCTTGGTGATAAGATTACCGCTTGCAAGTTCAATCAAAGCCACGGCGTTTGATAGATCCCCAACTGAAATCAGTCACTTGATAATTGAATAGTTTATTAACATTAGTGAAATTACTCTTAATAAGTAAGCAGCATCACTTTACACTCTATTTGTGTACATTACTTTACACTCTATCTGCTGGAAAAATTATCAACTAACTGTTTTCAGTTGGGATCTATCAAACGCAGTGGCTTTGATGAACTTGCAAGCGATAATCTCATCATCAAGCTCAATGAAGCAAACATGGCCTCGACCGAGATCACTTTCTTATCGAATATCAACAGAGGTAATGATTTTATAAAGCTAACTAGTACAGAAACTAGTACAGAAACTAGTAAAGAAACTAGTAAAGAAACTAGTAAAGAAACTAGTACAGATAACTAGTACAGATAACTAGTACAGAACTAGTACAGATAACTAGTACAGAAACTAGTACAGAAACTAGTAAAGAAACTAGTACAGAAACTAGTACAGAAACTAGTACAGAAACTAGTAAACTGCAAACTCAATCGAATTCAAGGGTGAAAACAATTCGATGCACTTGTGGGAGTTCTCAAATCTTCGAATGCTTATCGATCACGAGATACCGATGTTGAGTGGCGAGAATTTACCCTCAGTTTCGATTCGATTCAAGTCAGCTAACAATACTTTGTACGGAAATGAGTTTGTTTCTTTTAGTGACGAGCGACCAATCTCAATTCTAACCGGGATGGATATTTGGCTTGATCATATGATTAAAGGACTGGATGGAGTTGTTGTGGTGCATCGAGAGAAAGGAAGACAAAAGGTTAATACTGTAGAGATTTTACAGTACAACTTACAGTACAATTTATAGTACAATTTACAGTACAATTTACAGCACAATTTACAGTACAATTTACAGCACAATTAAAGAGTACTCTACAATACTTGTATGAACTAAATGAGGATATAGTGTAACGTGCTTTATCTTCTGTGGAGTTTCAATGTGGTTTATGTCTGCTTCTTTAAAGAAACAAGACTTTATTTAACACCTGAATCACCACGCAAAACACTACGTTCCACGTTAACAACACCACGTACAACAAACCAAGAATAAAACACTCACTGAGAAATGAATGAAAACAATCACTTAATAAATGAGAACACGAACCACTTGCAAAAGGGAATGCGAAAGAAATAATCACTTGATCAAGAGCAAAAAATGAATCAAGAAGACTCAAATGAAAGAAAAAGACCAACGGAATAAGATAGGAAACCTTTTATAGCCTTTTATTTGTGCAAAAGTTACTTAGTCAACGGTTACGTACGTTCCCAAGGGCACGTTATAGAATTTAAAGGATCGAGAGTTCGATCAATACTACTTACAGTATCAATTTTTCAAAATTCAGGACTTTCAAGTGCATCTCACCTCCGAGATTCCGGCTTTGAAAGGCAGCGAGTTTGATCCGTCTGAATTAGCGACAGTCATCGAGAATATATACAAATTTCTTGATGATAAAATGACAGAACAAGGGCATACTTATTATCTACATCGAGGTTGGATCAAAAGAAATCGATTTACCCTTTTTTTTTTAGTAGAGAATTCAAACGATTTAACCCTTTACGATATGACGGCAATGTTCCCGGATTTGGCGAGTAACACTGAATGCAATCCATCACTATCAATTGTTGCCTGTGCATTGATGAAGGTACCTATTAAGCTATTAAGCTATTTAATTCTTTCATAGTTTAACCATTTTTAACAAAATCTCATTTCAAAATCTGTTTTAGAGTGACTGGTTTGAGAAATCTAGGAAACACACTTTTTAGCACAATTTTAGCATGAATTAAGTGTAATATTGGGTTGATGGAAAAGTCCTTTCCGGATTTTTTGGGAGAGTACCTTAAATTTGTCGAATTTTGACGTTTTATAGCTCATCCTAAAGCTGAATTCAAGACGGATCGATTGGTAAAAACCGTTTTGAGATATCTCTTTTCTAAAAGTTTTTACAGCTATTTTAGTAAAGGGCGGCAGAGCCAAAAAAATGGCTGCTTTCACGTTTCGTTAGTTTTTCGTGCAGAAACCTAGGCTAAAAACATGTGTTTCGTGATCAGCGTCAAAAATAACCCCTAGACACAAATTTTCAGAATCTTAGCAAAAAATTTTTGAAAAATATTGTCACTGGTGGAAGTCGAACCAGCGACCCTCTTTTTTTCTTTTTTTTTCTTTTTTTCATTTATTTTCATTTATTTTCATTTATTTTCATTTATTTTCATTTATTTTTATTGACTTTCATTTTCATTTGTTTTCATTTATTTTCATTAGTTTTCATTCAATTTCTTTCAATCTCTCAATTTCTAGCAAGCAAACGATTTGCTGAATGACGACGATCCACCATCAACAACCGCAATTGAAATCGCCTATAAAATGATTCAGTCAGCAAAGTCGATCATTAATGAAGATCGAATGCCACATGTTAGTATCAAAATCCTTCCTTAAACCCGTTTCTCTCCAATTTCAATAAAAATTTTTCAGGTAGCTGCCTCATTGAGCTACTTGCGAGCCGCACTTTATCAATGTGTTCCTTTGAATCTGAACAAGTGAGAGCATTCTTTGATTTGATTTCAAGAGTTTTCAGGGAAAAATTCGCTCTTTCCTCAAAAAGAAGCAACAATCTGTTTGGATTGGAGTCGATTTTGATTGAAAGAACACCGCAAATGTCGTCTTCTGTACCCGTTGATGCTTTGCGATCAGCGTTAAATGTGATCGAGGACGATGAGGAAAAGGCTTCAACTGCGATTCGGTAAATCGATTTCAAGTTTACTTCTAGTATTGTTAAGATTTGAATCGTCTTTGATGATAATTTTGTTCTTAGCTGAACAAAGCTGAAAAAGCTGAGCAGCTGAACAATGCTGACAAAGCTGAACAAAGCTGAGCAGCTGAACAATGCTGACAAAGCTGAACAAAGCTGAGCAAAGCTGAACAATGCTGACAAAGCTGAACAAAGCTGAGCAGCTGAACAATGCTGACAAAGCTGAACAATGCTGACAAAGCTGAAAGCAAACTTTTCAGCTGTATCGTGCCTGGGATCGAGTCAGGAAAACAATGCATTTTCAACGCATTAACTGCCATTGATCAAGTGACGAATATTAATCTTAATTTGACTTATCTTATCTTTTTAAGGGTCTTAAATTTTTGTCGATTGTGGAAGAGCGACGTAAACGGGCAAAACAAGAGAAATTCCCGCAGATTCCGGTGTTCGCTGTTGGGAAAGATGATGAAAATACACTGCAAAAGGTGATTAAGAGTTTTGGCTTTCATATTTTATATTTCAAATAATAACAGGAACGAAAGAAAAGTCGTGTTGGAACGGATGTGGAATTATTGAAAGCACTTCTTCATCTTCGTGCCATTGTCGGCTATCATTCGGCGTCTTTGATCTATTTTGAGGTCTCGTCTTTGATCTATGAGCCAAAAGCTAGTCTAGAAAAGACAAAATCCTATTGTCATTCTAATTCTATTGTTGTTTATAGTGAAATAAGCAGATATTTGACTTTATAAATGCTTAAAATTTAGTCAGAAGGTGATACAAAACTTTTGATGTCTCAACCAGCGCCTGAGCAATTCTCTCAAAATGCTTTCCTCTTTGAATTGTGTCGAGTGGCATTTGCAAACTGTGGTGAGTTTTGAGCTTCTGCTTCTAAAGCTTCTAAAGCTGAAAAACACTTCTAAGTTATAAATTTCCAGCTATAGATTTGTTTTTAAACATTTCTTTGGTTAAATTGATTTTTTTCCAGCTGAAGTGATGAGATTGGAGTCGAGTTCACGAACAAGAATCGCTGCAACAGTTCAGGTATAGAATTATTTAAAGAATCGTTGCTAAGAAAGGAAAAATTGGATTTCCTTGAGATCAGATTAGAGATTATGAAAGCTAGATTAATATTGAAAAGTTTTCAGGTGGCTTCACTTTTCCGGATCTACATGTTAGTGATTCTAAATCTCTCTCACCTATCACTAGAGGAATTGTCTGAAAAGGTAAGAAGCTTTAAGAGGAGATAAAAGCTTTAAGAGAAGATAGAAGCTTTAAGAGAAGATAAAACTTAATCAATGAATCTTAAAATTGTAATAAGTTTAAAAAGTTGTCACTAACGTTTTTACAAATTACTAATGAAGCACTTTCGATCAGCCATTCACTTTTACGAGATCGGCAACAAGCATTTTAATTTTACGCCTACATTTACAGCTAGCCGAAGTTCGATGCAATGAAGTTTTCCTTAAACAAGAGATTTGTAAAGTCATCATTCCAGGTACCATAAAATCTTGATATCAAAAAAAATATCAAAAGTTTAAGATTCAAACGTTTTAAAGATTTTGGTGGACGTTGGTGAGGAGACGATAACAGACAAGAAATCATTAGATGAATGGATGCTAAATGTTGGGAATAAATTCCGAACACTTCTCACAAAATATACAAAAGAATACGAGCAATTGGAGACAAAATTGTTTAAAGGAAATTTCGACTTAACTTCGTATGATTTTTGTGAAAAGTTTTAGTTTAAATAAAGTCTAGAATCCGATGCTCAATAGCACTTTCAATGATGCAATGTGGAGAAAGACATCGAGAAGAGGGGACTCAAGAAGGAAATGGTTTGTAAAGAACTTATAAGAGATACGATTTTATCTAGAGCAATTAATAATGGAGCATTTTCGATCAGCCATTCACTTTTACGAGATCGGCAGCAAGCATTTGGATATGGTTATACAAGCGGCTTTAGAGGAATCGAAGAAAGTCGATGTGATGGTTGGTTGGCAAAATTCTAGCTTCTCGTGACCAATTGTTCTGAAATTTTGTTTACAAATAGAGATTGGTATCGTCTGCTTGTCGACAAAATTTCAGAGCAATCAGCTAAGGAAAGGCTGAGGAAATGATGATGGAACTAGGTTAGGATTGGAATTTTTCCATGTCTACTAATAAACAAAAAACATTATCTCTTCATAATAGAGACTAATAGATTAGATAAGACTTTCCTAATAGATTAGGAAAGATTAATAGATCGTAATCGATTAGATAAGATTAGATAAGACTTTCCTAATCGATTAGGAAAGATTAATAGATCGTAATCGATTAGATAAGATTAGATAAGACTTTCCTAATCGATTAGGAAAGATTAATAGATCGTAATCGATTAGATAAGATTAGATAAGACTTTCCTAATCGATTAGGAAAGACTAATAGATTGTAACTAATCATAAAACTGAAAGAAAGTGCTAATAAAACAATAGTTTTCTAATTACAGACTTGGGAATTGCAAATCGCCTTGAGACATAACGAAGCAGCAATGCGTAGAGGACTCGTTCTACTCGAAATCGATTCATTGAAAAATGGGAAGAAAATTGAGCAATCAATTCGAGAGGTTATTTATCAATAGTCGAAATTTAAATCTTTTCATTTCAGGTTCTTTTCACCTACATCACATTAGAAAACTTCATTGACAAGCAAAATCTCGACGATTTTCCAATGAAAATTCAACAGAAAGCCAATGTGATCAGTGATACGGTAAATGGAATTGTTTATATATGTCGTAGCCGATTATGAATGAGTGGGTCTAGGAGCGTCCAATCATCAAGTATTTAGTATCATTCAACGCAGAATCATTGATAATTATGTTAAATTTTTGAAATTAGAAAGATTGGATAAAAAGAAAAAAAATTATGGGGCTTCAAAGTTTTCTCTTGAACAAACAGTTTTTTTGCTCTAATTTTTTTTTCTTTTCATCAAATCTTGCTAATTTTAAAAATTTAACATAATTATCAATGATTCTGCGTTGAATGATACCAAATACTTGATGGTTGGACGCTCCTAGACCCACTCATTCATAATCGGCTACGGGGGTCCCGCCGATTTTGAATGAAACGTTGTAGCGGCGGCAATTTTTAACCTAAACTCACAAATTTGGTATCAATCGACGCAGAATTCAATTCGCTACAAGATGATATAATATTGTCATCATACATTAAAGGGTTGCTCTACTAGAAAGATTTGCCAAAAAAATTTCATTCATAATCGGTTACGACATATAAATAACTCAAATAATATTTAGATAAGTTTCATGCATCGATGCTATTTTTATTATGTGAATCGACCTGGCGGCAAAACGGGAACACAAAAAACAGTGAGAAGGAATATTTTCGTATACTTTATGCTCTTAGTGTTCAAGAAAAGAAAAAAAAAGGTTGAGTAGACGAGAGAGGGTTTGCTTAGAGCACAAAAAGCGTACATTACAGTGTACTGTAGTTCTTGTTTCAGTCTCGTGAGAGTCATTGCCTTGAAGAGTCATTGGTTGGAGCAAAACGTTTGTGGGCTCTCTCTCCAAATCTTCAACAAGATTTGATCACACAAATCAAAACTCGAATTTCTACAATGATCTCGGAAATGCTTCTCCACAATGGATATCTTATTCTCATCGCATTGGTTTGTTAAAAGAAAATTCGGAGCTGAGAAAGATTTTCAGATAAATGAAGGATTTTCTCAGGACGATTGTACTTTGCTAAAAAAGAGGATTGAGAAGATTTCTGGTTTTTCTAGAAAAGTGATTAAATTTTTCAACTTTCGAATATGAAGCTTTAGAGTTTAAACTCGAATCTACCGCTGAATCTTTCCGAAATGTGTTTGACATTTCTTCGAGCACTCATCAATGCCTGTAACACTGTGAAAGTGCAAGGAAGCGATCGGAGAGCTCTTTGTAAGGAAATTGAATGTAAAATCGATCAATCATTTCAGTGACATTGCTCAATGTGCTAATTGAATTGGTTGTGATGTTGCCGAATTGCTCAATAAGTCCATTAACCCTTGAAACGGAGCTTCAGGTTAGAAAATCCCTGAAAAAGTCTAAAAGCAGAATTACGGTAAGATTTCGGTATTGCAAGCCTAGATAGAAGATTACGGTAGTTTACAAAAATTGATGCTTTTTAGAAAACCCACTTCCAAATTTCAGAGTCTCTACAACGACTCATGTGTCTCATTGCAGCAATATCTGCTGGGTGTTCTCTCGCAAAAGGTTTGCAGTTTGTTTTGCTTATATAAAACAAATTAAATTTAGGGTACTTCTTCTAATCAACTAAATGAATCAGAGAAGAAAACGGTGAAAACGATAGCCGATCTGGTCATACGGTGAGTAAAAAAGAAAAAAAACAATAAGCTAGCTAAAGTATACACCCATGCACAAAAAAAATGTCACATCGTTTTTACAAAACTTTACGCCTAAATTTGACCTACTAAACGTGTTCCAAATTCTATGCTGTCAAAAGGTTTTAGATAGCAAAAAGCTTCTACTTTCTTGTGAAAAAGTGTTAAAGTTCCAGCAATTTGTTTAAATTTTTATTTTTCAATAAATACCGGAAGAACACCAAAAAAGGGTGCACAAAAAAAATGTCACATTTAACTTGAATCTGCTTTTTTTCCGTTTTACTTTTTTTTGATTGCATTCTTTTATGCTAATTTTTTTAATTTTAGAATGGTAAAATCACAGCTCTCAACGCCAGACAAAGAAAAGATTGTTGAAGCAAGGAAACAAGGAATCCCGCGGAAACAGGTGGCCGAGCTGTTCAAATGTGATGTAAGAACCGTTTCTCGCATTGCTGCGAAGTCGAGAACGACTGGAAATTTGCACAGCACACCAGGAAGTGGACGGCCACCAGCCACTACACCACGCGAAGACAAGGCTTTGATTTTGGCGCACAATAAGGACCCGAATCTTAACGCGTCGGATGGTGTTTGCCTCATCAAGCAACAATTCGGCAAGGATATCAATCGAATGACAGTGAGCCGACGCTTGAATCGAGCAGGATTGATAACTAGAAGGGCCGCCAAGAAACCTCTGATGGTTGCCAAGCACAGGAAGATCCGACTCGAGTTCGCAAAAAAAGTACCAAAGTTGGACGCCGAATGACTGGGCCAATGTCATTTTCACCGATGAGTCGAAGATCAATCTCTTCAACCCTAATGGCAATCACTTGATCCGGAGACCAATTGGACAACACCATAACATCAAATACTTGCGGCCGACAGTCAAATTTGGTGGCGGATCGATTATGCTATGGGGTAAAAGACTTGTTCCCTTATGTCAACTAATCTTGCTTTTTTTTCAGGAGCGATGACTAGAAGTTCACCAGGTCCGCTCGTCTTTCTCAACTCAACCTTGAAGGCCCAGCGGTACAAGACGATCCTGGAGAATGATCTTCTTCCATTTGCGACCACGAATATGGGACAAGGATGGTTGTTGTACCAGGATAACGCTCCGTGTCACAAGCACCAGATGTTGATAGGAAGGGTCGGCCGACTTTCAAACGGTGGAAGGGCTCGTTTACCGGGATGGTTCGCTGACAATCGTGTCAAGCTCGTCGCTGCTCCACCTTACAGCCCGGATCTCAACGTAATCGAGCATTTGTGGTCGCACATCAAGGGTAAACTGAAGGGCAAACGATTTGCGACCAAGGTTGAGCTTTGGTACTTCATTCGAAGCGGAAGATTTGAGGATCCTCTTGGAGGATTTGACTGATTCGATGCCACGGAGGATTCAGGCAGTTATTCAAGCTAAGGGAGGCCCGACAAAATGTTAGATTTTTGTTTTTATCAATTTTTATTTTATGTGTGACATTTTTTTTGTGCGCCCGTTTTTGGTGTTCTTCCGGTATTTATTGAAAAATAAAAATTTAAACAAATTGCTAGAACTTTAACACTTTTTCACAAGAAAGTAGAAGCTTTTTGCTATCTAAAACCTTTTGACAGCATAGAATTTGGAACACGTTTAGTAGGTCAAATTTAGGCATAAAGTTTTGTAAAAACGATGTGACATTTTTTTTGTGCATGGGTGTACAGTCTCTGAAACCGAAAGTAAAATAATTCAGTCGTCCATCTGCTTCATCGCTTGATTGGAAACTCTCCGCACGAACGTGGACAAAATCGATCTCCGCCGAGTGGTTGAGCTTTTGAAAGTCATTTATTTGAAGTCATGTGATATACATGTGCTTGGATACCCAGTGAATCAAAATAAAAGTGGTGATCTCCGTTATTCCAAAAACTTCAACATTTTATTAATCGTAAATGCTAAAGGTTGCTATCACATGAAACTAAAAGAAGACGAATAAGGGAATGATATGTAAAACAAATCGAGCACAAATCGTTCAAGTGAAATAGGTAAAAGTGTTTTACATTGAATATTTAAAGAAAATTATTTGAACCTAATAAAGACCGACTATGAAGCTCCTTGTATCACAACTATGGCACCAGAATTTCTTTTGTACAACCGGTTAAAGGTGCCAAAACCCAAAAAAAAACTAGTAAGTATTATGTCATCACCTAAAAGCCACATCGATTTAGAAAGCTTTCTTATCGATCGCCTTCATTTCAGTCGCACTCAACTTTAAACACATACCAATAGCCTGAAAAGATAAGTATACTTGAAGAAATGATAAAATTTAGCTCAAACTATTACACAACTAGGAAATTCTCACTTGTAAAGATCCTACCTTTATGATGTTCTTCCTGCTGGCTGAATTGTTGCTTTGCAAAAACTGAACGAAAATATTTCTCATGTACTCGAGCTCGCCGCCAGAAGAAATCAACTGTAGTTTACCTAAAGATAGGCTAATTTGGCAACAAAATCCAAGCATGCCTTCAAGAATCCGGATTTCCTCTTTAAGCTTTTCTCCCATCTCATGTTGTTGTAAATCTTTCGTCAAATGATTCTGCTCGATTTCTCGCATTCGAAAGTCCAGGTTATTGAGTTGAGATCTAAACAAAAAAAATCATCTTAATGGTGCTATGTAGGTATGTAGTTATACAAATACGAGGTCACAAAACAAACCTTAGTTCTCTGATCTCCAAATCTTTCTTTGTCATCTCCTCCTCATAGTAGATGTTTCGAGACTCGTTCGCCAATGGTAACTGAGTTGTCGCATTTTCTAAACGTTGTCTTCGTGTAAATTGAAAATTTAAAGAACCTGCTGAATAGTACTCAATGGCGCTAGATATAGAATCGGTGCTTCGATGTCGAAAACCTAAATTAGTTTTTTGCTAAAAACATTTCTTCACAAATATTACCAGAGCTTTTTCGTCGTTCCACTTGTCTCAATTCTCCATTGCTCCTTTTCTTCACTAGATGGCTTTTCTGTGGTGGATCGGCTGGAGCTGAAGATGATGCGTGAATTGAATGATTCGATGACTCGCTTCGAACAGCCAAGAGAATGCCCCTAAACAGAAGGTATGCGAGAATTCGTCAAAACTCAGCAAAATAATCAAAAAAATCATACCTTGTAATTTCTAATTCACGATCTTTCTCCTCAAGTAAGTCGAAGGTTCGATTCCGTTGCTTTTGCATTTCGTGTTCCATTTCAGCAACTAAACAAAGGCTGATTAGTTCGTCAATGTTGCAGTTAAACAAATTTTATAAGCAATCACAAACCTTTATTGGCCATTTCAGATTGCATCTCCCTTCGTAGTTTTTCTTCTCCGCTTTCCAATTCACCAATTCGATCTTTCATGGCTCGAGTCGCCTAAATAAAGAAGCATTTCAAAATTGATTACTCTTTCTTGTATAAGTCTAATCGTACTTGTTCATACTGCGCTCGATCAGTCGCCGCTGAAGCTTCAATACCTCGAAGTTTTTCATGAAGTTGGCCCACAAGGGCTCTCATCGCCGACTCCTCTTTATCAGCCTCGTTCTCTCTGCTGGCGTTCTAAAAAACATCACATGCTTTTAAAATATCCAAAGTAATACTAACCTTTGCTCTCAACAAAGCCTCAGCTTTCAGTTTGTGCTTCTCGAAGTCATTCTCAAGACGATCGTAACGGGATTTCAAGGTTTGAACTTCTTGAGAGGCACCAACTATTTCTTAAAAAAGCGGGCTTATCATTGAGTCACTTTAAATATGCCAAATAACCCACCAAAAACATCCATATCCTTGTGTTCTTTCTTGATAAGTGCTACCAAATGTCTCAAATTCTTCTCAAGGCTTTCGGGACGAAAATCTTCAACGTGGGGTCGAGCATCGGATGTTTGTAACTTCTGTATAACAAAAATATATTTTCAGCCAAAAATGCCTCTTTACCTTTTCTAATTCTTCCACTTTTGCCTGTGCTTCTTTGTATTGCTCTTCGACTTCATGAAATCGTTTCTAAAGCTTCAATTTATCAATAAATAAACCAAATGAACTTCGGCATTCACTGTTTGTTCGCTCAACGCAACCAGTCGATTTTCCAATTCATATCTCCTAAACACAAATTCTTTATCAAAAAAAATATAAAGTATTTGCCGTTCTTAAAAAAGATACCGCTTTTCATCTTCTGCCGAATTTCCATTTCCATGTGAAGCTTTTGAAAGCGCTTCCTCCATCGCATGTGAGTGTTCAATCTAAAAACATCAATATTGATTTTAGGAGCTTTGTTCTATCTCTCGATTGATTGTCACTATACTTTAACTCACCCTCAAGTTATCCATCTGATTTTGTAGAAGTTGTAGCGTAGGTGTAACGGCTGCCCTTTTCTTCCACTCCTCAATCTCTGATTGTAGTCTAAAAGAGCAAACTCTGTATAAATTTATCATACTAAAAACCCACTTGTCTACTTGGGCCTTCCATTCATTTTCCTTTTGTCGGAGCTGATTTGGTAGATCGTCGTTTGTTTGTAGTTTCGTGTAAAGTTCGGCTACCTAAAAAATTCACAAGTTTGAATGTAAACAATTTGTCTTACCTGTTTGCTAAGTTTATCAGCCTTTGTCTTCTCCTCACCAAAGCGCTTCTGCATTTCGGCCAATATGCAACCGTGATCCTAAAAAAGAATTATTGAGTCAGGTATATGAAAAAAATAAGCTCAGTATATAGAATCGTAAATAGACACCTGTAATTCCTTATCCCGTTCGGCCTCGATTTGTTTGATTATCTTCTTTTGATCCTAAATTGAAAAAAATATATATATAGATAAACACATTTAACCAATCAAGTACGCTAAAAATGAATTTGGCAAAATTACCTTGACTTTGTCAACGATTTTGGCCGCTTTTCCCAGTTGCTCGTTTGCCGATTCCAATTGTTCGGCCATTTTCTCAGCTCGAGCTTTTTGCTTTTCGACTTCTTCCTAAAAATAACCACAATAAGATGAAAAAGTGGGAAGAAGCTTACCACGAGTGCTTTCTTGTCGGAAATGTAGGCTTGTTCTCGTTTTTTTTTCTCCCTTGTCAGATCCGCTAAAGCCACTTTTAACGTATCGGCGGTTGTAGCTGGACCCTAAATTAAATTTTAGACATTTTCAAAACCAAATTTTATATTGTCCAGTACATTCTTGCTATTGATAAAAACTCACCGCTCCTTCTTGTCCCTCGGCATCTGTTTTAAACGCAGCAACAACCTTCTCGAGCGCTTTCTTCTCGTTGTCAAGATTCTTGTAGGCCTGTACGACATCTAAAATTATAACAATTGCAATGTCAACGTGAAATAAGAGCTAAAACAAACCTTTGATCTTGTTCTGATAAAATTGCAGATCCTTCTGTGAAGCGGCGAGTTCGGCTCTTAGCTCTTCCACCGAGGACATCACCTAAATATTCAAAACGTTTAAAATATCAACAAAAAGTAATCTCAAAATAGAAAAAAATAAAAAAAGTATTTTTAAGCGATATTGATTCAAAAATGGACAGCCAATTTTTCTACATTGCTTGTTTGCTCAGCTTATTGCGAATCGTGTTTCACGGGGCATATTGGCTCGTGAGTGTAGTGGAACCCGTTTTTTTCTCTCATCGGGCATGTTGCCAGGGCGAAAAGAGCGGTAGAGTATCCAAGGTATTAGCATCAAAGCATTGAAATACAGCATGCTGTGTGTAATGATATTTCTAATTGTTCGAGACGTTCGTAACTCACAAAAACTTATCTTAGAGGAAAACCTATGAAGCCAGAAGTTTGACAAGTTCAAAGGAGCTTACACAAAAATGACAACCGAAATGCGGGCGGCGCAAAAGATAAAGAGATAAAGAAACTTTGCATTAACGAAAAATTAACAAAGAATGTTGTGAATTTACATTTAAGCTTGGTTTAAAACAAAGAGAAATGAAGAGTTTTCTCATTTCATCATTTCTCTTCGTCGATTTCCTCTGCTTCCTTCATTTCATCAAACGAGAAACGATGGAGTTTATGACTGTAAGCGTTGTTGTTTTTTATCAAGCCTGTAGTTCTTTTGTTTTTGTTTTTGAGCTCCATGCACTCAATCTAACTAACTCTTCTCATTCAGATTTTGATTTTGCTGGGTATCACCGGAGGTCTCTACATTTATTTCAAAAAAGCCCCTGAATCCGTCTCCAAATCTAGAAAACCCAAAGAAAGCGTTAAAGAAGGCGCCAAAGATAAAACTCCTGTGGTATTTTTTAATTTTTATTTGCTTAAATTCAATCTCTAGGGTCCTCCCAGAGCTCCAAGCGAGATACACGCACAAGCTGCATCGTATGACTCTCAATACGCGGTTTGAGTTTTCTTGTTTTCATTACTTTTTCACTTTAGACATTGGCCGGTCTCAACAACAATATTTTCACCGAACCGAAAAAGGCTGGACCTAAAGATGACAAATTCAAGACTTATTGAAACCAAATTCAGTTGTTGTTGTAATTGGTTGATAATGAATGAGCTTTGTTCATTGTATTATTCACAATGGGAAAAATGATAATATCAAAGGTATCACAAACTTTAATGTATAAATAAGTGGAACGAATTAAATATGGAATTAAAAGGCAGTAAAAGTTACTTCTTTCCTTCGACCATGATGATATGGTAGCCAAACTTCGTTTTTACTGGCGGGTCTGTGTAGATTGGCTTGTCAGGTGTGCTCTTCGATAAAGCAAAGGCAGCGTCCTAAAATACTTGCCATTCAGCGGAAGAAAAACCATCGATCACCTGAAATTCTCCAACCATGCTGCCTCTCGTCATCCAACCAAGATCACCCTAAATCCACATGTAAAAAAGGATAATATAATGCAAGTGTTACCCCAGATCGAGCTTTGTCTTCGCTGTATTGAGCTGCCACCTCGTTGAATTTACCTCCAGCTTTTAGTTTCTCTAAAGCTTCGAGAGCTTTTCCCTAAAATGAACATACAGCGCTTAACAAAACCTTAATTCATACCTGTTTTTCACATAAAATATGGCGAACTTTAACTGATGTCCCTCCTTTGGCCTCTTTCTTTTCCTTTTCTTCACCACCACCGCTTCCTTTCGCGTTTCCTTTAGCCGCAGGCTTTTTGGGAGGCATTCTAAATGGATAATTAAAGTTGATCAATCATGTATTCGACCGGCAAAAGACAAAAATTTTCAAAAGCATAATTTTTCAAAGTTCTAAACAAAAGCCTGGATGCTTTACCTTTTTGTTTAGTTGATAGACATAAATTCCAAATATTTATTTAGCAATTCCTAAAATAAACCTTCACACTTTTTGTTCTTTTTCCGTTTGTTGGGTGCGTGTGGATGCTCGTTGTGCGACAAAAAAGTTGAATGGAAACAACCCGAACTCGTTTGCAATCGACAGATAAGTGCACACTAAAGTAAAATTTATATTAGCTTAAAAATCGTTCAAAATTAGTTCTAAAAACTTACCCGCAGACCCGACGAGTACTTGGCCTCTTTTTTGATGACTGATCGTACGATTGAAGGCTCGAAAAAAGAACAAAACGGCTGCACCTAAAAAGAAGAATTCAATTAGCTAGTAAAACAATTTTCAACAAGTAATTTGAGGAATTTTTCAACTAAGCCTTGCGTTTTGTTTAAAATCTCAAGCCGCTTCAGGCGAGCCATGAAAAAAAGCCATGAATGTCACAAATAAGATTTTAGATTAACCCCGACTTCAGCAGGCCAACAATTTTTCTCTAATTTAGCTTAAAACCCAAAAGTCAACCGACCTGTGGTAACGTATTGTAGATTCGCGACGTAATTCGTTTTCGGTAATTTTTTGGGCGTCTCCGTGATGCTTGTTGAAGTGCTCGCCTCATCGCTCATCATGAAAACGGTTTCTGAAAAAGAAATTAAAAGACAAATCATAAATAATAATAGTTTACCGTTTTTAAAAAGAAATCAAAAATTTTAAAGTCTCGCAGAAAAAAATTGAAGTTAGACGCGAACAATTCATTTTGCGACTTGTGTGCAAATCAATCAAAAATTAGTATTTAAAACTGATTGATAAATTTTCTAATTTTCAAGCGGAAAACCGATAATTTATTACCTAAAAGCTTAATAACAGCTGAAAAATATTTGTGCACTGTGAAAAATTGAACGAAATAAGAAATGTTGATTACAAGAGATCAAAATCAAAACAAAAACAAGAAAATTTACAAAAAAAAAACACATAACCGAATCGTAAAGAAATAGATATGTGAAATAAAAAGTATTCTAGAGCCTAGAGCAATATTTTTCTAACTTTCCTCTTGGAGATGCCAAGTTTTGGGCGAAAACGGGCGCAGAATGGGACCTAGAAAGGGGTTCGTTTTGATACAAATGCCCAAAGTGTTCTTTGAGCCGTTTGAGTTGAAATGTAAACGCATGCTTTCTAGCGTACTGAATTATGTTTTCTTTCAGTAACAATTGGAAGGTGTAAAAAAAGAGTTTAGTGCATCAGAGAAGGTGCATTTCTCTGTGTTGAGCACAAAGAAAACACCTACCGTAAATACTGTAATAGTACCCCATCCCCATAATGACGGTGTTTTTTTTTTCTTTTTTTTTTTTTTTTTTTTTTTTTAAAAATTATATTTTTTTTTTTTTAATTTTTAAAAAAAGTGGAGTGTTGCATAGTCTAGCTTTGAACGTGTTTTTCTCGACACTAGTTTATGCTACAATGCTCGCTTTGGTATCAAAAAATAGCCCTGAATTTCAGCTATTTTTTCATACCAAAGACGCATTTTTTGAAAGTACGAGCGCTTTGAAAAAAATGAAATACTAAAAAACTTTTGCGACTACGCGACTGTACGAGGGGGTTGGGGTACTATTACAGTATTTACGGTAAGCCTTACTGTTCAATGAGTTTACACATACCGTAAATACTGTAATAGTACCCCACTCCCATAATGACGGTGCGGAGCGTTGCGTAGTCTAGCTTTGAACGAGTTTTTCTCGACACTGGTTTATGCTACAATGCGCGCTTAGGTATCAAAAAATAGCTGAAATTCAGGGCTATTTTTTCATACCAAAGCGCGCATTGTACCATAAACCAGTGTCGAGAAAACCAAAGACGCATTTTTTGAAAGTACGGGTGTTTTGAAAAAAATACTAAAAAACTTTTGCGACTACGCGACTGTACGAGGGGATTACAGTATTTACGGTATTTTATTATTAAATTATTTTCCGCCCTGTTCTTGAATACGCTTCTTTGATTTGGTCTTCTTCCCTATTAAAGTGTAGGGTACTATTACAATATTTACGGTAGTTGCTTTTGAAATCATTTTTATCCACATCACAGCACTCTCTTTTTGATTTACTTGGGCTTAAAGAGTAAACACAAACCTTTCTAGCACACTGATTTCTTTTAATAAAGTATTAGTGTAAATACAGTATTTAGGGTAAGAGTATCTAATGGGGTAAGAAATTTCGTGAAAACACACCTCTTTCTAGCGCACTGTTTTCTTCTTTTTTTCTTCACAATATATGAAAAATTGAGTACATTAGAAAAAATGTGTTTAGATTTTGAGCAAAAGCCGAAAGCTAGTTCAACTCACCCGACATGCTCGCTGATTACAGAATTTCGCGTGATATTCAATTAATCTTCGCAATGGTTCACAGTCCTCACAACCCGTTTTGCAACGACGTCGTTTACAAGTCTAAGAATTTTCTGTTTTACTTGATAAACTATGTTTCCAAAGCTAGCAATTCTTTTCAAATTTGTTCACCTTTAAGTGTTGTAGATCTATTTTGATCTTTGTGCACGATTTTAACCGACGGCAGTTCTCTGTTTTGCATTGAGACGAATGAATGATAGCGGCCTCACTTCTCTGAAATGAACGTTCAAGAGTTGCGCATTATTCTTAAATTTTAGTGATTAGCAAGTTCTCTACAACCATTTTTCATTAGCTACCTGTAAAGCGATTCTCTTCGGTTCAACTTCTATATACCCTCCATTAAAGCGATCTTCAACTAACGCTTCTGATATTGTCCCTAAAGCGGCTCGTGGGCTCATCTCGAGTAGCATTAGATTCTAAAAGAATTTAGAAAATTTAAATTTTGAATTTAAATTTTTATTACCTTTACTCTTTCCACCATATCACCAGTTTTTCCGAATTGAATTCTCATCTCGATTAGATGACGGGCAAACTCATCCGATAACGCTTTAAGAGCTGTGCGGCGACGGATCGAGATCTAAAAAACGAGGCTTATGTGGAACATTGACTTTACAAGGATGAAGATTAGATCGGATTCACAACAAAGTCCAACAAAGCCTAATTCATCCACTATGACTTTGACCTTTCGATGAAAAACTGATCCGATAACAAAACAATAACTTTTTATGTTAAGTTAAGACTTGAATTTTATTTTTACACTTGTGCAAGTATAGGTTTGAAGCTTTTCATCCAATTTATTACCTTTTTATTGTTTCGCAAAGAGTTGATTGTCCTTTGCATCTCGTCCTGAATATTTACAAGTAAAATTAGGAAAAGGAAATAGTTGCTTCATTTTTTAGCACAATTTAGTCATTCAAAATCCTTTACCCTAACTCTTTCCATGACCACATCGGCTCTCATAAATTGTTCCACCGTGTCCTGGAGAACATCCTTTAAATTCTCATAGTTTAGCTCAGGTTTGTCCAATTCTTCTGAAAAATATTGTTTATTATAATATTCTTTCAAATAGATATAATTCTTTTCCACCTTGTACTTTATTCTCACAGTCTCGAAGTCCTTGAGTTGTTGAGGCCAACTCAGCCCAGATTACCTCCATTAGTCAAAATAATCAAAATATTTGTAAAAAGATTATAACTTATGATGTTATAAAGAAGCTGCGAGAAGATTGTGATAGCAAAACATTACGTGAGCCATTTGTTGATAGTTTGAGTACGGTAGATGGGGCGGATCCATGGTTTAGAGTGGGACAAGCCGTAGACAGGGATCGCATTTAAAAACCCAATAAATCAAAGGAAATTGAGCTCTCTAGAATTAAAATTTAAACTACTGGAGATGAATGAAAGTGTTACGTGTACTGGCACTTGCAAGTGTTCAATTTTTTGACTGTTTAGGCACAACATTTTGATTCAATTTGATTGATTTTCTGCAATTTTAAAGCTTTCAAAAATTTCAGTCAGCTCGTGATTTGCCGAGTCGAGTGATACCATACTTCAATTGACTTTCTGAAATTTTAAAGCTTTCAAAGATTTCAGCCAGCTCATGATTTGCTGAGTCGAGTGATACATACAGTACTGGACAATGAAATATGATATTTGAAATCCGATCGTCACTTTCGCGCGTCTGTAACTCCCTTATCTTTGAGTTTAAACTATTAGTGTTATACATTTTCTAAAAGCTCTTTTCAAGGGCTACACAATGGTAATATTAATATTTAGAAATACGGTAAAGACAAGGGAGCTACAGACGCGCGAAAGTGACGATCGTTTTTCAAATATCATATTTCATTGTCCAGTAGTGTACTTCAATTGACTTTCTGCAATTTTAAAGCTTTCAAAGATTTCAGCGAGCTCGTGATTTGCCGAGTCGCGCATTCACTTGCCAGATGCTCTTCCACAAAGATTTATGGTTTATTTTCTTCATGCGATTTTTAAACAAAAGACATTCATAAAGTTTTTCGCATTTCTACATTTCGTAAAACTAAAACATAGTGACTGTATTCTGTGATTTTGATGATTTTTGATAGAATTGATTATCAGAGTTAGATTTTATGGCAAACTAGCTAAAGAATAACCTTTAAACTAACCTTTAAACTAACCTTTAAACTAACCTTTAAATCATATTTGCATTTTAAAAAAACTTATCAGCTGGTTACTACTTTAAAATATTTGTAGAATAGTGAAAAGTGTAGTTTTTTATTGAATTTTTAGGTCCCTAGCTCCTTGCAACATTTAAGCTCATTAACCATTGAAAACCTCAAGATTTTGGTTTCCAAATTGCTGCACGAGCACACTCATTCACCAAAGAAACGCCCGAAAATGGGCATCAGGAATTGAGCAAACATTTGGGATCTTTCGAATATATTGAACAGGGTCCTCACCCCGCGTTCTGATCCGATTTCCCACAGAGCTCCCTTTTCATTTTTTTTTCCTCCTCTTCTCCTCCCAGAACTCTTCTATTTTAGAAGACAAACCCATCTCTTTGTTCAAACGAAATTGATACATTCGCATAAACACTCTTTAAAGTCAACAGGAATTTCCTCTGTCTTGTTTTTCTTTTAAATTTTTGATTTGGCATCAAGCCCCTAGGCCTAAGATCTTCTAGAACTTTTTAGTATTGAAAATTTTGAAATATGTTATAGATCAAGCTTAACGTTACGCCTACTTTTGCGTATTATCATTAATGTTTTTACTTACCGTAAATACTGTAATAGTACCCCAACCCCCTAGTACAGTCACGAAGTAGTTAGTGATGCGCTTGAGCTACATATCTCTAGAGAGCTTGCAGCGCCTACCCCCACCCCGGGCCTGCCTATTTTTCAAAGCGCTCGTACTTTCAAAAAATGGGTCTTTGGTATGAAAAAATAGCTCTGAATTTCAGCTATTTTTTCATACCTAAGCGCACATTGTAGCATAAACCAGTGTCGAGAAAAACTCGTTCAAAGCTAAACTACGCAACACTCCGCACCGTCATTAAGGGTCTGGGGTACTATTACAGTATTTACGGTATCTACTTCGAACTATTGATATGATCTCTTATTCATTTTTCTTTTCTATTATTCGAAAAATTCTTATTTAGTTCAGAAAATACATCTTCTTATAGGTTAAAAGCCAAAAAAAAATCGCTTAACGGCGGTTTTTCTCGTAGTTGTCGTTTGTCGCCGTTGCGTAGTCGGGGGCTCGCTTGTCTACAACCCACACGGTTCAGGCTCCACCCACCGTAGTGCTTCTCAATCTTGACTTTATTTTTTGATTTTAAATGGCACAACTGTATTATATTTTGAGATTTTTTAACAAGAATTTCGGTTTCTTTTGGCGAAAGGGCCTTCCTTTGCAATTCCCTGCTGCCGCCTTTTATCAAATTCATTTCCCTGAGCCGCTAGATTATGGAACTTGCTCCCAAACGACATACGAGAAATTCAGTCGCTTTTCATATTCAAGAAACGTATCGATGCTTGTCGTGGCTCTTTCGTAAGTAATTGGCTATTTTTCGTGTAGTACACTGTCCTTTTATTTCTCCTTTTGTTTGAATAAAGTATTATTATTATAAAGGCGGCTGAGAAAAAGCTCCTACAAATGAACAGAAACTGCTCTTTTATATATAGTAGATACCTATAGCTTTCCCCCTCTCCTCTTGCGTTCACAAAAAAACCAACATCGTTTACTTAACTATCCTATTGATCAATCATTCTAAAGCCTAAAGTATCTATGTATTAGAGATTTGTCAATAGCTTGAGTTCCTTAAATTTAAAGCTCTATAAAAAAAAATCAGTGTTTTTCCATAGTCGAATTTGGCTTTGGAAACAGCTCTCACTATCCATTTCTTTAAAAAAAATACAATCAGATTAAGTTTCCATACAAATTATAGCTATAGCATAAGCAACTTTGCAGCATGTTTGCTCCAGCAATCCAGCAACTTTGCAAATGTGGGGGATGGGTCGTTAGAACTTTCATAAAAGTTCGATCTTCTGTAATCTGATCTCTTTCGGATGGGCCACATTTGGAGGGGTCAATTAAACGAAGAAAAAGATCTCAAAAAGTGATTTTTATTTAAAGAGTCATGATTTCTCTCTTTTATTGTGACTCCTGGTGCTGGGCACTTCCAAATGAAATCGGAAACCGCTAAAAATTTCAATTCAACTCGGGGCACTTCTTTTCTTATTTTACATCAAAACGATTTGAATTGTTTTCCGGTTTTTTAAAGGTTTTGATAAGGTTATTGTTAAATTTAGCAATGAGATTATAGATAAATTTGGCTTTAAAAGTGTTGACGTCTGATTTGTCACTAAAAAAATCGAGCTAGACCTTGAGAGTGTACGTTGTTGACTGTAAAAGTGGAAATAGTTGCTTCACTTGTTAACACAATTTAGTCATTCAAAATCCTTTACCCTAACTCTTTCCATGACCACATCGGCTCTCATAAATTGTTCCACCGTGTCCTGGAGAACATCCTTCAAATTCTCATAGTTTAGCTCAGGTAAATGGAAACCCTCTTTCTATCACTCAGCAACGGTTAACCAAGTCGGATAGAAACGGAAAGTTTACAAGATGCACAAAGTACTTTATACAGAAGCTGTGCTGAATAAGTGCTAAAGCACTCATTTATTGGAAATTGTTGTGAAAATGAGAAGCTCAACGGACGAGAAAGGATTCTATTCTTTAGCCTGGCCTAGCCTAACCTGGCCAAGTCCTGGCCTAGCTTGGCCAAGCCTAGCTTAGCCTGGCCAAGTCTAGCTTAGCCTGCCCCAGCCTAGCTTAGCCTAGCCCAAGCCTGGTCAAATCCTGGTCTAGCCTGGTCAAGTCTTGGCCTAGCAAAACTCGACGATATTCCAGAATCATAAGTGCTTTATTTCTGGATAGTTTCACTCAAATATACGATTGGAATCCGAATTGAAACAGTTCTTTTTTCTTCTTAAGATCTTAAGATCATTCACTGATCTTCTCAATTGAGATCTTCGCCTTTCTTTTCTTTTTCTCACTTTCTTTATTGTTTGTTTAAAATGTTGATTCGATCCCGAATCAATTGAGAGTTGTTCAAAACAATTTTTTTCTTAATCTTTATGACTTTTTACGATAAATTTGAGCTTTCAATTGGAACTGTTCGTTTTATTTTATTTTATTATTAAAATTTCCTATTAGAAATTCTTACTATTAACACATAAAAAGTATATATTTTTGAAGGTAAAGTAAAAGCATTGTTCTTCTAGATTGGTTTCTATTTTGTTTTGTTTATTTTTTTTCTGTTCAGTCTACTTTCTTTGTTTATCTAGTGCTCAGCATTATAATTTAATCATTTTTAATGTGGAATTTTTGGATTTTCAACTTAAAAATATCATTTTAAAGCTGTTGAATAGTGCAATGATCACTTTGAAGTAGTAGTTTTTCCCCCTCATGCAACCTAATCTCCATCCACTCAACCGTGCCAGGGGTCAGAAAAGTGAGAAATAAATCGTGGGCCACTCAAACACCTTTTTCTTTGATCTTCAAAGGGAAAGGGGTATTGTTTTTTTTTATTTTTGGAAAGGGTAAAAGGATGAAAACTCTTCTTCGCCCATCAGGTGTTCCCATTTAGCGCACATTGAAATGTGGGTTTCTTTCTTGGAAAGAAAAGAACCCAGAGTCCCAGAGCAGATTTACAAAAATGTTTGCTTTTTAAAGCTTGAGTTTACCAATCTTTTGAACGTTTTAATAAACAAAAGATATTTAATTTTGATTAATATTTTTAAAGATTACTTTCAAAACAAGTTGCTTATTGTTTTTGAAAGTTTTTTTTTCGTTTTTTTCTTTCGAATTATCACCTTGGGTCGTAAAAGTGTTAGAGGGAAGGCTCAAAAGCGAAAAGATACGCATTTTAATGTTTTGCGATATTGCGATATTGCAAAAAACTTTCATATGTCAGTAACAATCTATTGAATCTTTGTTATTGAAAGGATCGGTGTACTTTGTGCTCGAAAATTTGAGCCTTAAACGCATGCTTTTTATTGCACTCATCAGTTTGTTAATCTCTTGCAGAAAAATGAAGATTTCAGTGCACCAGAAAGGTCACCTCATTGCTGTAGACGGGAGGGGACTCCTTTTTATAACCCCCTTAGGACGGGGTGCTAGAAAGCGCGCGATTAAGGGGGCGCTTAAAGTCCACGTGTCTCTGGCTCAAAGTCCATTCCGGGATTTCACAAGAAATTGCATATCCTTTTTGTTACAGTATAGTTGTGCTCAAATGTAAACGCAAGCCTTTTGGTGCATTGAATTCTTGCTTTTCTTCAAAAGCTCTTTTAAATTAAGAAAAATGATGATTGAAAAGCGCAGAAATCAGAAAGGGTGTGTCTAAGCAAAACGTTTTTATGAAATTTACGTCATTAACCCAGTCATAAATGTAAATTCTTTCCACAAAAGTGTTTCGATTTATTTTGTCGGGATTTCTTTGCCCAAATTTCGTGCAGATATCACTTTTTGGGGTGTGCTAGTGCCAGTCTTCAGCCTCATCTTTCCCCTCTTTCTCAGCTCTCAGCCAGTCTCAAGCCTCATCTTTCCCCTCTTTCTCTTCCTGAGCTGTTTATCTTAACTCTCCTCAATCCCCTGGAATTCCCAATTATTGCTTCTGTTTTTGCAAGAAAGAAAATTCCAATTAAAACATTTTTACGATTGGATCTGAAAGATATTGAGTTATTTTTTTAAATAACTCAATATCTTTATTTGGGGAAAGAAAAAATATCGTATTTCTTCGAATAGAAGGGTAACCGGGTAAAGAGTATGATCGCGTACTCCTGCGTAGCAGCCCTTTTAACATTTCTTTTCTGCATAAAAGCTTTCAATCAAGTGCTATAGAGCTGGCTCAAAAATCTGTTAGCTCATGTGGTATTTTTGAGTCATTTTCCAGCCCTATAGCACTTCATTGAAAGCTTTTGAATATAGCACTTCATTGAAGCACCTATAGCACTTCATTGAAAGCTAAAAAGGGCTGCTACGCACGAGTACGCGATCATACTCTTTACCCGGTCTTCTATTCGAAGAAATACGTTATTTTTTCTTTCCCCAAATTTTATTTTAACCTTTTAAACTTTCCACTTGCGAATTCGAAGTTTAATTGTTTATTTGATTTATTTTAAAATTACATGTATTGCCTTAATTTCAGGGTTAAAAGTTGCGTTGGTGAATCTTTGAAACAATGCAATTATTGAGATGAGCGAAAAGGCTTTCGCGTCAAACACTTGAACAACTAATTCGAAATTGTTGGCCTTTGCGTTTTCTCATTTCTTTGCCTCACTTTTTTCTTGAATATCAGTAGTAGGAATATTTCAAATGCGTCATAGGACCTCGAAGCCAGATTAGAACAGGTCAGACAGGTCAGAGTCTGACTAGAAGCCAGATCTAGGCCAGGCTTGTAGTAGAGCCAGATCAAGCATTCGAGTCTGACCAGAAGCCAGATCTAAGCCAGGCTTGTAGTAGAGCCAGATCAAGCATTCGAGTCTGACCAGAAGCCAGATCTAAGCCAGGCTTGTAGTAGAGCCAGATCAAGCATTCAAGTCTGACTAGAAGCCAGATCTAGGCCAGGCTTGTACTGGAGCCAGATCAAGCATTCAAGTCTGCCTCTGGCAAGCAACTTCTACTCCTTCTTAACTCTATCTATTCTTATAACTCTCTTTCTAGTCAATAGTCAATAGTCGCCTGTAGTCAATGCCAAGCTTGTAATCAATCGCTTACTAATAGTCAGAAATTTTTCGCTAAGTCTTGGGCAGGTAAGCCGGGTTCTTGAGCAAGTGCCAGCTTCTGACAGAGTTGAGTGCTTTATGTGTAACAAACTTGCTTTAAAGCCAGGTCAGATAAGGCAAGCAGTCAAAAGTAGCTGGCTTCTGGTCAAAAGAAATGATTTTAAAGCAAGCCTTCATTCAACATCGTTTAGGCCAATTCTATTAAAAATCCCCGAATTTTCTCAAAATCATTGACTCATCCCTTTGCTCTGAAGAAAAAAAGGAAAAAGATGATTTCAGTGTGAAATTTTCTTTCATCAAAAAGACTGGCGGCTCTAAAAGTGTCCATTTCCATTGTTTGTTTGGTGAATTCGGGGGTAAAATTTTACTACCCTGGTGGCACCTCAAATGGGGAAAAAGGGAAAGGAAGGGGGAAAAAGGAAAGGAAGGGAAAGAAAGGGAAAGAAAGAGAAAGAAAGAGAAAGACAGTTGATTTTTCGAAAAGAAAACTTTCAGATTTCAGATTATTAGGAAGAGAAATCCCTTATCTTAGCAATTCTAATAGGTGTTAATTTTTGGAATAACGAGCCGCCTTTTGCGTTACCTTTTGGAAAGAAAAAGAATTGCCCCCTTTGAACTCAAAGGCTCATCGGTGGCTCACCTAACCGGAACTTTGTTGATATTTTGATCTGTTAGTTTTAAAAAAAAAAAAAGATTGTTTATTGTTTAGTTCTTAGTTTTACTTCAAGTACTTGAGTATTTTACATTGTTTTTGCGTTCGTTTAGTGTCACGAATATCGTTTAGTGTCATTCGAATACCATATTCTCTCTAATAGTATTGCGGTCCGAGATGGGGTTCAAAAAAAATAGTAGTACATCCTCGAAAATTTGAATTTCTGGTGCTTCTTTTTCATCTAAACCTTTATGTTTCTGTGACATTCTAAAGCTATTCAAGCAAGCAAAAGTGAGGCTTTTTTTTTTTATTCATTTATTAACTATTCTTCACATGAAAAAGTTAGCAAAAAAAGTGCAAAAACATCTTTTTTGTCGTTTGTCAAGACACAAATTGTCAACTCGCCGGCCCACAACTATATTTTAAAAGGAGCCAAAGAAGCCAAAGGAGTACGTGAAAGAATTGCAAGAATTTTTGGAACAAAGATCTGTCTTACTTTGGTAAATGATAAAACTCTTTAATAGTAGTGCACTCTCTAATAGTATTGCGGTTCGAGAGGCGGTTGAAAAAAATAGTAGTACGCACTACTATTAGAGAGAATACGGTATTCTAGAAAAGATGAAATTACATCTAGAATCTCGAATTTTACATTAGAAATCTAGAAATTATACTTGAATGACATCAATGAAAAGTTTGGCTTCGGTTTTTGATCGCTATTTTGATTCAAATTGACTTATAAACTTTAGAAATCACTTTCTAAATGAGCTTCTCTAGAAATCCCTTTCATTTAGCAATCCCTTTCTAAATGAGCTTCTCAATTTCAATTTACAGAGTAATTCAATTGTTTAATTGTTCAATTGTTTAATTGTTCAATTGTTCAATTCAATTGTTCTTTAATCTCTCCAAATCATATATTTCTATATAAAAACCAGTCAAAAACTCTCTTTTAATTGTTTTTGTTTGTTTTTGTTGTCATTGTTTGACTTTTTCTATTTCTAGATAATCTTCAGAAATTTGAGACTCTCTTTTCCCAAAAAAAGACTATCAAAAGCTATTTGTTCTGCTGTTTTGATGGGTCTCAAATTGGTCTTTTTGTTGAAATGTTTCGAAAAGATTGAGTCAAAGAATTGATCAGCTGACAGAGAATGGCTAAAAACTTGCTCGAATGCACATAAAATTGATCAATTTACGAGGGGTCGACACTTTTTTTTTCAACATTCACCTATCTCATTTGCTACTTCACTTCAATCATTGTGCTTAATGTTTAAGTTGAATTGAGATCTTTTCAATTCAACTTTACCTACTTTTACCTTGCATTTTCTTTATAATATTCTTCAAATTAACTTGATTTTTTTACTATTTTATTTAAAAGAATATAAAATACAAAAAATACATCCAAATTTGGAGCAAAAAAATGTCAAAGATCTAAAGAGATGATATAAAAAGATGGCTTAACAGGATGCAGAATTTCTAGCAAGGATACAGCCAAATTTAAGGCAAAAATTGATCTCAAAGATTTGAACAAAGGGACGCCTGCCCGAGGAGGCTTCCACAAGCTTCCAGGGAGCTATCTATTAGGGGCTTGTGCAAGATGATGAGCGATTGTGCTCGCACACAAAGAACATCTTCCAGTCATTTAGCCTGCCCGAACGAAGAAGACTTCCACAAGGGACCTATCTATTAGGGGCTTGTGCCAGATGATGGGCGATTGTGCTCGCACACAAAGAACATCTTTCAGTCATTTAGCCTGCCCGAATGAAGAAGGCTTCCACAAGGGAGCTATCTATTAGGGGCTGGTGCCAGATGATGAGCGATTGTGCTCGCACACAAAGAACATCTTTCAGTAATTTACCAGGGATTTCCCTTTGCTTTACAGATGTTATAAAAAGATATTTAGCTGTAAATTTGTACTCCGGGATTTTCAGGATCGGGGAAACGATTGAAGCTATTCATTTTATTGAGTTTATCATGATAAAGTGCGACTACTTATTCAAAAACCCCATAACAGACATCGATTCCACTTTCAAGTTCTAGTAAACAACAAATCTTGTAGTTAGTCCTGTAGTTAGCTTTGAAGTGACATTTCCCCGAACCCGAATCCCCCTTTCCCCTCAATATGTATCCGTTTCCCCGTTTTGTTGATTGTCTTTGCGTCGAATTGTTCTCTTTTTCCTAACACCATTTCGACGATTTCGTGAGTGCCTCCTTTGGCCCTCCTCAGCCATCCTAATAAACCCCAATAGCCGCAAAAAACGAAACAAAATGAGAATGGAGATATTTCCAAAAAAGCCCAATGCTTTGTTCATGATTTTTTGGATTTCAAATTTTTTGCTTTTTTCTACTATCAAGCTTCAATGATTTCAATTCTTAAATCCTACTTTATTAACCAATTTTTAGATGGGTCAAACAACGAGCTATGAGCCGTGTGTCTTCAATCAAACGACATTCAGTGAGATCATGCGAAACAACTATAACTTAGCAAAGGAATTCGCTGAATATATCAAACGAGTGAATGCGTCCACCGGTTTACTGACAGCTGTGAGAATTTTTCTTTAAAATTCAATCTAATTCAACAAATTCTGAATAGCTTTGATCTCTTTTTTAAATCTGAACTCATTTAGAACGCACTGAACTCGCCATCAATCCTCTCAAATGGGACTACTCCGGCAAAACTCAATCACATCGATCTTCTCAAACTTTATTGTCATCAATATCCGATTATTCCTGAATACGCTCATTTCTTTATTGAGTTTTATTATGTGATGATACCAAAGGAGAAAAATTGTACACCAAAGTTGCCGGATGGGTGAGTGGGGCAGTTTAAAAGGAAATCTCTGTCAAGAGCAAGTCAGCAAAAGTTAGCCTTGGCTGACTTGCCTTGCCTAGTTTGCCTAGTCAGCCTTGCCTAGTCAGCCTTGCCTAGTCAGCCTTGCCTAGTCAGCCTTGCCTAGTCAGCCTTGCCTAGTCAGCCTTGCCTAGTCAGCCTTACCTAGTCAGCCTTGCCTAGTTTGAACCTCTTTACTATTAGTCCTGGATTATATGTTTAAATGTTTCATATAATGTTTAAAAGAAAATCTCTGTCAAAGGCAAGTCAGCAAAAGTCAGCATTGGCAGTTTGAACGCCTTTACTATTAGTCTTTATATTAATGAACTTTACTAGGGTCAAGGATTGAGGACAATGACTTTGACTAGGTATAACTGCTAAGGATTACAATAGTAAAATGATTGTGTTCAGCTAAGTATTCAATGTAAATCTTGAACATTGGCCTTTTATAGAAAACGAATCAGTTTAACAAACAGCTTTTGTTTTCTAAAGCTTTAAATAGCATTGGATTGATGCTTTAGAAAACAAGAGCTGTTTGCGAAAACATAGAAATGACTCCTTTTCCTACAAAAAGCCTATATTTGTTTTGCTCATTTTTACAGTGGTTTGCACCAAGAATACTTAAGCCGTACGAGTTAAGGATTCAAGATTTGCGATTTTGAAGCTATCTTGAAGATCAAGAAGCGAAAGGCACCGAGTGAAAGGCAAGCTGGACTTTTGACTCGAGATCAAGTTCATTTGATAAACTCGGCCATCGGGATCTCGAATCCCCTTTTAGTTTTTGCAAAACGCTTTGCAAACACGAGATAAGCCAAAGAAAATCACTTTGAACTTGAACAACTTGAACATTTCAACTTTTAAACAATCAATCTCCTTTCAGAGATCCATTCACTCCACTTTGGGTAAACATCTTCATCACAATGATCTTCTTCATCATTGGAGTCATCGGAATTGTCGGGAATTTGTTGACTGTTTGGGTAAACAAAAGAAAAAGAAACCTTAACGTAAAGAGAGTTTAGGTGATTTACAAGAACAAGAGCTTACAAACGCATACAAACTATTTCTTAGCCTCATTGGCTTTATCGGATTTGTTGCTGATATTAGTTGGAGTGCCGTTTGATATCATTCATCGATGGTTTCCCAATCAACCACCGCCAATACCGAGATATTGTGAATTCACGAGTGAGTTGAATCATCGAATTGAGACTTTAGCTGACTTTAACTTCATTCTTTCATCATAAACATACTTTGTGCTCAAAAAAAACACAACTTATCTGGCTCACCAAGGTGCTTAAGACACCAAGGTGCTTAAGACACCAAGGTGCTTAAGACACCAAGGTGCTTAAGACACCAAGGTGCTTAAGACTTAAGACTTAAGAGAACGCCAATGAAGCTTAAGACTTGATTCTCAAAATTTCAAGCTAAATTTCTCTTACCCAATCCATTTCCAGGTACAACAATCTCCTTTTTTCACATTTGTTTCCATTTTGACAATCGTCGCGCTGACTGGAGAACGATATACAGCTATTTGTAAACCATTCAGGTTCTTTTTAAAGTTAAAATCGTAAATCTAAAAGTATTTAGTATTTTGAAATTCAATAAGCAACGCGTGCGACGAATCATTTATTTGATTTGGGTGGTCGCTTTCATTCCCTCATTGTATCTCGGAATGCAGGTGAGTGAATCGAAAAGTTCTAAGATCTAAAACTAACTATAAGCTTGATTGTAAGATCTAAAATTGATTATATTCAAAGTTTTAAAGGGCTAGGCATTTAAAGTGCATTATAAAGAACTCCAGAAAACTTGCAAACACTTCTTCATGGATTTTACAGGTTTTTAATCGATAAGTCTTAAAAAATTCTGTAAAATTCTTAAATTACAAGGCTTAGGTATAGATTTTAAAGTGATTAATGTAAAATTTGACTAATTTAGAAGAATCTTTGCTAAATTCTACTAATAGGTAAGCTAGTGAATAGAGAAAAGTTCTAAGATCTAAAACTAATTATAAGCTTGATTGTAAGATCTAAAATTGATTATATTCAAAGTTTTAAAGTGCTAGGCATTATAAAGCACTCCAGAAAACTTGTAAACACTGTCCTTCATCGATTTTACACGTTTTTAATCGATAAGTCTTAAAAAATTCTGTAAATCTCGGCGTTGTGATGATGTCACCTCACCGAATGATCTCTTTCGTCATCCATTTGAGGCTTAGGCATAGATTTTAAAGTAATTAATGTAAAATTTGACTAATTTAAAATAATCTTTGCTAATTTATACTAATAGTAAGAAATATTATAAAAATAACGGATAACAAGTTAAATCTGTTCATCTAAACCAATTTACTTTACTCTTTACTTTACTTTACTCAAAAATTTCAGTATAAACAAGTAGTGGAGGATTTTTGCGGCTACAATCGAGATCTCGGCGTTGGTCTTGGCTATTGTGATTATGTCACCTCACCGAATGATCTCTTTCGTTTTCCATTTGAGGTAAAGAAAAGGCTAAGAAGAATAGGCTCAGAAAAGTTTCATTTTCAGTTAGCCATGGTGATTACCTTTGTATTACCGATGATTTTCATTATGTATTGTTATATGAGAATCCTTCAAACATTGAATACAACAAAGTTGGCGAGAAATCTCACCGTTCACATTCCATTGGAATCAACAAGAAGCGAATCGATTCACAACAATCACAGAAGTAGTTTGAGAGAAAGCATTCGAGAAAAAGTGGGTAAATGATTGGAGAAGGTTTGGCGAATGGCAATGTCAATGCCAATGTCAATGTCAATGTCAATGTCAATGTCAATGTCAATGTCAATGTCAATGCCAATGTCAATGTCAATGCCAATGGCAATGTCAATGTCAATGGCAATGTCAATGTCAATGTCAATGGCAATGTCAATGGCAATGTCAATGGCAATGTCAATGGCAATGTCAATGTCAATATCAATGAAATCTTACTGACTGACTACTACTGACTTCTCACTATTAGATTTGAGAGTTGAACTTTTCAAATCTTACTTGATTAGATCATGGAGTTCGCTGATGCTGCAGTGGTACATATTTATCATATCATCATCAAATTTTGTTAATCTATTAGTTTTATTTTTTATTTTACTAGCTTTTATGTTTCTTTTAGATATAAACTAAAGAATTTTATCAGCTAAAGAATCACAATTAAACCTTTTTCCCCAGCTTTGAACAGTTTCAAAAGCTCAAGCATCACTGCTCAAATGTAAACACACCAAATCTAGTGCAGTAAATCCACTATTTCACACAGTAATGATTGCTATAGAATGCTAAAAGTATAGAAAGAAGTAGGCTAGAAAGGATGCGTTTAGATTTCACAAAGTACACTCAAAAGAACAAGTTTACTGTCATTGAAAAAATGAATTTGGAATTGTATTGTACTTTGTACAGCTTTGTACAGTTTTGTACAGCTTTGTACAGCTTTGTAAAGCTTTGTACAGCTATGTACAGCTTTGTAAAGCTTTGTACAACTTTGTAAAGCATTGTACAGCCTTGTAAAGCTTTGTAAAGCTTTGTACAGCTTTTCCCTTACTCTTAGAGTTAGTTGTAGTTTTTATTTTGATTTCAATTCTTTTCCAATCTTTTCTTTTCAGTTCAGCGGTGCTCCCCGACGCTCTCAACAAGATTCAAATTCCCAAGGTGTCATGCAAGTACATCACAAATTAAGCGTTCAAATGACACAACAAGCGCATCGAATGGTCATCAAAATATTGGGTATACAGTGAATTGATTTCAATCAATATCTTCCATTTCAGTGACTGTCTCAATGACGTTTTTCATTTGCTATCTACCGTATCATTTAGAGCGTCTTATCGCTCAATACATTAAAAATCAATGCAAGCAAAGTCTTTTATGTTTGCTTCTCTATCCGATCACCGGGCTGTTACAGGTCTGTTATCGATTTAGAAATAAAGAAAATCGACTTTAAAAGCTATAAAGTAAACTGGTTTTATTTTAAACACTTAGAATTTGATTGAAAATGTTTAGAAATTGATTTTTCTGAGCTTTAAATGACTTTAAATGCATTTAAATGATTTTTAAATGCAAGCAATTCTGAATGAATGAGCTGTAAGTAAGCTAAAGAGCTTATTATGATTCTTAAAATGATTGAGAACAAAGTCTCACACACTTTAAACCCTATAACACATCTGTAAGCAAAGTCTAAACCATATCTAAATCGAATTTCAGTATGTCTCAGCTACTCTGAATCCAATCTTCTACAATCTGATGTCCGATCGTTTTCGTGCGGCTTTCAAGAGCACTTTTGAGAACATCTTCCGCAGTCCAAAAGAGTATCAAAATATTGTGAGACATTGATTTCCTTTTTTCACTTCTTTTCCCCTTCAACTATCTGTGTATAATCTTTTCTTCTACTCACATCAACTCTTAAATTCCCTCCTTTTTCAAGAATGGTGCGAGTCAACGTTTGGCGATGAGAGTCATTGAAAGAAGAGGGACAAGATGCACGGAATTACTCTCAACTGAAAGTCCTATGTAGAAAATGTTTCGTTTTACTTCGTTTTTTTACTGACATGACAGTTAGAGCTTTGGTTTTTGAGGTTTTATGAATTAAAATTAAAGTCAAGTTTTGTTCTTTCAAGTGTAGTTCAATCTTTTCCTGCTTCTTTTGTTATCTTTCAGTATGAACCTCACAGAATTAGATCTATTGGGTTGATGAATCCATTGCAACCAAAGGGTAGAATTCTTCCATTGCAATCGATTCCCGCACAAACTGTTTTGGAGAAGCCCAATCCTTTAACACCACCTGAAATTGCTGAGGTAAAGAAGCTATTAATGAACTATTGGGTTGGTGAATTGAAAACTGCGGGCTATTGCCATATGTGACAGTTTGAGCACTTTCTTCAAAAGAAACCCATTTTGGTGTCAATGGAAAAGTTGTAGAGAATCAAAAGTCAAGATTATATCCAAATTTTCAGAACGATTCAAAAAACTGGTTTTCAAGAAATGCGAAATTTACGAAACTTTCACAAAACTTGCATTTTAAGCGAAACTACTAAGTGTATCTTTTTGGAAATTTGGCTATAAGCCTAATTTTTGATTCTCTACAACTTTTCTATTGACACCAAAATGGGTTTCTTTTGAAGAAAGTGCTCAAACTGGGACATTGGGACATCTTCAGTCCTCCATTTTTGAGTCTCACACTTGTCTCACACACTTGTACTGGGAGTTTCTGGATAGCAAGACGACCGTTAATGCAATCAAATACAGTGGACTGTTGGGAAAGGTGAATGAATCCCTAAAGAAGATTAGGCCCTCCAAGTCAAAGATCGTTCTCATCCACGACAACCGCCCTCATATTGCAAAACTGACTCGCTCTAAAATAAATAGCCTTGTTTGGGGAACTTTTGGCGCATTCCCCATACAGTCTGGACCTCGCCCCTTTTGCTTATTATTTATTCTGGATCATGAGTAATGAGCTTGCGGGAGAACACTCCGATTCGGAAGAAGCAGTCAAAAATTGGCTTTGAAAGTTTTTCGATTCAAAACCAAAATCCTACTACGAAAGAGGAATCCACAAATTGCCTGTAAAATGGGCAGTAGTCGTCAATAATAATGGAAATTATTTGGAATGAATTCATGGTTTTATTTTGAATAAATTTTAGTTCAAAGTCCCGCAGTTTTCAATTCACCAACCCAATAGATAGTTTGAAGAAACTAGTGTCAAGTTTATGATAGTTTTCAAAAGTTTGACATATTTAAAAAAAGGATTACATGATTAAATCCAAACCTCTCTTCAGTTCTAGCTGTCATTTCCTCTAAAACAATGTCGTGATACATCTCTCGTTGTTGTGTTTTTCTATACTTTCCAATTTTTTTTTCTTTTACAAATAAAATTCCTACAGTATTCATTTTTTCGCGATGCTGGTGATATCATTTTTTATTAACTGTGTGTACATACACATTTATTGGTGCTTCTCATGTTTTTGGCTTGTTTTTTTAAAGAAGAATAAATACTTTCTATTTATTGAGCTAAAAGTTAAATATATCTTGTAATTAGATGAATGAAAAAGAGAGAAAATAAAATTGTAAATTATAAATAGCACAACTCGAACATTTAACAGCTCAACTTCTACGGCACTTCATCCTGTTTTCATTTTGAACTTTTTGACGGCTCTCTTTTTATATTTAGACTTTTTTGATCCCATTGATCAAGGTAATTTTTATCGATTTTCTGCACTTTTTCTTTAAAATCTTTCATCCCATTGATCCCATTGATCCAGCGAAATATTCATTCATTGTTTGAGCTTCATTCTTCATTATAATTTCTTCATTATAGTTTTAGAGATGAGCTAAGCGATAGTCATCGTCTCCCCCCACACACAAAATATTTTTAGATCTAACCAATCCTTTTTCATAACATGATATTTATCGATTTTAGTCGCCTTAATTCAATTCAATGTTTTGAAACGATTTCTCCTGGGGGCCTCCCCTTTTTTCTACTACTACTACTCTTATTGACCTTCTTGAACTAAAATTGAACACTTAAAGCCATTCCCATACTCTTTTTGCAGCCCCACAAACGATTCTAACTCAAAAGACCCAAAGATTCAAAAGTCTCCCATAGTTTTTCGGAAATTTCGAAAAAAACATACATTGTTCTTTTTGCAAAATACCAAGACCATTGGAAATGATTTTTCCATTGGAAAAGTTGAGCAGTGGCTTATTTCCAATTCAGCCCATTTTGACTAATTTTCTAGAGAGATGCTAGACCTTTCTAATAGAACAAACTGTAAACTATTTGGTATTTGGTATCTATACAGAAAAGGCTTGATGTTACGTAATTCAGTTTCACATGGGCCAACGAGTGCTCGATTGGGTTGCAAAAAAAAAGAATATGGCGGTGTCTGCAGAAGAAAAACGTCATTGATGCAAAACGACACGGAAAGACGCCCAAAACGGTATCCGAAAACCTTCACTTTCAGTCCATCGTCGATTCACTTTGGAAGTTTTGGGTCGCTATTCTACTGGAATAGCAGCCCAAGCCCCATATTTGTATGGATAACCTTCTCTATTACTAATTTTGTCTTTTAGCTCAATCTTTCGGATGGCGCACTTGAGCATCCCACAAAACTTACAAGGGGATGCCACAAAATAGTCGTAGCAGATTTTGACGCCGTTGAGATCTAAATGCCTATCGGACACGGGGAATCCGATGCTGAATTCAGTTTTTGCCCATATTCAAAAACACGCGAGAAAAACGTGTCTAAACTTAGGGTTTCTACTCGGGAAATCGTGCCGCGGGCTTATAAAGGCTCTTTTCCGATTAAGACCTAAAGCTAGCGCAGTGCAGCTAGCGATTAAGACCAAAAGCTTTGTAATACTTTCAAATTCCGAGAAGTTCGAAAGAAACCAACTTCTCGAAATTTGAAGCTCTTGCAAAGTTTTTGGTCTTAATCGCTAGCCTGCATGCCAGAATATGCCAGAATATTTATTAAAAGTTGCCGAAATGCCCCTTTGCTGAAATTTGGCGCTCCGAAAATACGCTTCCAAGGAAAATAATCGATTTTTAGCTTTAATTCTTTTCACTTGCATTGAATTTTTTATATGACACTTGTTTTGTATTAGGTTCATGACTATTTGTGTTGATGAGAACTATTCTTTGAGGTTTGCTAACTATTTCTGATTTTATTTCTTTTTTTTTTCGCGAAATCATGGTTTCTTTTATCAATCACCTTCAAATGCTTATTTGTAAATAAATCGTATCACGTTCTATTGGTTATTATAAGCAACGTTATTGAGTGACAGCTTTTTATTTTACGAAAGTTTAGAAACACTCATGAAATCTTGTTGTAGGTTCAGCGCTGAACTTTCATTAGCGACACCAAACTTGTTTCTTATAAGTTATAGAAATTGAATCTTTTAGACTTGATGTCTTTACGCGGTGAGTGCATCATTTGTTACTCAGCATTCACTCCGACAACAGTCTCTGCTTTGCCATGTGGACACACGTTTCACGAGCAGTGCATCGGGCAGTGGCTAGATGTGCGTTTTTGGTGGTTGAATAAAGCGGATAGCTAAATAACATTTGAGTAGCCGGTTGTTTCATTCTAGCATTTTTAGACACCTGGTCGAGGATGCCCGAATTGTCGAAGAGAATGTCAGGCGAAAGATGTTACTCGTATATTTTTCGAGAATGGCGACTTGAATGATACTTTAAACGTGACAACACAAGAGGGTGGTGAAGGAGATCTGCTGGCCAAAGTATTTTTTTCTTCCTATTTGTTACTTTAATGACTTTTTAGAACAAAGATTTACAAGCTCGTTTGAATGATGTTGCTGCTAAAGAATCGAAAGCAAAGAAGGATCTATCTATGCAAAATGGAAAACTGGAAACTCTGAAAACTCTTGTGAGAATTATTTTTGTTCGATAAATATATTATGCTTTAGGTTGCAAGTGAAAAAAGGACGGCGAAAAGGGCTACTCTGTAAGTTTGTGACAATTTGCATCAATACATCTCTTAAGGAAACTCGAGTTGAAAAGGGCTGAATTATTGCAAGTCCGATCCATGCTACACGACGTTAATGAAACGAAGAGCGAGAACAAGCTCTTAAAGCAACAGCTTGAAGCGAGTGATTTGTGAGATTTGCAGAAATAATAGGTTTAATGAGTTACATTTAGTTACAAAAGTAAAATGGTTCAAGAGCTGGAAGTGAAGAATAAAAGGTTGAAGTTTTCTGAAAAAAAATTACAGTTTACTTTAGGCTTTCTGAACTTGAAATGGAGAAGAAACATTTGCAAGAGGCGGTGCGCACGCTCACTGTGAGTTTTTTTAATATTTCAATAAATTGTGCTAGTTTGGCCTTAACAATTGATTTAGGAAGAATGCAAACATCAAGGAGTGACACCTCAGAATCCAAAAATTAAAAAGCTATTGGCTCTCAGGTATCTTGGCTTTATGTGTGATAAAATTAGTTGGCAAACTTTAGCCCCTCACGCAGAGACTCCTCAGATCGTATTGATAGAATGAAGAAAACAATGAGGGTTTACAAATTTACATACTTTTATTTATAAATTTGTTTTAGGAAAAAGGCCTGGTTATGCCTTCTAAAACTGAAGCTATAAAGAAGCCCACATGGTCCGAGGAGAAGAAAAAGTTAGCGAGCATTCTTACTGACATAAAATTATATTTTTTGGATGGATGTCTTCTGGGGATAAAAAAGAAGCCAGCACTTCAGTGCAACCACCTCCTCTTCTGATTGACATCGAGTAACTAAAATTTCCTTTTCATTATAATTTTTCAGAACATCGAATGTTGATAAGTTTGACAAGATTCGTGTTCCAAAAGGAGTCGCTCAACGAGTAGTGCCTTCAGGTTTAAAGATGTTTTGCTTTTTAAGCTCTGTTGCCTTTAGTTACTACGGGCGAGCCTACGTTGCACAAAAGGGTTATAGATAGACTTTCAGGTAGAAATAACTTTTGTTTTTTCTATTTATTGTTTCTTTAGCTCTTAAGACCAAAAATGTTTCCAAAAGTGGTGCGGATGAACTTGGCGGCTCAATTCATCGTCTTGGTGATCGTGCTCTGACCCCTATCGGTAATTTGTTCATTAACTTCACGTATTAGAGAAATTTAAAGAAAATGCTCCTTCAAGCTCCTCGTCGATTTTGGGTCGCTCGAGTTTGCCGCTTCAAAGCTTCGCTTCAAAACGTCCAGCTCAACCAATCATCGAGGCTCTGAAAGCCAAAAGGGTGAGCGCTTGTCATGTAATCATGTAATTAATAATTAATAGTGGAAGATTTCTATCACACAATCGGATTTCTTTAGAAGCTCACGACCAGCATCAAATCCAACGCTGTCATCACTTTGGACTAAAAAGGCATATCCAGCGACATTGTGCGTTTTATTTGTCTCTCATTCTCGCCTCTGATATTCGTATGTGATTGCTATCTCATGATCTCGAATGTACTATTTACTGGTCATTTAAAATTATTCGATTGTCTATTTGTAGTAATTTGTGCATGCATAGTAATTTATGTATGCATTGTAATTTGTGCATTTAAGTAATGCCTTTTAACAATAAATTTTAGCGCATTTGAGTGCAAAACCATTCTCGCATCCCTAGAATCAAATGGTTTGGCGATAAAAACGAACGTGCAATCCCTTCATAAAATGAATGACGGTGCTGTTTGGGAAAGTTCAATTTTGGATCTCAAACTTGAAGTTATGAACACATTCACAATCCGAAATCGAAGCCATACTTTGAAAAAGTCAAATTTTGGAAATTCTATTGAGAATTGACCTCAAGAATTGCATAGTTTTTTCAATAAATCTTTTACCCATTCGATTTATCTTGAAATACTGGTTTTTACAAAAATTCGAACCGTTTCCCAGCACACAAAGAATTGGGATGAATTTTTGAGCAGTGTGTAACGGGGGTGGGACAAATGCTACCTTTTTTTGCGCACCTGAACATTTGCGCACCTTTTTTTTCGCTGGAAAAGGCCTTAGGAAAGGTCATAGAGCTTCAAAAATGTTTTCATGTAAGGGAATGCGTTGATTTCTATATAACAGAAAATCGTTATATAGAAATTTGTTTGTTAACATTTTATTAAACATTTTGCCGAGCCATCGTTATATCGTTATGTAGTTATCGTTATGTAGAAGGTCGTTATGGAGAAGTTCGACTGTACGTCTCTAGGTCGGTTCTGAGCTTTCAAAGACAATAAAAATTCCGGAATTGAATTCAGGTATCAGACCAGGAAGGTTCCTCATCAACCAATCGGGAGAATCACGAGTGGATTGTATTTGATGCAATCAAAGCTTTATCAAAAATATGATCATGGAAAATATGGTAACTTATGGTAAAATATGGGAAATATGGGAAATATGGTATAATATTGGGTTGGTGAATTGAAAACTGCGGGCCATTGTCATATGTGACAGTTTGAGTACTTTCTTCAAAAGAAACCCATTTTGGTGTCAATGGAAAAGTTGTAGAGAATCAAAAATCAAGCTTATATCCAAATTTTCAGAACGATTCAAAAAACTGGTTTTCAAGAAATGTCGAAATTTACGAAACTTTCACAAAACTTGCATTTTAAGCGAAACTACTAAGTGTATCTTTTTGGAAATTTGGCTATAAGCCTAATTTTTGATTCTCTACAACTTTTCTATTGACACCAAAATGGGTTTCTTTTGAAGAAAGTGCTCAAACTGGGACATTGGGACATCTTCAGTCCTCCATTTTTGAGTCTCACACTTGTCTCACACACAAACGAAAATCCTACTACGAAAGAGGAATCCGCAAATTGCCTGTAAAAGTCGGCAGAAGTCGTCAATAATAATGGAAATTATTTGGAATGAATTTATGGTTTTATGTTGAATAAATTTTAGTTCAAAGTCCCGCAGTTTTCAATTCACCAACCCAATAGAAAAGTTTTTCAAACGTTCATTCAAACTCTTCATTACCACTGTATATTATCTCAATGGATTCAGATTTCGAGTGATGAAGAGGTGGCTAGTCTACGAAATGTTAATCAAACTCTTTGATAAAAGTTATGCCTTCTGTAACGTTTCGTTGTCAGTAAACAGTTTTTTCAAGTAAATTCTTTCAAAATCTTGTCTTCAATTCCTTTCCCCAGCTTGACTTAATGTTTTTTGTAGTATCGATTCAATGATTATTTTATTTATAAAGTTGATAAATTGATTTTGTTTCCAATTTTGAGAAAAGCTGAAAACAAATTTTTGCAAACGATCAAAATTCACTTGAAAATCGAAACACAAAAGTATAGCACCGAGTAACTCTAAAAAAAGGAATAAAATGAAGAATTGGAAATAACAAATATCAATCTAGAACTTCTAAAGTTGCACAAAATATTGTAAAGATATTCTATTATAAAAGTCTGAAATAAGCTGCTTGTGTGTCTTTTGTTGGGATCACTTTTTCAAGCGGTTTTTCTGTTATTGTTGAGATGACCTCTACAGCATTTCCCAATTCATTCAAATTCACAAAGGTTTCTTCTTTCATCTAAACATTTGGATACTTGAAAATGGTAAAAAACTGAGGCACTGGTGACTTTTGTTTTCCAAGAAACGCAAACTTGTCTTTATTTTACTGCATTTACATATCGTAAATGCTGTATTAGAGCGCCCGGATGCTCTATTTTTCAATACTTTCGGGGATGGGACAAATGCTACCTTTTTTTGCACACCCGGCTAAAGGCGCCCCTTTTTTCACTGGAAAAGGCCTTAGGAAAGGCCGTAGAGCTTCAAAAATGTTTCCACAGAGGGGAATCGTATGCGTAGATTCCGAATTTCGACAAATCAGACCTCGCTGACACGTCAAATTTGGGCTAAAAGGCAAAAACTGCGGAAAAGCGTTAAGTTGCGTATTTGAAGCTCTACGGCCTTGCCTAAGGCCTTTTCCAGCAAAAAAAAAGGTCGCATTTGTCCCACCCCCATTTCTGTTTATTTCAATACTTTCTAAAACTTTCTAATATATCATCTACAATACCGTATTTCCTGTAATAGTAGTGCAGTCTATAATAGTAGTGCAGTCTGTAATAGTAGTGCAGGCAGGAGGGGGGTTGAAAAAATAGTAGTGCGCACTACTATTACAGAAAATACGGTATATGAACTTGCACAAGACAGTTTTCATTTCAGATTTGTAATTTCATTTCATTTCATTTCAGATTCCTAAAATTTGAGTGGATAAAAGTCACAAGAATTAGGCAAGTTGATATCCATTCAAATTTTAATCCATTCAAAATGGGAACACAACTTTGCCTGATGCAATTCACTCATTCTTCATTCTCAAGGCTATGGTCTTTTTGAGCACAACGTACAAATTCATTTTTTTTTGATCCTCACCTCCACTTTCGATTCATGTCCATTATCCATTTCGAATCTCGGAAATCCCTCCTCTTCATAGTCAATCGGTTTCCGTGTCACGAAAATCTCTTCGAGCCGCCGACCAGCTTTTTTAAACTCTTCCAAGTTCACCTGACAAGTATACAAAAATATTTTTGTTTTTGGTATCAACGTTGGTCACCCGTAAACGCACCCTTTTTGGTGCACTGAACTCTTCAGTTTTCTTCTTCAGTACGTCAGAAGATGTGCGTTTTCAAATTTAAGAACAAAGAACACTTGAAAGCTGAACAGCAGCTAGCAGCAGCACTCGTAAACTGAACAAACAGACCTTTGGTGTCAAATTTTCCAAAATCGATGCTTTCAAGAGTTTCAACAACTCGTTTTGAGACAAATCCTCGATGTTGAGAAATTTTCGGGGAACTAAAACAAAAAAATTCAATAGGATATGAAACGAAAGCTGTATGAAGTTCGACTGTACATCTCTAGGCCGGTTCTGAGCTTTCAAAGACAATAAAAATTCTACTGGACTACTGGAACTATTGGACTTACCGTTTTTCGTTTCAACAATCGCTTCATACGATCTTTTCCTTTCCGTTTTCACCTCATTATCGAGAAGTGTGCTTGTTGTTGGTGAGGTGGATTTTCTAGAAAATTAATTGGATCCAATTGTTAGCTATTGTTAGATAACGGAAAAAATAGAGCTAACTAAACCTGTTGTCAATCTTAATCAATGGTCCTTTTGTCCATTCTGATGGCAAGTCGAATGAGTTCCGGGCTCGGACCGAGCATCTAAAAGGTACTTTTCAAAATTTCATATAATATCTAATATTTGAAAGTTATTTGCATTACTTTATACTCAAAATAAGCAAATAGATTTGTATTACCTGATCTGAAAAGTGTTTGACGGTAAACGAAAGCTCTCATCGTAGCCAGTGTAGAACTCGGGAATGTCTACATGGAACAAGGTTTTGTCCTGCAATTCAGAGCTTCATTAACAACGTTTATGTGATAATTTTTGATGAAGAGAATTTCAAAGCCTATAAAAGTTTCAAGTTAGTTTTCTCCCTGACCTCCGTCGCGTTTTCCTCCTTGACTCGGCACTGGATTTGATATTTTCGGTCAGCTAGGTCGCCATCTGAAGCCCTTGGTGGATAAGTTACGATTTTATTAGACAGGATGTCCGGAAAAATCGGTGGTCATCGGTTTGAGTCTGGAAAAATTTTCTCGTTGACTTTTCAAGGCTCTTCGTGGTTTCAGAATTGGTTCTGCGTCATACAACAAGATGAAGTTCATTTTTTTTGATGATTTTGTGAATGGGGGGTAATAGGGATTTTGTGAATAGGGATTTTGAGCTTCCCGGCATCGGCTAGGGAGCTCAAAATCCACGTATACAAAACACACTTTCGAATTCTTCTATTTCACCACAAATCTTTCTACTTTTTGTTTCTATAAATTTGCTTTTTTTTTCTTTTAATGTTCAGTTTGCATTGTTGGATTGGCTATTTCAAAAATCTTGAAAATATGATTAATTTTTAAACGATAGAACTCTCTTGTTGTTGCTTTTGGAGTCTCTTATTTTCCGGCCTTTTCCGGCCTTCAAGATTCTAATTTGAAAACAAATTTTTAGAAACAAAAAGTAGAAAGATTTGTGGTGAAATAGAAGAATTCAAAAGTGTGTTTTGTATACGTGGATTTTGAGCTCCCTAGCCGATGCCGGGGAGCTCAAAATCCCTATTCACAAAACCCGTATTACCCCCTATTCACAAAAACATCAAAAAATCAACTTGATCTTGTTGTGTGGTGCCTGAGGTAAAACCAATTCTGTCAGCGCGATGAGCCTTGAAAAATCAACGAGAAGATTCCAGATTCAATCCGATGGCAACTTTTTTCGGACACCCTGTTATTTATAACGATTGTTCATTGTTACCAGCATCTCCCCAAATCGTGGGCGGTGTCCATCTCAATTGAATATGATAGATTGGGAGATCGGCTTCACTTTGTTTATTTCTTAAATTATCGGATAAAATTTACAACTCAAAAAATTTTTTTAGATTAATAAATAGAAGATATGATAAATGTTAAATCCCCAAACCTCAAAAGTATTCGATCAGCCGAGACTCGTAATCGTCCAACATTATCGGGTGGCCCTTTCAATTTCACCACTCGTACGAACACTTGTCCGGTTTCCATCTAAACAATGAAAAATTGCGATTGAGAAGCTCTCAAATTTGATTTTTATTTCAACTTACATTTCTGCTTGCAATTTTATTTGGCTCAGAAAAGGCAATAATAATATAAGAAATAAAGGGGATGAGTCTCTCAAAATACATCTGAAATTAAAAATTGAAAAAGTGAGAGGTTATTTAAGCGTTCGTAACTAATAATTATCAATAATTGACGTAAAAATTGGCAAATCGGGAATAGGAATCGCCCACATTTAGCTCGAGAAGTTCGATGGAGGAGGAGGGGAAAGTGAAATTTAAATGGAAATCAGGAAATGGAATTGGCGGTGAGAAATGATAAGCGAATCAGGTTCACTTTCTTGAAAGGAAAACAAGAGAAATGAGATCGTAATACTTATAATACAATGAAACAGTTCATAGGTGATTGTAGATCATTTTTATTGAATACTGTAGCCTGTAACTGTAGCTACTGTAAAGAAAGCAAGAGAAATAGATCGAGTACTATTATCTTGGAAAGAAAATTCTCGGAGAAAGTTTGCAGAGTGATTTCTCAAAAACCAAGCCATAAATTCTTTCCAGATTTTTTGATAAACTTCACTATATTTCAAAGTTTTTGACGAAAAAATCAGAGTGAGCTTGTGGTAAAAAATAAGAGATTTCTTCAGCTGAAGTGATTTGATCACTTTTTGAGTGACCAGCCTTTAGACAAGCTTTTAATGGGTTAATGAATAAGCAATGGGTCCCATTTAAAACCTAAAATCAAGTACTTAAAATAGGGAAAATATTTGTGATAAAGGCAAATTTAATCTATGCAAATCTATGCAAATCTAATGCTTTAACTTTTCAGAGTCACCTATTTTAGCAAATACTGAAGTGTCAAGAAGCTGACATGAAAAAATGATTTTTTGAAAGCTTCTCTGTAAAAAATTTTTGGCTAAAAATAGAGATTATAGAGCTTATTGTTCATTTATGATAGCTTTACATCATCAGAAATCCTTTTTCTCGTGCAAAAGGTGAGCTGAATTTAAGCTGAATCATTTTTCAAAAATCTCTAAAAGGGAAATCTTTAAGGGAAAGCTGCTTTAAGGGAATCTTTAAGGGGAAAGCTTTAAGGGATTTTTTTACGAGTAATTTCTTGGAGTCCACTTGTAAATAATCGAAGAAAATGTTCTTGAATTAGGGAATTCGTTTTTAAGAAATTCCAGTCAAACTTTTTACGAGAACTTACTTTCCAACCAAATAGAATGAATATTATCGGTTGCGAATGCAGAAGCTGAGTTGGTTATGGTATGGTTTTTGGTTAATGTAGCCAATTAGTCAGTAGACTACTGTAGCCAATAAATCAACCAGTCAGCAAATCCTAGAACCTCTTACAAACCTTCAGTTTCATCTAAACTACCTATTTTGGACCTGATTTTCTGAGGGTTTTGACCGAAAGTTACCAAAAAAAAGACAGACTGGACGGGATACTGTAGCCAAAAAAAAAGACAGATACTGTAGCCTTCACAAGTTGACACTTTGAGGAAACACAGCAGACCACGCGTCATTCAACACGGTTTGCTGGTTCAAATGTCATATCCCGTGTTTCAGCTGTTCTAGATCAGTTTCACCTGGAAAGGTTATTGAGATAATTCGTTATACAAGTTCTCATAATAGTTTTGCTTACGCCCACCCAGACGAAGACCAGGTGACACATTTTTTTTTTGTTCTAGAATCGTTAATCAGTACAAAAAGCCCTTCCTTTTTTGTAGAAAAACCCTACTACAAGATTCTTGAGTTTTGACTTTTCGGATATAAGATTTAGAATTCCCAACGGAAAGAGATTTGCAAGATTACAAAATCTCCAAAAATATACAAAATGTAAACTTTGAAATAAAATATTAAGAATTTTGCTTGGCACTGAAAAAGACCAAAAAATTTGGAACGCTTCACGAATTTGCGTGTCATCCTTGCGCAGGGGCCATGCTAATCTTCTCTGTATTGTTCCAATTTTAGTATATGTTCATAGGAATGAACGAGGTGGCTGAAAAGGAGGTCCTTTTTATGGCCCCTTCTCTCGCCGGGCGCCAGAAAGCGCGTGTTTACGTGGGCACACATAGAACACAGGGGTGAGTCAGACTGGTTACTCTTAAAATCAGTAAAGCAACAAGGGTAAAGCAGTAAAACATTTTAAAACCAAATCATTGTTCTAACATTGCAAAAAGTTTTTAAAGAATTAAATAATGGATTGAGGAAGTTTAGAAGGTTGGAAAAGATTTACTCAGCCAAATATTCGTTCTTTCTCCAAATTTCTGAGCTAAACTACAGTCGTCTCATTAAAATCTGTAAAGCCATTGCATTTTTTTGTTGTGATTTGATAATTTTTGTCTCTAGAGGGTTGCTGAAAAAAACAGGTGAATTTAAAGTTGCAAGAGTTTTGTACTAAAAAGGTTCTATTGTGTTTTGTGCTTTTCGAATTCACATGGATTTATTCAAAGACAAGACCACAAAGATTCCATAACCAAACCAAAAAATGTTGGATCTTACAATTTGTAAGTTACAAAGTTAAAAATCTCGAAGTCTAGAAAACATTCTTTTAAATGAATGAACTGGACAAGCAAAGTCTAACCATATAATTTTAAAAAAACCACCTTATGCATGCATAAATTACTACAAATAGAAAATCGAATAATTTTAAATGACAAGTACGTTCACGTTCCTTCACGTTCATTCCTATGAACATATACTAAAATTGGAACAATACAGAGAAGATTAGCATGGCCCTGCGCAAGGATGACACGCAAATTCGTGAAGCTTTCCAAATTTTTTGCTCTTTTTCAGTGCCAAGCAAAGTTCTTAATATTTTATTTCAAAGTTTACATTTTGTATATGTCGTAGCCGTTTACGAAATTCAGCCGCTAACGAATGATATTTTTTCACTAGATGCGTACGAAATCTTTGTAATCGGCTTTTGCGAACATGGCTAGATTCAAATGAATTTACCATGTTTTTGATTTCAAATTTTTTATGCAAAAAAAAGAAAAAAGTTTATTTTGAAGCGAGTTATTAAAAGTTGTTAAAATGCCCCTTTGCTGAAATTGGGTCCTCCGGGAGGACTTCTCCCCATTGTTATCAGAGATTTCGGATTCATTTTCTTTCTGCTTTTTTTATTATTCTTTGGTTTTATTATACATAACCATTTGTTTTTTTTCAGGATGAATTCATTTCTCAACCAATTTGACGCGTATCAAGTCTTGAAAAAGCGAACGCATAACGACGAAAAAATACTGAAATTGTGAACAGATTGACAACAATGTCAAGTGAAAGTGAAAGCGTGAAACGGAAGCGAACGACAGAAGAGGCAAATTGGGCACGTCGTTACTCGATTCAATGTATTGAGCAATCAACGATACTCTACAATCATGGAGACAAAGAAGCGAACAAACAACCAAAACGAGTCGTCAAGAAAGAGGAACTCTTCGATGTTTTGACGTCAACTCACAAAAGATTAAGACACGCCGGCCGGGATCTGATGTAGAAAGAACTTCGAGGAGTTTATCACGGGATCTAAAAGGAAATACTCGAGATTTTTATCAAACTTTGCCCGGAATGTGAATTAAAGAAGGGGACGCCAAAAAAGGAGTTGTTGTGAAGCCGATCATAACGAAGGAGCAAAATGAACGCTGCCAAGTCGACTTAGTTGATCTTCAATCGGTTCCGCATGCATTTTAGTTGATGTTTTGTTTGTTATAAACGTTATTATGTCATAAACATTAATATGTTATACATCTTAAATGTTGTAAATTTTATTTCACTTGTTGTGATTAGTTTGCTGATTTGAGTTTTGCATAAATAGTTTGAAATCTAAAACTCATTTGAATCGAGCCATGTTCGCAGAAGCAGATTACAAATTGTACATGGCTAGCGAAAAAATTTCATTCGTAATCGGCTAGCCGTTAACGAATCATTCGTTAGCAACTGAATTTCGTAAACGGCTACGACATATATTTCTGGAGATGCAATGGCTTTACTGGTTTTAAGTGTAACCAGTCTGACTCTCCCTTGCGTTCTCTGTGTGCCTACATAAACGCGCGCTTTCTGGCACCCGGTGAGAGAAGGGGCCATAAAAGGAACCTCCCTTTCATCCATCTCGTTCATTCCTATGAACATATACTAAAATTGGAACAATACAGAGAAGATTAGCATGGCCCCTGCGCAAGGATGACACGCAAATTCGTGAAGCGTTCCAAATTTTTTGCTCTTTTTTAGCGCCAAAAATAAATTTGGACGAAATAAGAATATTTGGCTGATTTTTAGCTAAACTACAGTCGTGTAAAGCCATTGCAAAATCTGTAAAGCCATTTTTTTGTTGTGATGTGATAATTTTTGTCTCTAGAGGGTTGCTGAAAAAAAACAGGTGAATTCAAAGTTGCAAGAGTTTTGTACTCAAAAGGTTCTATTGTGTTTTGTGCTTTTCGAATTCACATGAATTTATTCAAAGACAAGACCACAAAGATTCCATAACCAAACCAAAAAATGTTGGATCTTACAATTTGTAAGTTACAAAGTTAAAAATCTCGAAGTCTAGAAAGCATTCTTTTAAATGAATGAACTGACCAAGCAAAAGTTTCATAATTACTTCAGAATATTGAAAAGGGCAAGAATTTCAGTGTGAAAACTGGGATTTGACCAAAAAAAACAGAGTAGCACAGTTTTTTGTACCAGTAAAGTGAAGAGAAAATACACATCGATACAAAAATTCAATCAATAATAAAAGTATATCACGAAATATATCCAAGAAAAAAGATAAAGGATTTGTTTTCATTATCGGATTAAAAAAAACACACACGCAAGTTTAGTCCAGAACCTGTGTTTTAGTTTAGTCCAGAACCTAAAGCTGGTTACATTAACCAGCTTTAGTTTTCTGATGACCCGGGTGTTTTCATCAATTGATCCGTATCTGAAATAGGTTTTTGTATTTGTGAGATAGCTCTAATTAGCATGAAATTACCCTAAAATTCCATAGATAAGAGCGGTTTAATTTTTGCAAAAATTTTTTTAATATTTTAATTTATTATAAAACCAAACAACAACAACAACAACAACAAAAGTAACAATAATTTAACTAATATTTTCAATTTCTACATCGTCATCATCGTTTATATCCATACAGGAAAAATCGTTTTTGAGATTTTCAACATCACACAATGCTTTTTCAAAGCTGTGTATGATAGTGTCAGAAGAGATGGGAAAAAAAAACTTTTGCTGACCAAAAATGCAGCTTCTTGGTGGCTCATTCTTTTTCTGATTCCGCTTTTTGTATAATTTGCATTGACTTAACTACAGTATATTAAACGTTAAAACATTAGAATATAAGTTATTAAATTTACATTAATCAACCTGAAAGTGCCCAAGTATAGTATGCTAAATGGTAGAAATACGGTAGTATCTAGGTTTTAGAGGAGTTCATTTTTGCAATAACTACCGTAAATACTGTAATAGTACCCCACCCCCATAATGATGGTGCGGCGTGTTGCGTAGTCTAACTTTGAACCGGTTTTTCTCGGCACTGGTTTATGCTAAAATGTGCGCTTAGGTATCAAAAAATAGCTGAAATTCAGAGCTATTTTTTGATACCAACGACTCATTTTTTGAAAGTAAGGGCGCTTTGAAAAATAAGCAGACCCGGGGTGGGGGTAGATCAGCTGGCAGGCCCGGATCAGCTGCAAGCTCTCTAGAGATATGTAGCTCAAGCGCATCACTAACTACTTCCGAATTTACAGCATCTATCACCAAACCGGGCTTATCTAAACCCACCTCCAGCTATGCGTCATTACGGCTAAACGCTCACAAAGTCGAATGTAAACACGCAATTTTGCATATAAAGACCAAATTTGTATACGAAATTGCCACAAAAATTTTTGTGTTAATACCGAGGTCAAAAAAAATGCAGTTTTTAAAAGCAAATCTATGTTAAAATGCAAAATTCATGCTCAGCGCCATCGATTACTCCGGAAAAAGTGAAAATCTCAAATATATAGCTGCCCCCCAACTAGTATTTTCAATGTTGGTTAATTTCTAATCAATATGGCTGTTAGACAAAGTCGAACATCCCATTCTTGTGTAACTAATGAATTTCCATCAACTTACAAGATGCGGAGATGATGTTAGTGAGCACCAGTCCCACAAAGTTCTTCTTATCGTTCGTTGGATCGTCGTTCATCTTGAAGTACCTACAATTGTCGCTTACAAACGTCAGAATCGTTGTCATTTGCTTGATCTTTCAAACTCTCATCCACTCACCATCCCATATGTTGTTTACACGTCGAGCACACGCAAATGATCCAATGCATTCCGGGGAACCACGAAGCATCGTGTGAAGCCTTAATCGAATAGATTTTTGAGATGAACTTTACGCTAGAATGGAAACACATCCTTTCTCGTGCATCGAATGCTATATGTTTCAAGGGACACAAGAGTTTTGGCGCTGGAAATGAAAGGGGATGTGTTTCTAGTTTTGAAACAGAAATGGCAAATTTAGTTTGAATAGCATTTAGATTCAAGAAGAATCGAAAAGATTTCTAGTTGCTTTAGCTTTTTCCTCAACGTACATCTCCCTGGAAATGAAGGTTCCCGGTTTTCGAAGCCACCACGTGAAAGGTTTGACCTGGAAATAGAACCGATAAACATTCTAATGATTAAAACTCTATAAAAAGTTCAAATTCTAGTATGACACGAGGATTTGACCTTGTTAATTTCTATTTTTCTTACGTTGTACTTTTTAATGCTAAAGTACAATCCTATCCAAAATCTGCTCACCTGCCGGATTCTCAAAAACACTAATCGAGAGATTCTTGTCGGCAATTGGGAACACATAATCGTATTTGGCTTTGGTTGGACTCGTTCTATTAATCAATTCAGCTGATGTCGTTATTGTGTTCCCACATTTTCGACATATCAAATCAATGGGAGCCGCTGAAACTTGAAACTAATTTTTTTTTACTAAAAATTCTTACCATACAAGCACACGAAAAGTATGACAGCTATGAAAATCCTTAAATAGAGATCCATTTAATTAAACTAGGGCAAATTGTGCATAGTTTGTAGGGGCGAAGTATGTGAAATATGGAAGAGAAGAGGCGATGAATGAATGGGATACGGTAGGTGGAGTGCGTTAAAGTGGTAAAGGGGGAAACGGGTTATGGACTGGGCTAGCCTGAATGGCGTGTTTCTCTCAAATAATACGCCGATAGATTTTGGTTCCATAATTGAAGAGAAACTGGAGAAAAGAAAATGCAAATCTTGAAGCTCATTCTGATTTGGACCCAAAAAACTGCTCCATTAAAAGACTGCGTGACTGCCCCAAAAGTGGATTTTGTAAGTCAGGAAGTCTTTTATGATTTGCATATATCATATATTCAAAAATTGCTTTGTGTATTCCGCCATTAGCTTAATTTCAAAAGGTCGGGAGTGGGACAAATGCGACCTTTTTTTTGTGCACCCGGACATTTGCGCACCTTTTTTTCCGCACCTTGCCCATTAGCGCACCTTTTCACGTTTAAAGCTCTAAAAAGCTAATATTAACCAATTTCTATTCCAAATGTTGTTTTTCTAGGTAATTTTAGGGTGTAGAATCGAAATTTTGACATATCAGAGCTTGTGGAACCAATTTAAAAGACAAAACGGCTAGATCAAATTACAGAAAATTGTCGATTTTTCTCTTTGTATAACTCCGTCCGTTTGTTTCCACAAGCTCTGATATATCAAAATTTCGATTCTACGCCCTAAAATTACCTAGAAAAACAACTTTTGGAATAGAAATTGGTTAATATTACCTTTAGAGCTTTTTTAAAACGCGAAAAAGGTGCGCTAATGGGCAAGGTGCGGAAAAAAAGGTGCGCAAATGTCCGGGTGCGCAAAAAAAAGGTCGCATTTGTCCCACTCCCGAACCTGGAGAAAAGAAAATCCAAATCTTGAAGCTCATTCTGATTTGGACCCAAAAAACTGCTCCATTAAAAGACTGCGTGACTGCTCCAAAAGTGGATTTTGTAAGTCAGGAAGTCTTTTATGATTTGCATATATCATATATTCAAAAATTGCTTTGTGTATTCCGCCATTAGCTTAATTTCAAAAGGTCAGTTCAGTTTTTGTTACATTCGTTGCCCTTTTTTTAAAGCAATTTCTATTACATACCTAGGTAATTTGGTGCTTTAAGAATTTTGCAATTGTTCATTCTTGTGTGCAACAGATTTTAGAACAATTTAACTAATTAAACCTTTTAAGAAGCTTTGAAAATGGCTGTTGACTTTACCTGCAATAGATTTTATCTAGAATCGCTAGTGCCGCAGCAAACTAACTATTAGACTACGAGAAAAGCCTCTGAACACAGGCATAGGTGGAGCGAATCCTTGCTTTTTGAACAGCATAGGTTGATTTCTCTTTTCTAGCTACGTAAACATAAATCCTTTTGCTTTAAGTTGTGTTCTCTTACGTACTCGTTTAAAATTTGCAAACATTTGGTGATTTATCTTGATTTAGATATGAGGCCGGCGCCAAATTTTCCGACTCCCACCTCAAGCCGGCGTATCAGCGTTCAACCTTCGGGACTTCATCAGTCTAGGACACCGTGAGTTGTTTACAAGCTTTAAAACTTAACAATTGTATGTTTAGTGGCAATCTTAATGGCCGAGCGGCTATGCCTATGGACGCACTGAGCTCAGCTCGACGATCATCTTTTTTCAAACCGATTTCTACAAAGGTTAATATTTACACTTGTTTGTTCTTACATTTTAAACTAGGATCCACGCCCATTCAACGATCCGGGATTTAAAGCTCAGATGGTGAGCAAGATTCACACATTTCTCGTCGAACAATGCGGAATGAGCGACATCCCCGAGCGCATCATTCGCAGTCCATCAAACAGGGATTTTATCACCATTTTTGAGTGTATCTACCAGCATTACGATTCAAATTTTCGTATCACGGGGAAAATTGAAGATGAGGTTTGTGGGTATATGAAATAAAAAGATGTAGCTTATGTTTAGGTGCCGACGATTTTCGTTCGTCTTGGCTATCCATACGTTCTGAAGGGTTCAAGCTTGAAAACTGTGGGCGCTTCTCATGCATGGTCCCAAATTTTTGGAGCCCTTGTCTGGTTGGTCGATCACGTTATGGTGAGAAAGTTTTGCGCTCTGTTACATTTGATTGTGTTTTTTTAGTTGTCTGAGCGAGTTACAGCTCAAGATATTTTGCTCGGATCAAGGACTACAGAAACTGCCACTAAAGCAACGGTATATTCAGATTTTATCACACTATTACATAAAATTTTAGTTGAAATATCTCTTCAAGCAAAATATCTTCCGCAGTGCTGTCGATAATGATATGAGAATCGACGACAATTTCATGAAAAGGTATTTACTTTGAGGGATATTTTGTGTACAACTTCTTGTAGCCACACCCATCGTTTACGCGTGCAATTACGTGACGGTGTCTTACAAGGAGTTCAAACGAACGAACTGAAAGAACAAATCGATCTCTTGCAACAAGAAATTAAGATTATCAAAGAAGAGGTAGGCATTGATTGCATTTTCATCGCGTTTACAAAAAAAATTATAAACTCAAACTTTAGGGAAACAACGATCTGGAAAAAGCCTTGAAGGGAGATATTTTGGCGCTTCAAGGTGATGTGAGATCTCAACGTAGTTACCTTATGGAACTCCAGGCACAGAAAGCCGCTCAAGAGCATAAATTGGTGAGTTTATTTTTGACTTTAGCACGTAACTGATCTCTTTTAGAACGAAGTAAAGAAAGATCTCGAGTTATGTGAAGACGGCTTAGCGAAAGTACAGCAAAAGGTAAATACAGTGAAAAAATCTTTTAAATAACATATCCAGGTACTTGATAATGAGAAACGTATTGAAGCACAAGCGACCCAATTTGGACTTCAACCTGATGCCGCTCGCAACGTCAAAGGAGAGAATATTTCGGTAATTTTTTTACCTAAGCAAGCATTATTGATGTATTTTTTAGCTTCGTCAGGAAATTCAAAAGTTTCAAGCCGAGCTTGACGAAATTGGCAAGAAGAAGTGGAAAGAGAGACCGGCCTTACGGGAAAAGCTCGACAATGTACAATTTTATATTCTAACATTTATTTATTTGTCTTTTTAGTTGAAAACCCTTCTTCGCCAGTGGTATCGTGAGGTGCTTGAAGTAAAGATGACAGTGAATGGAGCCGGCGTTTCACATATCGAAGAAGAGACGCCTGAACCAGCCACGGCGCAAGAAATTCACTCAACTGTTGCAACAGAATGCCCACGATTGGTAAAGATTCTTTTTAATAAAGTAACACTTCCATTTAGTTGACCGAGATCCGCAAACTTTTGGAGAAGGCCATCCGTGAAACACGTACCCGATCGGCTAAAGCAAAACAGGAGATTGAGGCTAAAACGTTTGTGTTTTAGTGTAAAATTTAGCATTAGATTTATTTAGTGGTGAATTGAAAGCTATCAAATCGCGCATCTCGAATCAGCTCAAGGACGCAGCAATGGAAGAACGCCAGCGTTTAAGGATTTGTGAGGTTTGTTTACGTTTATAAGCAAATTTCCAATGTGATTAAGCAATGGGACAATGCTCGAAAAATGTTGGAAATCGAGTTGGAAGACCGCCAACAAGAACTGGAGAGATTTGCCGACAAAAAGTATGAATTTTAAAAGGACACTGATCAAGAATATTTTAGGACCGAATTGAGTCGCCTCGACACCGAATTGAAGCAACTACAAGTTATGGAACAAAAACAAGCAACGATTTTGTCAGAGCATGCTGTTTGTTTGAACCTTCTCTATTGCTAATTTTGTCTTTTAGCTCAATCTTTCTGATCGTGCACTCGAGCATCTCGCCAAACTTAGTGGAATTACCGAAAAGTGTTTGGTAAGTGTTAGTAAATATGTGATTAGCATACCTGATCTTTTTAGGGAATTGATGAACTTATAAACGCGGATGCTGAGAAAATCGCGAGGGAAATTGCAAAGCATACAACTGAGGTCGCAGAATTCAATAAAGAAGATGACAAGGAAAATAATCGATTTATGCTTTAAATCTTTTCACTTGCATTGATTTTTATATGACACTTGCTTTGTATTATGCTCCTAACTATTTGTGCTAATGACAACTATTCTTTGAGGTTTTCTAACTATTTGGGATTTATTTCTTTTTTCGCGAAATCGTAATTTCTCTTATCAATCAGTTTCAAAGGCTCGTTTGTAAATAAATCGTTTCACGTTCTATTGGTTATTATAAGCAAGATTATTCATTCACAGCTTTTTATTTTGCAAAAGTTGAATCTCTAATTAAATCTTGTTGTAGGTTCAGAGCTGAAATTTGGTTAGCGACACTAAACTTGTTTCTGATAGGCTATAGAACTTGAATCTTTTAGACTTGATGTCTTTACGCGGTCAGTGCATCATTTGTTACTCAGCATTCACGCCGACAACAGTCTCTGCTTTACCATGTGGACACACGTTTCACGAGCAGTGCATCCGACAGTGGCTAGATGTGGGTTTTTGACCTGAATAAAGCGGATAGTTAAATAACCTTTGAGTGGCGGGTTGTGTCATTCTAGCATTTTTAGACACCTGGTCGAGGATGCCCGAATTGTCGGGGAAGATGTCGCGCAAAAGATGTTACTCGTATTTTTTTCGATATGGGCGGCTTGAATGATACTTTGAACGTGACAACACAGGAGAGTGGTGAAGCTCTACTGGCCAAAGTATTTTTTCTTCCTGTTTTTTACTTTAATGGCATTTTAGAACGAGGACTTACAAGCTCGTTTGGATGATGTTGCTGCTAAAGAATCGAAGGCAAAGAAGGATCTCTCTATGGAAATTGATCGCCGGATTAAACTAGAAACTCTTGTGAGAATTATTTTTGTTCGATGAATATATTATGCTTTAGGCTGCAAGTGAAAAAAGGACGGCGAAAAAGGCTACTCAGTAAGTTTGTGACAATGTGCATCAATAGATCTCTTAAGGAAACTCGTGTTAAAAGAGGCTGAATTATTGCAAGTTCGATCCATGCTACACGACGTTAATGAAACGAAGAGCGAGAACAAGCTCTTAAAGCAACAGCTTGAAGCTAGTGATTTGTGGGATTTGCAGAAATAATAGGTTTAATGAGTTAAATTTAGTTACAAGGATTTATTCCGTGGAAGCAAGCCGGTTGAGGCCATTGAGGCGTATATTAATACGAGAGGAGATCCAGACTCAGGCAAATTTATGGAGCTTCAATCTCGGTACGAATTTGCGCTTAATTTATTGTATTAAATTGTATAGGGCTCTTGACGCAGAAAAGAAGAAATGTCGTAAAATGGCACAAGATCTGGAAGCGAAGAATAAAAGGTTGAAGTTTTCTAAAAAAAAATTGCAGTTTGCTTTAGGCTTTCTGAACTTGAAATGGAGAAGAAACATTTGCAAGAGGCGGTGCGCACGCTCACTGTGAGTTTTTTTAATATCTCAATAAAGTTTGCTAGTTTGGCCTTAACAATTGATTTAGGAAGAATGCAAACATCAAGGAGTGACAACACCTCAGAATCCAAAAATTAAAAAGCTATTGGCTCTCAGGTATCTTGGCTTTATGTGTGATAAAATTAGTTGGCAAACTTTAGCCCCCCACGCAGAGACTCCTTAGATGTATTCAACGGATCTATCAGTGATAGCGTTTTGAAGTCAGCAATGAGGGTATTTATATTTATATACTTTTATTTATATCTTTTTTTAGGGTAAAGGCCCTGTTATGTCTTTTAAAACCGAAGCTACAAAGAAGCCCACATGGTCCGAGGAGAAGAAAAAGTTAGCGAGCATTCTTACTGACATAAAATTATATTTTTTGGATGGATGTCTGGGGATAACAAAGGAGCGAGCACTTCAGTGCAACAACTTCCTCTTCTGATTGACATCGAGTAACTACAATTTCCTTTTCACTATAATTTTTCAGAACATCGAATGTTGATGAGTTTGACAAGATTCGTGTTCCAAAAGGACTCACTCGACGAGTATTGCCTTCAGGTCTAAAGGATGTTTTGCTTTTTAAACTCTGTTGCTTTTAGCTACTACAAGTGGGACTATGTCGTTCAAAAATGTTATGGATGGACCTTCAGGTAGAAATAACGTGTTTTTTTCTATTCTTTCTTTAGCTGTTAAGACCAAAAATGTTTCCAAAAGTGGTTCGGATGGACTTGGCGGCTCAATTCATCGTCTTGGTGATCGTGCTCTGACCCGTATCGGTAACTTGTTCATTAACTCACGTATTAATAAAATTTAAAGAAAATGCTCCTTCAAGCTCCTCGTCGGTTTTGGGTCGCTCGAGTTTGCCGCTTCAAAACTTCGCTACAAAACGTCCAGCTCCAGTTCAATCAATCAGTGAGGCTTTGAGGGCCAAAAAGGTGAGCGCGTGTCATGTAGTTATGTACTTAATAATTAATAGTAATCATGTAATTAATAGTAAGAGGTTTCTATCACATCATCGGATTTCTTTAGAAGTTCACGATCGGCATCAAATCCAACGTCATCAAATGCAACGTCATCAAATCCAAAGAGTGCATCACTTTGGACTAAAAAGGCACATCCAGCGACATTGTGCACTTATTTGTTCTTGTCATTTTATTTGTCTCTCATTCTCGGCTCTGATATTCGTATGTGATTGCTATTTCATGATCTCGAATGTGCTATTTACTTGTCATTTAAAATTATTCGACTGTCTATTTGTCGTAATTTGTGCATGCAGACGGGGCTTTTTTAAAAAAGGCCTTTAGCAATAAATTAGCAATAAAATCAGTTTTATAAAAATTCCTCCTGTTCTGTTCGATATTGTACAGATACCCCTCTTGTTCTTTTGACCATTACATCCCGGCGGATAATAAACGCCAATTTTCGCCGACTATAGCAAATATTTTTTCACAATCCCCCTCAATCCTTTTTCTTCTATTTTGTGGCTTTTCTATTTACAGATTTGAAGCTGTAGTTTTATCAAAAAAAGATAATTTCGGCTAACTTTGATCACTGGTTTGAATCAGAGAATCAGTGGGTGATTGTGATTGTTTCATTGTCAAGTGAAGTGAACGTGCACATTCTCTTCATTCTCTTTCCACTACAACTCTGCATCGCATCCACTTGATAGGGGGTAGGGGGATAAGGTAGGGATGGGCTCCGCCCTTCTCCACCCCTTTCCTCTAACCCTTTCCACCCCTTCCCTCTTCTATTTCATCCACATATAGTAGAGATCACAACGTACTACTTGTTTAAACCTTTTTCAAACCTATTTGAGAATTTTCTTTTTTTTTTAATTTACCCGAGCTATTATGAGGTTTTGGGTCTAACGTCTTCGGTGCTATTCTAGCACCACCGTTTTACAGGCTCAATTGCTGTACCTACTCTGTACAAGAGGCTAACTGGGCATAGACGAAATTATAACGTATCTCTTCCAGTAATGAAACATACAGTATGATATAAAGAAAAAGTCTACAGTTTTATATACAGAATTCCCATCAAGAGGAGCCAAGCGTACGAGAGCAAACGGGAAAAGTGTATCGGGAAAGCGGTTGCCATGTTTCAAGATGTCGTCGAAGGGTTGTACTTGGAAAAGTGAGCTTTTTTTGCCGAACCCAAGTACATTGCCAAAAAAAAACAGAAAAAGTGTTACCAGAGTCTTCTATTTTTGGTGCCTTTTGATTTGGTGAACCTTTTTTATATTAGATTTTACAAGGTTTCTCACTAAATATACGTATTCGCATTCTGATCAGATCATTCTGAGGAAATTTATTCCGCAAAAACTCCCTCTGTTAATGCATGCACATACAGTAACTACACAATAAAAAGGACGTAATTCAGTCTCAAATCAGAAAGAAAAATAGGGCTAATACTAGATTCTCTGAGCTAATAGACTGATCCATGACGCTGTTCTTGAGCACAGGATTGAGGCTTCGACTAGCTGTTGATCAAATACTTTTTGCATATTTTGAGAAAATAATACCACTTTAACTTTTGAAAAATCGAGCAAAACACTTAGGTCACCGAGTGAATGAGACTGACTGAATGTAGAATGAGAATATCGCCTATAATGCTGGATTGCGAGCGGTCATTCGAACTTTTTAGATGGGGGAATTTGCACTCAAAAGTAGCTCGAGATAATTTTCGCCATTTTCAGAAATCGATGCCCATCACGGATGTTAATGTGAAGGCGAATCGTCTCAAGGAGTACACACCGATGTAAAATTTCTTCATAAACTTTGCCAAAATATTTGCTCCACCATTCCTAAATAGACTCCTGAAAAGCACAATCGTGAAAACTCGTTTTTCATCTACTCATAAAGAAATAGGGGAAACAATCGATCCTATTTCCTATGGAGATTGTTGTGATTCTTGGACAATTTAGCACATTTTGTTAGTCCAGACGATTAGTTCTTTTTATCATCTTTGTTTTTTTTTGTTGTAAAATGCTGTTTAATTTTTATTGAAAGTGAATAAATTTTGAAAACTATGTATAAAACTAAACGTTTTAAAAATGTAAACTATCAAAGTTGGAAATGTTGTACTACCTAAACGTAGCAAAAAAATGCATAGCAAAAATGGGTGGGAAATGTCACATAATCCCCCCTACAGGAGCATCGCGTAGTCTAAGTTTACACTCAAAGAACCGCTCATATCTTCGCGCCCGGACATTTGTTACTGCGCGCTTGGATATCAAATTAAAGTAGAGAGAATGGGTGATTTTTTGAGATATAACACATGTTTTCAACATTAACCAGCGTTTAGCCCCCTCCCATAGGAGCGTCGCGTAGTCTAACTTCACGCTCAAACATTATTTACGATTTATTTACAAACGAGCATTTGAAACTGATTGATAAGAGAAACCATGATTTCGCGAAAAAAAGAAATAAAACCACAAATACCCTAGATACTCTAATGGAAGCCCCCTCCCATAGGAGCGTCGCGTGGTCTAAGTTTACTCTCAAACCTACGCTCATATCTCGACACCAGTACGTTTGTTTCTGCGCGCTTAGGTATCAAATTAAAGTAGAGAGGATGGGTGATTTTTTGAGATATAACACATATTTTTAGCATTAACCAGCGTTTAGAGCAAAATGATTCAAAAATGATAAAAAAAATCGGCTTTTTTGCTACTTTTCAATCATTTTTTTTCTAAGCGCTGGTTAATGCTAAAAAAAAATATGTGTTTTATCTCAAAAAATCACCCATCCACTCTACTTTAATTTGATACCTAAGCGCGCAGAAACAAACGTACTGGTGTCGAGATATGAGCGTTTGTTTGAGCGTGAAGTCTAAGTTCGAAGTTCGAGCTACGCGACGCTCCTATGGGAGGGGGCTTCCATTAGAGTATCTATGGTATTTGTGGTTTTATTTCTTTTTTTCGCGAAATCGTGGTTTCTCTTATAAATCAGTTTCAAATACTCGTTTGTAAATAAATCGTATCACGTTCTATTGGTTATTATAAGCAAGGTTATTCATTCACAGCTTTTTATTTTGCGAAAGTTGAATCCCTAATTAAATCTTGTTGTGGGTTCAGAGCTAACATTTCGTTAGCGACACTAAACTTGTTTCTTCTAATTTATAGAACTTGAATCTTTTAGGCCTGATGTCTCTACGCGGCCAGTGCACCATTTGTTACTCAGCATTCACTCCGACAACAGTCTCCGCTTTGCCATGTGGACACACTTTTCACGCGCGGTGCATCGGGAAGTGGCTAGATGTGCGTTTTTGGTGACCTGGATGAAGCGGATAGCTAAATAACATTTGAGTAGCCGGTTGTTTCATTCTAGCATTTTTAGACACCTGGTCGAGGATGCCCGAATTGTCGGAGAAAATGTCGCGCAAAAGATGTTACTCGCATATTTTTCGAGAATGGCGGCTTGAATGATACTTTGAACGGGACAACACCGAAGAGTGGCGAAGAAGCTCTACTGGCGAAAGTATTTTTTTTCTTCCTATTTGTTACTTTAATGGAATTTTAGAACAAAGCCTTAAAAGCTCGTTTGAATGATGTTACTGCTGAATCGAATCGAAAAAACAAGGCCTTAAAGGAACTGCTTCAAGCGAAACATTTGTGGGATTTGCAGAAAGCATAGATTTTATAAGATTTTATAGGGCCCTTGACGCAGAAAAGAAGAAATGTCGTGAAATGGCACAAGATCTGGAAGCGAAGAAGAAAAGGTTTGAAGTTTCCTTATAGAAAATTACAGTTTACTTTAGGCTTTCTGAACTTGAAATTGGAGTCGGTCAAGGTGGGTTTTTTTATATATTGCTGACTCATTTGCTTCCTATTCACGATTGAATATTACGTTAATATTTAGGTCACGTCCGTTGCGGGTGCACCGTGGGAGGATGTGCGACGAATCGCTGTTCGTGCCGAAAGAAGAATCTGCTTTGCGACCCCCGATGCGAATGCAATCTCCGCTACTCAAAAAGCTGCATCAATAAAAATGCTCCTTCAAGCTCCTCGTTGGTTCTGGGTCGCTCGAGTTTGCCATTTGCTTCAAAAGGTCTAGCTCTCTTCAAAGAAAAAGCGAGGTTCTGAAAGCCAAAAAGGTGAGCGCTTGTCATGAAATCATGTAATTAATAGTAAGATGTTTCTGTCACACAATCGAATTTCTTTAGAAGTCCACGATCTGCATCAAATCCAACGTCGTCACCTCTTTTGAATAAAAAGATATGCCGAGTGACAATGTGCACTTTATTTGTTCTTGTGATTTTATCTATCTCTCATTCTCGCCTCTGATATTCGTATGTGATTGCAATTTTATGATCTCAAATGTGCTCTGTGCTTTGTCATTTAAAATTATTCGATTGTCTATTTGTAGTAATTTGTGCATGCAGACGGGGCTTTTTTAAAAAAGGCCTTTAGCAATAAATTTTAACACATTTCAGTGCAAAACAATTCTCGCCTCCGTAGAATCAAATGGTTTGGCAATAAAAACGATCAGACAATTTCTGCATTCCCTTTATAAAATGAGCTTTCTGAAGTGTGAACAGACGGATGTTCGAAAAGGTGTGAAAAATGAAGTAACAACAGGAAAGCTGATTGAGGCAACGGGGAAATTCGGGGGGTGAAAAGGAAAGGAAGGTTACTGGTATAAAAAGCTGTCCTACCCTTTTTTCGGTCAAATCGTAGTTTTCACACTGAAATTCTTGCCTTTTTCCATATTCTAAAGTAATTGTGTTTCATTAAAAGGTTTCCAGATGCCAAATGGTTAAGAGCTTTTTCCTCCATCTGGTGCACTAAGCTACGTGCGTTTAGGGACAACACATACAAATTCACCCTTGATTGGGCAATTAGTTTTCAGAGAACTTGTCAAACTTTAGAATCAAAATGAGCATTTTGAAAACCATTCTTGTTTTAGAATGGGATTTTTGTCACAAACTAATGAACTAAAATTATATGGTTAGACTTTGCTTGCCCAGCTCTTTCATTTAAAAGAATGTTTTCTAGACTTCTAGATTTTTAACTTTGTAACTTACAAATTGTAAGATCCAACATTTTTTGGTTTGGTTATGGAATCTTTGTGGTCTTGTCTTTGAATAAATTCATGTGAATTCGAAAAGCACAAAACACAATAGAACCTTTTTAGTACAAAACTCTTGCAACTTTGAATTCACCTGTTTTTTTCAGCAACCCTCTAGAGACAAAAATTATCACATCACAACAGAAAAATGCAATGGCTTTACAGATTTTAATGAGACGACTGTAGTTTAGCTCAGAAATTTGGACAAAGAACGAATATTTGGCTGATTAAACCTTTTCCCAACTTTCCAAACTTCCTCATTCCATTATTTAATTCTTTAAAAACTTTTTCAATGTTAGAACAATGATTTGGTTTTAAAAACCGCTTTTTATTTCGCGTCAAGTGCAACCAGTCTTACTCACCCTTGCGTTCTCTGTGTGCCCTCGTAAACACGCGCTTTCTGGCACCCGGCGAGAGAAGGGGCCATAAAAAGGATCTCCCTTTCAGCCATTTCGTTCATTCCTATGAACATATACTAAAATTGGAACAATACAGAGAAGATTAGCATGGCCCCTGCGCAAGGATGACACGCAAATTCGTGAAGCGTTCCAAATTTTTTGCGCTTTTTTAGTGCCTCTTTTTTTCAGGTCTTAATACTTTATTTCAAAGTTCACACATTGTATATTTTTGGAGATTTTGCGATCTTGCAAATCTCTTTCCATTGGAAATTCTAAATCTTATATGCTAAAAGTCAAAACTCAAGAATCTTTTAGTAGAGTTTTTCTACAAAAAAACGAAGGTTTTGCTTTTTGTACCGATTAACGATTCTACAACAAAAAAATAGCACCTGGTCCTCGTCTGGCTACTGTAGCCAATTGTTCAGTCCGACACCGGTTACTGGTTCAAATGTCATATCCCGTATCCCGGTTCAGCTGTTCCAGATCAGTTTCACCTGTAAAGGTTATTGAGATAATTCGTTATGCAAGTTCTCATAATGTTTTGCTTTTGCCCACCCAGAAGAAAGGAGATCGGCAAGATTCCAGAAATATACAAAATGTAAACTTTGAAATAAAATATTAAGAACTTCGCTTGGCACCGAAAAAGAGCAAAAAATTTGGAACGCTTCACGAATTTGCGTGTCATCCTTGCGCAGGGGCCATGCTAATCTTCTCTGTATTGTTCCAATTTTAGTATATGTTCATAGGAATGAACGAGATCGCTGAAAGGGAGATCCTTTTTATGGCCCCTTCTCTCACCGGGTGCCAGAAAGCGCGTGTTCACGTTGGCACGCATAGAACGCAAGGGTGAGTCAGACTGGTTTCACTTAAAATCAGTAAAGCTACAAAGGATCGACTTCCCTATTTATTTGAATATATGCTTAGGAGAGCAACAGAGAAGGGGTAACTCTTTCAACATTTGCTGGTTTGCATCGAGGCTGCTTATCCCCTTCCCTAGGATTGTTCTTGAAGTTCTGATAAAATAAACTGGTGCATGTGGAACTTAATAAAATACGTTAAAACAATGTCAAAAGACAAAAAAAAACAAAAGAATTGCAAAAGGCCACAAAACGGAATTTTTTGACAAAAGATCACGAAACTTTTAAAAGACCACGAAATTTTGAAAGGACAACGAAACTTTCAAAAGACCACGAAACTTTGAAAGGAACGATTCAGGGAAAGAGCCTAAGTTTTCTTAATCTTTTTCAGTCTAGAGCGCTTTGACTAACTTCACAAATAATCGATTGGAAGTGGGAATCTACACATTCAGCGCTTACCATAAGGGTGGTCCCATCAGCGTGTTTTGGAAACATTCAAGCTTAGGGGTGACTCGGCGATGATTCTCTTATCGCTTTCCGGGGGGATTTCCCCAAAATTTAGCCGTTTTGTGATGATAACAGACACATCCGGCACGCCCAGCTATTCAATTTATGCTTTCTATTATGAATATCGGCGTTACACCCTCGTCTTTTCCGGGGTTATGTCTCGCAGACACTCCCCCAATTCCCCTATATCAGATAATTCTTTGATGCCTTAGCAGGCGATCGATGGCACGGCAGGCTCTTTGCAAAGTTGCTGATATGAATGACGTGGGATCTCTGATAAAAGGGCTTCTCCAAATGGCAGTAACCTAATCCTTTTTCTCGTCGCCAAAACCATTCCGTGACCCCAATTCAATTTTCGGTGCTCATTTTTCAATTCACTTTTTTCATAATGTTCTACAGATATTCTCTTCTACTATTGACGATTCTATTACCATCGGTCACATCAGCATCGATATTTTGCGGTATTTGACTAATTCAGAACTAATAAAGATATCAATCTGTTGGATTTTCATAGAATCGATCCGATAGCGCTTTTTCGAATGTTAAGAATATTTGTCATTTGGAGCAATGTGTAGTTTGCATTAGTATAATCTCCGATTAGTATTTAAATTAAATTTGCATCGGATCGAGGCGAATCACCAGTCGATTGGATTAGGGATTGGATCGCTAATCCGATCCGATCTGATGGCCATATCAAATGGATTACTGACTTGGGATTATAACCTGAAATCTTCTTTAGATTGTGTAAAAAAAGTGGTTCCTTTCAGAGGAGATCTGGAGCGATTGGACCGATGCGGGCGATGTTCAACCTGGAGGTCCAGACCACAAGCTCATCTGTGGAATGTGTGCCACGCAGAACCAAACGCGGCAATGCTTATCGCTGTCGAGTGGATGCATGTGCATGTAAGATTGCAAATACATAAAGAACTCATTTGAAAATAAGGAGTGAGCGTTTATCGGGAAACAGGAAATGTTTCTGAAAAGCTGAAAAGCTGAAAAGCTGTGATTTTTAACTACTTAACCTAAGACGCTTTAAATTCTTGATTTTGACCGGTTCGAAAAACGGAAAAACTGATATGTAAGCTATGAAATTACTCCAATTTTTATTAACGACTAAAACCTATACCTAAGATATAACAGTTTTAAAGGAAAGTTTGATCCAAGTGATCCATGGCGGAGATTCTCTGTTATACCTAAGAGATAACAGTTTTAAAGCAAAGTTTGATCCATGTCAGAGACTCTCTATTATCCTTAACATATAACAATTTTAAACTCTTCATCTTGTCGTTATTTTATTGTATTAGGTTGTTCGGATATAAACAATCGTTGCTAAAATTTTTGTTGTGAGAGAAGCTTTTAAAACATGTCTTTCTGTATTTAAAAGTACGTTTATCTTGTGCATATTTGGAATTTTTTTAAACGGATAATTTCTTATTTTTAAGAGCTTTTTTTCTTGGTTTAGATGACCGATTTCAAATATCAAGTTCCCTTCTGCCTACTTTCCGACTTCAAACTGGGCAAAATAGCCGCGGAATCCCATCGAGATTTGGTCAAAGCATTTGGAAATGATGTATTGTCCAAAAGTCGATGCCGAGCCTGATTTCAACGCTTTCGGAATGGTGATGAAAGTCTCGAGGATGATGAACACCCTCGTCGACCTCAAGGGGTAGACAACGATATTTTGAGGGCTGCAATCGAACCGGAGCCTTGTCAAACGACGCGTGAACTTGCTCAACAGTTTCTATGTTCAAATTCTACCATTGATAAGCATCACCACGCCATTGGAAAGACGAGCAGATGCGGGAAATGGCTTCCTCAGGAGTTAAGCAGTGCAAAAAAGGCTTCACGGGTCGCTATTGCCGGAATCCTCATCCGCCACGCTAAATATCATGGCTTTTTTGGTTCTCTCGTTACTGGAGATGAGAAGTGGATTCATTTCGATAATACTATTCGAAAACGGAAATGATTAGAACCAGGAGAACGGCCAAATCCGACCGTGAAACCGGACATTCATGGGATAAAGATCATGCTCTCAGTATGGTGGAATAACAAGGTCCTTGTGTATTTCGAGCTTCTACAAACCGGCCAAACAGTCACATCCGACCTCTACAAACAGGAAATTGATCGGGTCAATGAAGTTCTCATTCGTCAAGGAGTAGACACATCAAAGATAAAGTTCATCCATTACAAGGCTAGACCTCACGTTGCAAAGATGACTCAGCAAAAACTGGAGAATCTAGGATGGGAGGGTTTTACCATATCCGCCGTATGCTCCCGATTTGGCTCCCTCAGATTACCTTTGATTCCGGTCGATTCAAAACTTTTTGGCCAATGAGAAATTCAAAAACCGTGAAGATGTCCAAAACTGGGTCGCCAAGTTTTTCGAGTCACAGCCGGCTGAGTTTTTCAAGAGCGGCATCAATTCTTTGCGCAAAAGATGGCAAGAAGTAATCAATAATAATGGTGAATATACTTTGGATTAAACTGTGTTGTTTCTGTTTTTAAGGTAAATTTTGTTGACTACTAAAACGCTCGTTTATATCCGAACAACCTAATAGTTCTACTAGTCTGAAATTGACTTATGACAATCAAAATTCTGTAAAATCTAAGGATTTTAGGGGACCATCTACCCAATTGATTCATGTCGGAGACGCTCTTTGTTTTTTCCCAGATACCCCGTGTTGTGCTCCTTATGTGATACAGATGAACGCCACTCAAGGGGTTTACACCTGCCAACTCGCTGATTCGCCTACTCCGACTCCAGCAAACCGCTCAGGTATGCACTGCTTATTTTACACTGCTTTTAAAGGCTTGATTTTACAGTATAGGGTTCAGAAACATTGGCTTGAGACAAAGGAGTTTAGGCTTAGATGCCTGAGCTATTGACCCGGGCCGCAGTTGTGACATTACTGTGACTTTAGGTTCTACTACTCCATTCCCTATTGGAAAGACCTCGATGTTTCCAAACACTGCCCCTCCCAGCACTAGTCCGACCATCACTACAGCTTACAATGGAGGCACTTCGGCTCCATGCATCGACAACGATCCGCGAAAGTTTGTTCGTTGTTTGATTACAGGGTTTGGCGAAAGTATGGCTGCAAAGTTGCAATTGTCCTAAATAGTAGATAGTTTTTGCCCATATCTTTGCCTAAACGGAAAAAGCTCACGCTCGCTTTATCCGCTTCGGGGACCCGTCCAAAGTATTTCCGTATTTTTAAGTTTTTGAAGCATTACTTATTAACCCATTCGAAACCGCAGCGTTTTTTCTTTTTTTTCGTCAACGGACCAAGCCCTTTTTTGACATTTTTGACTCCGAAGCAGTTTATTTATGGTTGGAAAGATGTAAGAGAGTCTCCTACACCATTTATTTTTGATGAAGAACGATTTGGATTTGACTTCAGTACTTTTCAAGATCCTATCGATTATTGTTCTTATTTTATCGACGACAATATTTTAGTAGGCGAATCTAATAAACATGGAAAAAGGAAAACAAACTGGCAGGATTTCGATGCAAAATCTTTCAAGCTCTTCCTGGCTTCAAATGGGAATCGTCAAATTACCGAGGATTCGTGACTACTGGAGTAGCAGGCCTGGATTAGGAGGATTTTCCCACATGTCCCACATTATGTTAAGAGCAAAATTTGAATCTAATCTTCGCAACCTGCGTTTCTGTGATAATGAACTGGATCCTGCAGGAGATCGGCTTTATAAGATTAGAGCTATTATGGAACATTTCAATGCAAAACCAGAGACTGCATTGATTCCGGGTAAATATGAAACATCTTTTTTGCCCACGTAATTTGTAGATCTGCTACAATTGGAATATACATGTAATGCTGAAAAGCAGCAAAAAAAAGCAATTAATTGAATGAAAATAGCTCAATTAACGCTGCAGCGAATAATCGCTGCAGCGGTCCGTTCCTGAGTTTTTGCTGCAGCGATTATTCGCTGCAGAAGTTTCGAATGGGTTAAATACAAGTTAAAAAGTCGCACTCTACGGTGTTTTCAAGGAATTATCTATTTAGTTGCCCCACTTGGGTGGCAAACGGTTTTTGCACAAGCTCTAGCTACACGGATGCCGAGAAGCGGCAATATTGCATGGCAAGCTGCAATCTCTGTGATGGAGGCGGATGCCAGGACGCTAGTGCAAAGTTTGTTATTCTCTCTTTAAAATAAAATATTCAGTATCATGTAGCCTGGGAGAGTAGCCCGGAAATTTTTAAATTAATCTTGTATCTTTTGCGCTTTGAATGTCAGCGAGCCTGACGAGAGGAGGTGCAAGGTGTGACTGTTCTCTTTTAACATCATAGCGGATCCACATCCAACATTTTTCAGCAACAACAGCCGAAGAAACTCCCCATCGAGCTCATACAGATCGCATACATATGCAGAAATATTGTTACAGCACGCATCTCAACCGTGGCCTTAGTCATTCCTAGAATCTCAGCCATCATAAGCACACAGAAAGCCTAGCCCATTCTCTAGAACCATCAAGGCTACAATAGGACAAGACATACAAGACATAGATACATAAAAATTCTTTAAGAAATTTGCGATTATCCAGATTTGGCCAGAAAAATGAAAACATCACTTAAACAATCCATTCTTTTTGGGCTAGAAATTTAGGCCTCTCAAGCTCACTGCAATACTTTAAAAGCATGTTTAAAAGAGAGGGATTAATGACCAACATAGTCAAATAAGTAACAGAGCTAAGCTTTCTTTAGATTAACAATGATTGTATGTACATATTTTGTCTTAAGTTGTGCCACCTGGGTGGCAAACGGTTTTTGCTCAAGTCCCAGCTACACGGACGCCGAGAAACGACAATATTGTATGGCGAGTTGCAATCTGTGCGGCGATGGAGGATGCCGGGATGCGGGTGTCAAGTTCGTTCGTTCTTTGCTCTCTTCTAATTAATCATGCAAATCTTTAGCTGTGCCACGTGGGTGGCGAATGGCTTTTGCCAGAGTGCCTTTTATACAAATGACGAGAAGAAAGAATACTGTGCGAAGAGCTGTAACATGTGTGGCGGAACACCGGAAACGCCGGCTTCTTGTTTCGATGCGTCGGCAAGGTTGAGAAAAAAGCTTGATTGATCATTTGAATGAAACAGAGAAGGGTTATTGTGTAGACCCTTTGATTTCGGTTACACTTTTTCGATTTTCTTCAACGAAACCGATATCAAGCCAAAAAATAAGCTCTGATTCGTCTTTCTCCCAAGAAATCTAGCTATTCTAGACTGGATATTCCATTCTAGCCGGAATACCGTAATCCAGACAGTCTAGACTGAATACTCTAATCTAGACTGAATACCCTAATCTAACTATTCTAGACTGAATATCCTACTCTAGATTGAATACCGTAATCCAGACAGTCTAGACTGTATACTCTAATCTAGGCTGAATACTCTAATCTAGACTGAATACTCTATCTAGACTGAATACCCTAATCTAACTATTCTAGACTGAATATCCTACTCTAGGTTGAATACCGTAATCCAGACAGTCTAGACTGAATACTCTAATCTAGACTGAATACTCTAATCTAAACTAAATACCGTAATCTAACTATTCTAGACTGAATATCCTACTCTAGATTGAATACCGTAATCCAGACAGTCTAGACTGAATACTCCAAACCCCAAAACTCCAATAAGAGATCACTTTCAATATTCAATGCGGGTAATTTGGTGATGGAGTCTACAATCTCTACAAGACTACAAGACTTAACGATAATTTCTCATTTCTAGCTTTAATTCTAAATCTTTACAACATTTAGTTGTGTTGAATGGGTGGCGAATGGGTTTTGTCAGAACGCTGCATACTCAAATGAGATCAAAAAGAAATATTGTGCGAGGAGTTGTGGTTTATGTGATGGCGCATCGGTAACTGGCACCTCTTGCACCGATGCTTCGGCTAGGTAGAAAAAAATCGCATAATCATAAACAAATTCTTTTCAAATTTTCAGCTGTGCCAACTGGGTGGCGAACGGGTTTTGCAATAATCCCTCCTACACTATTGATGACAAAAAGCATTATTGCGGCAAAAGCTGCGGTTTATGCTAATTTCTCATAGTTTCTATTGAATATATTAATCTTTTTTGTTTATAAAATGCCAAAGATATTCGCGTCAAATGCCACAAATGACACCATCCCAGAGATCAGTCGAATTTGGCTCATTTAAGGGCCTGTAAAATGGGCTGCGAAATTCTAATCGCAAACTTTTTGATACAGAAATGTAGGCAAGAATTTAGGCTTCAATTCTCTATATAACACTTAGGTTTTTTTTGAATTGATTGCGGCGCTTGGCATGTAATCTGCTGAAAAAGGAGCACGTGCACAATTTTGCGTCACCCTGTAATATATCTGTAGTGATTATTGTTGGTTTAGATATAATCTTTATTACAGCGATAATAGTTGCTTCAGTGGTTTGAGATTGGGAGAGTAGAGACACTTCACGGCACATGTCGGCAGCTCGTTCACATTGCTTTTATACGGAACTCAGGCGTTGGTCTCGTCTTACACACAATGGAGTTGAACGGATAGCGACGCATATTAAATCTCGCACAATAGGCGTTCGTCCACAATAGGTGCCTAGCTGGCCATTTCCATACGATCTCGATCAGATCGTCACGACAATATCTGTAAAGAAAATGCGAGGTGAATACGATCATCGTGGCTACATTGTGAATAGCAGTTGTTTGAAAAGGAGTCCTGTCCAAAATCGGATTACCTGGCACACCGATCGTCATTCCTGGCTGAAATGATACAGCACCTGAAAACGCGGGTTACCTCGGTAAGAGGCGCGAGCACCGATTCTGAGTTTTTTTTTATCAGCTTCCGCATTAATCACGGCCTATACAACTATTTTGCAGCGTTGAATTAACTTTGAGGGGTGAATTAAGGAAAGAAAGTAAAGTAAAGGAAAGAAAGGGAAGAAAAGAAAGGAAAGGAAAGGAAAGGAAAGAAAGCAAAGGAAAGAAAGGAAAGGAAAGAAAGGAAAGGAAAGAAAGGAAAGGAAAGAAAGGAAAGGAAAGGAAAAACTTTGAGGGGTGAAGCGTTGAATTAACCAACTGATTATTGAGCAATTTATTGCCGACGACGAAGACAGCACGGTAAAATTGGTCTCTGCCCAGCCTAAACGATTTTGACAATAAATTGTCTTTGACTCACCACTTCAAAGGTGGAATCGAGAAAAGTGGCTAAAGGTTTTAGGCACTTTCTTTTGACCAAAAAGATTGGCACAAGAGTTCATTGTTTTTTCCTGAATTTCGAAGGTTTTTGTTTTGGCCGCTATTTCAATCACATGATGTGCTCATGCTTTTTGATTTCTTCAAACTCTTTGACCATTTATGCAAAAGGCAAAGAGCGCAAAAAGTTTTCCCTTGACTTTTGGTCTCTCAAAGGTTGACTCAATCAGAAATTATCCATGCTGACGTTTTTTTTCGGTTTCTCCAGGGATTTTAGTAGGAAAAAAAAATCGAAAAATTTGAACGCAACCGATCATTTTTTTTATAACAAAACTATGATTTCCCCACACATCGAAATGGGCTTTTTCTGTTTGTTGGTTGCCGTTTCCCTCAACGGATCGCTTATTCATTGGTTGTGAACTATACAAAAGCCCCCATCGAAAACTATTGCTATTTCCTAATGACGATAGCTGTTGACGAGATTGTCTACACATGCCTTTATTTCATCGGTCTATTTCAAAGGTTAAAGTCAATCGATAATCATTTCGTTTGTAGGCTTCCAATTGAGTTCTTGTCTCGTTCCCCACCAGGAAGTCTTCTATTGTCCAAATGAAAATGCTCTCAGATCGACGAGAAGATGAGGGGAATATTGAAATTCAGAAATTTTAGGCCCTTCCACCCCCTTTTTTTCTAAAATTCAGTCGATGATCGTTTCGTTTCTAGGCTTCCAATTGATGGTTTTATTTTGTTTTGATGTTTTGATTAATCTGAAATTTGGTTGATATTTTGTATTTTCACTCGACATTCTTGAACGCAAATTTTTGCTTTTTGATTAACCGCGAAAACATTTTATGCTCAAGCATCGGTGTATCGAGTTATCGATGGTTCCCACTACAAGGTGACCAGAAATAATGTTGCGGAATTTTCGGCAGCCTAAAATCCTCAAAGTTTCAATTTTGCGAGACGAATTTATTTTTAACCTATTCTCTGTGATTGTTTTTATTAGTTTCTTTGTTGTTTTAGTTTGTTTCAAGTTTATTAATTTTTTTATAGGATTACAAACAAGGGATATGGCATTCTGGAGCGTCATCGTCAAGGTCAATGCGTCGGAGCCAAAGGTGGCCACTTTGAAGAAAAGTAGATTTTATGCTCTCTTTATATCATGTTGTTAATAAAAACTTGTTTCTGTTACAAAATCTTCTTGGATTTTTAAAAAAATAGGCTAAATTAGGCCGCAACGTTATTTCTGGTCACCCTGTAATTGTTGTTTTTTTGTTTTGTTTGTTGTCACTTCTGGCACCTGTCACAAGAACGCGCTTTTCGGCCTGTTACTAAATAAATGTCTTACAAATTAGCATTCGACTTTTCTGCATATCGTTTAAGCAGGACAATATTATTTTGTATTTTCACACGACATTCTTACTGGTTTGGGTCGGTAAATGGTGTCTTTGACTTTTTTAAAATTTTTGAATTTCTGGCGGAATTAGAGCAATTTGTATTCACCCTGTAGGCTGGCGGGTAAGAAGAGTTTTCGCTTTGTCACTTTTTGTAACTATTCTGATCACGAATTCGACATTGGTTTTCATTGAGAACGTCAAAAAGTTTTAGATCCTGAATCACGTGAAAACTATAATGTATCGATGCTCTGGATGTTTCGTTTTTTGACGTTTTCAATGAAAACCAATGTCGAATGCGTGATCAACATAGTTAAAAACTATCGAAAATACAGTGTAAAAATAAAACAAAAAATTTTCGATGATTTTTGTCAATCATAAGAGGAGGCTTTTCATGTTGCTTTGTTTGTAAAGCACTTTAATTTGCGGTTGTTGCAGTCTATCACCATGAGAAAACTGCATACTACAACGGTCAAAGAATTCGGTTTGCCTATCGATACTTCGTGCACGATATGCAGCTTAGTTATAGGCGTAACCGTCTTTTAGCAGTGTATAGCAGTGACTGGCCCACAGCTTTTCAAGATCCAAATGTTGCAAAGTCTGTTCGCGTGAAATCGACTTGGCCGCGAACCTAAGCTTGCAATGAAAAGCAATGAAGCACGTTGTATACAGCCTTGCCTTTTCTGAATCGCATCCAATTCGAGCAGTTCCTCGGTAGACATTTCCGCAATCCACGATTCGAATGATGGCCCTTCATCAAGCCATCGAAGAGCAACAATCCGCGCCGTTTCCTTCTTCGTCTCGCTTAGGCAAATCCATCTTCGCCGTTTCTGTCTTCAGTTCAAATCTGCAAAAAAAAAAGTACAATTCGAGTCAGAAAAAAAGGGGCTATGAACACTGCGTCAGGCACACAAAAATTGACAAAGCGAAAACTCTTCTTACCCGCCAGCCTAGAGGGTGAATACAAATTGCTCTAATTCCGCCAGAAATTCAAAAATTAAAAAAAAGTCAAAGACACCATTTACCGACCCAAACCAGTAAGAATGTCGTGTGAAAATACAAAATATTGTCCTGCTTAAACGATATGCAGAAAAGTGGAATGCTAATTTGTAAGACATTTATTTAGTAACAGGCCGAAAAACGCGTTCTTGTGACAGGTGACAGAAGTGACAGCAAACAAAACAAAAAAAACAACAATTAGTGGGAACCATCGATAACTCGATACACCGATACCTGAGCATAAAATGTTTCCGCGGTTAATCAAAAAGCAAAAAAAAATAAAAAGGAAGCAAAAACAAAAATAATTCTCGCAAGAGTTTCTAGTTTAACCCGGCGATCAATTTCCATAGAGAGATCCTTCCTTGCCTTCCATTCTTCAGCAGCAACATCATCCAAACGAGCTTGTAAGGCTTTGTTCTAAAATGCCATTAAAGTAAAAAACAGGAACAAAAATAATTCTCACAAGAGTTTCTAGTTTAACCCGGCGATCAATTTCCATAGAGAGATCCTTCGTTGCCTTCGATTCTTTAGCAGTAACATCATCCAAACGAGCTTGTAAGTCCTCGTTCTAAAATGCCATTAAAGTAAAAAACAGGAACAAAAATAATTCTCACAAGAGTTTCTAGTTTAACCCGGCGATCAATTTCCATAGATAGATCCTTCTTTGCCTTCGATTCTTTAGCAGCAACATCATCCAAACGAGCTTGTAAGTCCTGGTTCTAAAATACCATTAAAGTAAAAAAAACAGGAAGAAAAATACTTGCCGTAAATACTCTAATAGAACGGCATCCCCATATTGCCGGGTAGTCTCACTTTACACGCCCCGTTCTCCGCGCTGCTTTATGCTACAGTGTGCGCTTGTGTGTCAAATGATAGCCCTTGAAATCTAGTATTTTTTGGTAGCAAAAGCGTAGTTGGAAAAAAAATCTAGGGGCTGAGAAAAAATGATTTTCTAAAAAGAAGTTAGACTAGGCGACTGAACGAGGGGGTGCCGTTCAATTACACTATTTACGGTATATTCATAGAAGCATAATATATTTATAGAGCAAAACTAATTCTCACAAGAGCTTCCAATTCATTTGCATGATGCGTTAGCACAAATAGATCCTCCTTTGCTTTCGATTCTTTAGCAGCAACATCATTCAAACGAGCTTGTAAGGCTTTGTTCTAAAATGCCATTAAAGTAAAAAACAGAAAGAAAAAAATACTTTGGCCAGTAGAGCTTCACCACTCTCCTGTGTTGTCACGTTTAAAGTATCATTCAAGTCGCCATTCTCGAAAAATATACGAATAACATCTTTCGCGTGACATTTGCTTCGACAATACGGGCATCCATGTTCAGGTGTCTAAAAATTTTAGAATGAAACAACCGGCTACTCAAATGTTATTTAGCTTTCCGCTTCATCCAGGCCACCAAAAACCCACATCTAGCCACTGTCCGATGCACTGCTCGTGAAACGTGTGTCCACATGGCAAAGCAGAGACTGTTGTCGGAGTGAATGCTGAGTAACAAATGGTGCACTGGCCGCGTAGAGACATCAGGCCTAAAAGATTCAAGTTCTATAAATTAGAAGAAACAAGTTTAGTGTCGCTAACGAAATGTTAGCTCTGAACCCACAACAAGATTTAATTAGGGATTCAACTTTCGCAAAATAAAAAGCTGTGAATGAATAACCTTGCTTATAATAACCAATAGAACGTGATACGATTTATTTACAAACGAGGATTTGAAACTGATTTATAAGAGAAACCACGATTTCGCGAAAAAAGAAATGAAACCACAAATACCGTAGATACTCTAATGGAAGCCCCCTCCCATAGGAGCGTCGCGTGATCTAAGTTTACTCTCAAACCGGGAGCGGGACAAATGCGATCTTTTTTTGGCGCACCCGGACATTTGCGCACCTTGCCCATTAGTAAATAGTGTAATTGAACGGCACCCCCTCGTTCAGTCGCCTAGTCTAATTTCTTTTAAAAATACATTTATTGAAAACCAATAATGTGATACAAACAAAGGGTACATAATAAGACATAAAGGTTAAACACACAATTTTATGGCACTGCGGCCGTTCTCACCCCTATTTACCCCTATTACCCAAATGTTGTGAAAGAAAAAACCCACTTGGTGGGAAAAAGAAACATTTTTATCTTGCCAGAGTGATTGAACCCTCGACCTTCCGCTTAAGAGACAAGACTCCTAACCGGTCGGCCATCTAGATTTTTAGAAAATCTTTTTTTCTCAGCCCCTAGATTTTTTTTCCAACTACGCTTTTGCTACCAAAAAATACTAGATTTCAAGGGCTATCATTTGACACACAAGCGCACACTGTAGCATAAAGCAGCGCGGAGAACGGAGCTTGTAAAGTGAGACTACCCGGCAATACTCCGTCAATATGGGGATGCGGCATTCTATTAGAGTATTTACGGCAAGTATTTTTCTTCCTGCTTTTTACTTTAATGGCATTTTAGAACGAGGACTTACAAGCTCGTTTGGATGATGTTGCTGCTAAAGAATCGAAGGCAAAGAAGGATCTCTATGGAAATTGATCGCCGGGTTAAACTAGAAACTCTTGTGAGAATTATTTTTGTTCGATGAATATATTATGCTTTAGGTTGCAACTGAAAAAAGGGCGGCAAAAAAGGCTACTCAGTAAGTTTGTGACAATGTGCATCAATAGATCTCTTAAGGAAACTCGAGTTGAAAGAGGCTGAATTATTGCAAGTTCGATCCATGCTACACGACGTTAATGAAACGAAGAGCGAGAACAAGGTCTTAAAGCAACAGCCTGAAGCGAGTGATTTGTGGGATTTGCAGAAATAATGAGTTTAATGAGTTACATTTAGTGACGAAGATTTATTCCGTAGAAGCAAGCCGGTTCAGGCCCTTGTGGCGTATATTAATATGCTACACGACTTTAATGAAACGAAGATCGAGAACAAGATCTTAACGCAACAGCTTGAAGCGAGCGAGTTGTGGGATTTGCAGAAATAACAGGTTTAATAAGTTACATTTAGTTACGAACGTAAAATGACTCAAGAGCTGGAAATGAAGAATAAAAGGTTAAAGTTCCCTTATAAAGAAATTACGTTTTACTTTAGAATTTCTGAAATTGAAATTACAGTCAAAAATGCTATTGATAGACTTTCAGGTAGAAATAACATGTTTTTTCTATTGTTTCTTTAGCTGTTAAGACCAAAAATGTTTCCAAAAGTGGTTCGGATGGACTTGGCGGCTCAATTCATGGTCTTGGTGATCGTGCTCTGACCCGTATCGGTAACTTGTTCATTAACTCACGTATTAATATAAATTTAAAGAAAATGCTCCTTCAAGCTCCTCGTCGGTTTTGGGTCGCTCGAGTTTGCCGCTTCAAAGCTTCGCTTCAAAACGTCCAGCTCCAGTTCAATCAATCAGCGAGGTTCCGAAAGCCAAAAAGGTGAGCGCTTACCATGTAATTAATAATTAATAGCAATCATTTAATCAATAATAAGAGGTTTCTATCACAGAATCGGATTTCTTTAGAGGGTCACATTCTTCTCAGCAGCAGAGTTTTTGGATTAAAAAGTCATATCATGGGACATTTTGCATTTTATTTATTTCTCATTCTCGCCTCTGATATTCGTATGTGATTGCTATTTCATGATCTCGAATGTACTATTTACTGGTCATTTAAAATTATTCGATTGTCTATTTGTCGTAATTTGTGCATGCAGACGAGGCTTTTTGAAAAAAGGCCTTTATCAATAAATTTTAACACATTTCAGTGCAAAAAAATTCTCGCCTCCGTAGAATCAAATGGTTTGGCAATAGAAACGATCAGACAATTTCTGCATTCCCTTTATAAAACGAGCTTTCTGAAGTTTGAACAGACGGATGTTCGAAAAGGTGTGAAAAATGGAGTAACAACAGGAAAGCTGATTGAGGCAACAGGGAAATTCGGGGGGGTGAAAAGCAAAAGGAAGGGCTCAGATTTCACTCCTTTCTTTTCCTGTCTTGTGGTCACCGCCACCACTTTGCGCACTCCTTTATTTCTCTCCATTCAAAGCGGTGATCAACGGGACAAAAGAGTGGACAATCAATCACTTAACACTCACTGAAATGTCAGAAGACATTGTTGACGAATAACTTTGATTCATTTCACTTTCAAAATTTATCAAACGTTGATCATATTGAAGAATTCGCGACCACCAATGAATTGAGCCGTTGAGCTATTCATTTTGCTTCTTTGAGAACGAAGAAAAGAAGGAAACTCGTTTTTCTGAGCAATCTCCTTTGAAGATCAAGATGTTCCGAGAATGGGGAGTGTGTTTTTGCTCAATTTAGTGCCGTCAACGGTTGTCGAAGTTCAGCCGGAGAAAAAAAAAACGACTAAATGGCGCTTGCTTCAAGGATTTCCACCTGTTTTAGATGTTTTTTTTTTGAAATTTACTCCTTCAATAATCTTAATTTTGGTCAATTTTATCAAAATACCGATCGTAACACCTGGGAATGTACAAATTTCTTTCTTTATTAAAAAAAAAATCGTGCACTTTGAACTTTTTAATAGAAAATAAACTTGAATTTTAGTATTTTCGATTAAAAAAACTATCAAATTTTTAATCTAAAATAAAGTATTATTAAATATTAATAAAAATAATAAAAAAGTATAAAGATTGTTTTGAAAAAAAAACCTAAAATTGAAAATTCTAATTCAGGTATTATGATACTTTCCTGGGGTAGGCTACTTTGCGCCAAAATTTTTTTTGCGCAACTGGGTCGTTTGCGTAACTCGCCATAACTTTCTTCTAAGTCGACCAATCTTTATGATTTTTGCTTTCATTTTGTTGCATTTATTGAGTTCTACAAAATGACACCAAAATCATAAAGATTGGTCGACTTAGAAGAAAGTTATGCCGAGTTGCGCAAACGATCCAATTGCGGAAACTAGCCTACCCCGTTTTTTTTAAAGTTAAGTTGCGCAAAAAATTTGACGCAAAGTAGCCTACCCCACTTTCCTAAAAAACTTTCAGCTGCCACTCCTAGATTCAATCTTTTCTGACTTGAAAGTCTTTGTTAAAATTTTCTTTTTTCCAATCATCAAATCAGTTTTTATAAAAATTCCTTGTGTTCTGTTCGATATTGTACAAATCTCTTGTTCTTTTGACCATTACATCCCGGCGGATAATAACCGCCAATTTTTGGCCACCATAGCAACCATTTTTTTTCACAATCCCCCCCTCAATCCTTTTTCTTCTATTGTGTGGCTTTTCTATTTACAGATTTGAAGCTGTAGTTTTATCAAAAAAAGGATAATTTCGGCTAACTGGCTAACTGGCTAACTTTGATCACTGGTTTGAATCAGACTCAGCAGGTGATTGTGATTGTTTCATTGTCAAGAGAAGTGAACGTGCACATTCTCTTCATTCTCTTTCCACTACAACTCTGCATCGCATCCACTTGATAGGGGGTAGGGGGATAGGGTAGGGATGGGCTCCGCCCTCCACCCCTTTCCTCTAACCCTTTCCAGCCCTTCCCTCTTCTATTTCATCCACATATAGTAGAGATCACAACGTACTACTTGTTTAAACCTTTTTCAAATCTATTTAAGAATTTTCTTTGTTTTCAATTTTCTCGAGCTTATTAGGAGTTTTTGAGTCTAACACCTTCAGTGCTATTCCCATTGTAGCCTCAGCAAGCGTTTTACAGGCTTGCTGTACCTAATCTGTACCTAATAACTGGGCATAGACAACATTTTAACGTATCTCTTTCAGTAATGAAACGTACAGTATGATATAAAGAGAAAAAACAACTGGCTCCTAAATTTTGATTTTGTGTGAATAATTTCTTCACCCATCATCACCGGTCAATTCGGGCTAATTAGGGATGAATCTGGGTGTTCTCCTCCCCTCGCCTCCCACCTGTGAAGCTTTTTTTCATTTTTTTCCGCAACCTACATTATTGATCAAATATCGTTTTGACAGATTTTTTTAATTCACTTTCTAGTTATTCATTCATGCCGATCCTGAGATGATACGACTTATTTTATTGCTTCTCTACGCGCCAAATTTAGGTGAGTGAAATGAATTTGCGATTTTCATCAATCCACCAAAGCTGGGTTTTAAAAAAACAATTGTGCTGAGTATCTGATTGGTGGGATTGGATAGGTAATTGAATCGAAAATCTTTTCATTCTCAAGCATCTTTATGGCAGATCGCTTGCGTTTACGCTTAGGATAGGCCTTGTGTGCGTACTTCGTACTCAAACTGAATCGCACCCTTTTTAGCATAGTCTATTCTTAATTTTTCTTGCGGCACTGATAATTGACGGCACCAGAAAGGGTGTGTTCCGATTTTTGAGTGCAAAGAACGTATACAAAGTAATGTTTCAATCTCTCGTTGGTAAATCCCGTTGATTTCCTCTATGTGTGAGTAAAAAGGCTTTTCTTTTTGCTCTAAATGGCTGGTGTTAGCGGATGGAAATGGATTTGACATAATTTCACTCACACACAAAGAGAAATTGAAAAGAGAAAAGGGGAAATGACGAGATGCGGCTTTCTCTTTCCTATGCTCGACTTCACTTCCCATAGAAATATCAAAGGTGACAAGTTTGGGGTTGATAGTGTGGGAATTGGGCAGAAGTGTATAGCTTTTTGGTTTTAACTAGTAAGAACTAGTAAGAATTGGGGATGAGGATTCAGCTAAAGATTACTTGTGACTATAGTTGAGCCAAGAGTTGAGCTTTTAGCTTTAACTAATAAGAATTTGGAATGAGTATTCAGTTAAAGATTACTATGACTGACTATGATTGATCGAAAATTTGAAAGCTAACATAGATGCAAAATCTAAAGCTAATCGAATGTAACAAAACTGACTTTGGCAATTCTGTGTTTACCATAATATCTTTAAAAGCAACAAAATCCACTTTTCAAAAAGTAAAAAGGTTATATTTCAAGCGCTATAGCGTATAATTAGAGCTTAATCTGTAAACCTTATTGTTAATTTTAAAAACAATATTACAAGTTTACAAATTTACAAGTTTTTTTCAGTTCCATTAGTGGCTTGTTTTCAAGAGTTACAAAAAGCACCTTCAACCTTGAGCAACACTCCAAATTACCCGGGTTACCATCCCCGTTTTTTTTCTGATTACTTAGATCCCTAGTACAACACTCGATTATTTACTCAACTAATTTCCATTCCTTTGTCACTTGTGTGAAAAGAGAAATGAAAATGGAAATGAGGGGGGAAATGCTTGTTCCTGTTTATTGTATTGTGCCCTTGGTGACCTTTTATTTTTTTTCTCTTTTTGTATAATTTGAATGATGATTATTGTGGCTGGTGAAAGAGAAAGAGAACAGAGAACAAGGGAATAATGGTAGGCCAAATCTCTGATATATGCACAGACTCGATTGTTGCCAGATCGGGCATAAATTCGGTAAATAAGCGAGTGAATGGTAGCGGTGACTTCAAAAAGTTGCGAGTTTGATTGTGAGGATCGCTTTTTTGGGTTTTAAGCAATCAAATAGATAACTAATGAGCTTTAGATAGATTCTGAAAGTTAAGAGCTGTATAACTATGAGTGTACATTGTGCATAAACCTGTAAATGCAGTTGTTCTGACGCACTCAATCCCCATTCGTCACTGATTGGATTTTGTGCTTTTTTACGTAAGCGTAATCTTTCTGGGGTACCAAATTCATTTTTAATCTTCTTCAAACACCAAACTGTTAAGACTATGAAGATCTAACGACGATCAGTTCATCAGAAATGATGCGTTTCCAATTCTAAGCACAAAGTACAACTTGATCGAGTAGTTTGGATTGATTCACTTTGTAGAGATCGATCACCAAATTGTAGTAAGCACTGTGTCAGCTGAATTTGTTCACGTCTTTAGTACCCTCAAGGCTTTCAAAGCCCTGAGACTAGTCACTCCCTTTTCGCTAAAGAGATCCACTGTTTATCCGCCATCTTGAGTTTTAGGAGGTTCCCCCTTGAGCACTCGTCTTTCCTTTATAGTGGAATTTCACCTTTATACCCTAGATGTCTATCAGTGTTAAATTCGTAGATTTGAAATTGCTGGCTTTAGATGAAATTCAACCCTAAAACTCCTTTATTCAACAAAGCTCTTTGATTCACTTATAGTTTTTCTTTTTTCTTAAACTTATTGAATCTCTTAATGCCCAAGTTTTCCAATAAGCCAATCCCTCACAATCAATCATAACCAACAAACAAACAAATAGCATAAAAACTTCACAAGGTCGTCTAACTACCCACTTTTTACACAAGAACCGACTCATTGTCTTTCGCTAATCTGGTGTATAATGTGCCAAGCATTGCTAATCCTACACGACAATACCCTGACCACGAATGGATCGACAATACCCTGACCGAATCCTATCGACAATACCCTGACCACGAATGGATCGACAATACCCTGACCGAACCCTACACGACAATACCCTGACCGAATCTTACACGACAATACCCTGACCGAAAACTCCTTTATTCAACAAAGCTCTTTGATTCACTTATAGTTTTTCTTTTTTCTTAAACTTATTGAATCTCTTAATGCCCAAGTTTTCCAATAAGCCAATCCCTCACAATCAATCATAACCAACAAACAAACAATCTGACATAAAGATGATGGATAAGCACCCCCCAAATAATCGACTTCTCGTGTGGTTTTTCGAATCCGCGTTGAAGCCAGGAGAGACCCTTACAAGGCAAATAGACAAACACCTTAGCGATGGATGAGAGTGAGGGAAAGAGGGAGAGGTGGGGTCCTATGGGAAAGTATTCAAGGAGGGGAGAGAGGGTTCCTCACAAAACAGGGATAGTCCAAAGCGGAGGGGAAAGCTTCCGGTATAGCTGAAAAAAGCCTGGATGTTGTTTCGGTTCGCAATGTAACACCTCGGTAAATAGCTTGAAACTTCGACTTGATTGGGGTTTTTGGGGATGCGAAGTTCACTGAAGGAGCAGATTTTGCTGGAAAAAGTGTTGGGCTAAACATCTTTGTTGTTGTTTTCTTGAACATCAATCAATGACAGAAAAAAATTGGCTTCAAAAGATTAGAAGAAATGGGTTCTTGTTAATTAAATATCTAAATAATTGCAAATATTTTGGTTTCAACTTTAGTATCAGAATATTTATGTATAACTTTTACCGTTCTAAGCTAATAGAATGCTTTATCAGCTTCAGTTTAATGTACATATTGTACATGTACATGAGTAAATAACATACTTTTCAAAATATCAATCATTTCAAATTCATAGAGACTCAAAAGTAAAGAGATCGTCCGCCAAAAAATCTCGCAATTGACCCTTCTTTCCTTTCTGCAGTCTTTTCAATAACTCTTTTCTCTTTTTTCCTTTCAATTCAACTGTCAATTTCAGTGGGAATCGTTCCATTGGCTGCTATTTTGTGCAAATTTCGAGGCTAACCCTTTGCTTTTTTTTGGGGTTAGAAAAAAAGTCCCCTCTCTCCTTTGATCCACTTCAAAAAAAAAAGACGGACCAATGTTGTTTTGGGTGAGAGAATCGGCGAGCATTTTATGCAAATTATATCTCGTTTTTGCATTGAAAATATCCCGAAAATACGGGGGTTTTTAGGAAAAAAAAAGGTCTAACTTTAAATGGAATTAGAGTTGTTTTTAAAGGATCAGCTAGGTTAAACGATTTGTTGATTAGCTGAGTCATAGCTATTATAGTCAATTCTTAGCGGGCAATCTAGGAATGCTCTCTTTGAGTGAGTACTTTGTGCTCTTAGAAGTGTAAACGTAGCTTTTCTAGTATGCTGAGTTGTTTACAATTTGCTTGAAGCAAAGCTTGCAAGAAAAACAAAAAATTGAGTGCACTGGAAAGTGCTTAAAGTACAAAGTACAAAGTACAAATGATTAACCTTGTACTAACAAAAGAACTGTAATGTACTATGTACTATGTCGTCTAACTACTCACTTTTTACAAAAGAACCGACTCAATGTCTTTCAAGTTGAGTTTTACATTCTAAAATCTATTCTCTCATCCCAATCAATTAGGCGAATCCCTCAATTTTCCACAGTTTCAAGGGTGGGCTAAGGAAAAAGAAGTTTGCCGAAAAACGGACACCGATCTACAATAGAGCAATTGGCAATGGCGCGGAAGAGAGCCACGAATTTCTTTTAACTGAAAAAAGAGAAAAGGATTGAAAGGAATGAGAAGGGTATGCAAAATGAACGATCGTCGATCAATGAGAGGAAAAAACAGGAGAAAAGAGACATGAAAAGAACAGTGAAACCGATGGGGATTCGGATTGGGAATGAATAGAGAGGAGATTTTTTAAATCATGTTATCAAAAGTTGAAATTCTATTGAAAATTCTCATTCAATATCCCTTTATAGAGAAAGAGAAATGCTATGAGATTCAGATCAGATTCTCCAAATCAGTTTCGGGCCTAGCTGTTTGACTGGCAAAGTCTGGACTGTCCAGATCCACAAGAAGTACCTGTTTGCTGTTTGCTTGATCACCTATTTGATCTATACCTGGACCGTAACTAGTCTTGGTCTTAGCTTTAGCTTTACTGCTGGACTATCCAGATCCACGTTTCGGTAAGTTTCAACCTTGTGTTTCATTTCATTTCTCCATTTCCTGTAAACCATTCACATCATAGGGTGAAACGATAATGCGTGATCGATTCTCTCTCCTTTCATTTCTATTTCCATTCCATATCGCGCAATCCATTTCTTTTCCCATCTACCATTAGATGAAAAGAATCCGAAAGAACTGAGCTGATAATGAATACTTTTCTGCACAAAGGAAAAGAAGGGAACGGAAGGGAAAGGAGTGGAAAAGTTTTGATAAAAATATGATCTAAGTGTGACTTTAGAAAGCTAGGAGAAATGAGAAAGCTCAAAATATCATTCATTATGATTTAAAAGGTAGTTTAATAACCGAGAGTTTACAAAAGAATCCCAGTTTTCTGAATCAACTTCTAGAAATTCTTTATTAGTTAAAAGTTAAAGTTAAAAGTCTCTGTACTTGATCTTTGAATTAGAATATGTCTATGGTTTGACCAATAGCATAAAAACTTCACAAGGTCGTCTAACTACTCACTTTTTACACAAGAACCGACTCATTGTCTTTCGCTAATCTGGTGTATAATGTGCCAAGCATTGCTAATCCTACACGACAATACCCTGACCACGAATGGATCGAGAATACCCTGACCACGAATGGATCGATAATACCCTGACCGAACCCTACACGACAATACCCTGACCGAATCCTACACGACAATACCCTGACCACGAATGGATCGACAATACCCTGACAATCCTATCGACAATACCCTGACCACGAATGGCAAAACAGGAGAAAAGAGACATGAAAAGAACAGTGAAACCGATGGGGATTCGGATTGGGAATGAATAGTAGAAGGAGATTTTAAATCATGTTATCAAAAGTTGAAAAAGTCGTCTAACTACTCACTTTTTACACAAGAACCGACTCATTGTCTTTCGCTAATCTGGCGTATAATGTGTCAAGCATTGCTAATCCTATCGACAATACCCTGACCACAAATGGCCTTTCACCAGGTACCCATTTCCCTTTGGATCCGCTCACCTGTCCCAGAAATCTAATCAAGCGCACTCAAATAGCCTCCTTTCCAATTCATATTTGTGAAGGTGACAAAAAAAATGGAAAAAGGGGCACAAATATGGATATGTACATGCATTAAAGTTTGATTGATCTCATTTTTTTGCAGGATAGTGATAGAAAATAGAATTCGGTGTCGGGAATGGAATTTGAGCTATTTTTGAGTACTTTAGAGTGAACCAAAGTTGAATTCAACATTTTAAGTAAAGAGAACAAACATTCAAAGGTTTAAAAACTATAGTTGATTCATAAAAACTATAAACTTTTATGATGTTCTTCAAAGATTAAAGCTATATCCTGGTTGTAAACCGGCTCAGAATACCCGCATCGGCTCCATAATTTGACTGTTTACCTTGGCGGGTGAGAATAATCATTGACTGGGATACAGCAATGTATTATGCTTGGTAATAATGATTCTCTTTCACTTCTCTATCGCTTCCATCCATTGTTAAGAGTCATTCTTTTGTGTTTTCATGGAAATCAAGTGTCTTTCCTCGTTATTCACCAGCAAATCCAGAAACACAACAAGTTTTAGAGTGCTTTTCAAAAATGGTTGGATTAGAAACTGGACTAGTGTAGTGTACATTCAATGCTTGGTAATAATGATTCAGCTATGCTATGCTTGCTAATAATGATTCTATCTTCAGCCCTCTTTTATCCACTTTTCCCGACTTAAACGTATAAAAATGAAAACTGACTGAGAAGTAGTTTAGTACAATGGTTAAAAACACTTAAACCTATATTTACCTAGTTTTACTTCCCCCTTAAGAGTGAAAACGATAAACTATCCACTTCTCAAGACTCTCAGCTGGAGATCGGCTTTTCTTTTGGTGCTAGTAGTGTTTAGTAGTAGTGTTAGTAGTTTTGGTGCTAGTAGTACAATGGTTAAAAACACTTAAAGTGCTTCTCAAAAATGGTTGGATTAGAAAACATATACTAGTGTACTGTGCATTCAATGTGTTGCACCAATTTACCGTTTTACTGACGTACCTTACGACTAATAGATCAATCTACCTTACTAAAGAGGCCATGCTGAATCTAACTTTTTTTTCTGACTGCCTGTACTATACTGCCAAATCTACAAAACTTGATTTACTTAAGCATACACCTAAATTCTTAATAAAAAGCTTTTTGAGATGAACTTTAAGTTCTTTCAATTCACTTTCAATTCATTTTCAATTCATTTTCAAGCTAGTCTTTCAATTGGCTAAACAAAGAAACGATCAAGAGCAAGATTGAGAATTAAAGCCACAAGGTGACTCTCACACCAAAAGAAAAGCCGATCTCCAGCTGAGAGTCTTGAGAAATGGATAGTTTATCGTTTTCACTCTTAAGGAGGAAGTAAAACTGGGTAAATATAGGTTTAAGTGTTTTTAATCATTGAATGCACAGTACACTAGTATATGTTTTCTAATCCAACCATTTTTGAGAAGCACTTTAAGTGTTTTTAACCATTGTACTAAACACTACTAGCACCAAAAGAAAAGCCGATCTCCAGCTGAGAGTCTTGAGAAGTGGATAGTTTATCGTTAACACTCTTAAGGGGGAAGTAAAACTAGGTAAATATAGGTTTAAGTGTTTTTAACCATTGTACTAAACTACTTCTTAGTCAGTTTTCGTTTTTATACGTTGAAGTCGAGAAAAGTGGATAAAAGAGGGCTGAAGAAGGGGTATCGGATGTCGCTTTGCACAAAATTTGCATAGCGCATCGCGGCATTGAGAATGGGAAGCTGAACAGGGAAAATAGCAGAGAGAAGGAATGAACTTCGATCAAAAGACATGAATTTTTCTTTTCTTCATCTTTTTGTTTACCCGGACATCTAAAATTTCTTTAAGAAATTGTTGAAATCGGGGGAAATTTTTAAAAAAAGATAGCTTTGAAAGATAAGTTTGATTAAAGCTCTGAAAAAAGAAGATCTAAATCTTAAATTTCAGTGAAAGCAATTGAGCGGAATTGTAGCAGCAACATTTGTTTGAATGGAGGGATTTGTCTAGTGAACGATGAACAGAAGAATTTCCACTGCGCTTGTCCGAGTGGCTTTGCCGGCACGCTTTGTCAGGTTGGCCATAAAACTGTTGCACTTATGCAGTTTTATGCCCAACAGCCATGAGGCTGTTGGCCATAAAACTTGTAAATCTAAAGTAAAGTTTAATAAGATCCCATATTCAGGAGATTTGCTCATTGAATTGCAACCAAGGCAAATGTGTTCGCGATTCGACCGGCAAAGAGCACTGTGAATGTGAGAATGGTGGGTTTGCTGGAAGTTTTGCTGAAACTTAGAATTACTGTATTCTAGATCTAGGGTATTGTATTCTAATTTTATAGACAATCTTCTAAATAAGTCTTTCAGGGTATCACGGGAAACATTGCGATATCGTCGGTGAGAGCTCGAAGTACTGTGAGAATGAGAGCGACTGCAAGAGTGGATTCAAGTGAGGGAATTGAGAATGTTAGACAAATTAGGATACTATCTAGGATTTGTATATGAATATTAAAACTATATCTACCATAAATACTGTAATAGTACCCCACCCCCCCTCGTACAGCCGCGTAGTCGCGTAGTCTTTAGTGTTTCATTTTTTGCAAAGCACCCGTACTTTCAAAAAATGCGTCTTTGGTATCAAAAAATAACCCTGAATTTCAGCTATTTTTTGATACCTAAGCGAGCATTGTAGCATAAACCAGTGTCGAGAAAAACTCGTTCAAAGCTAGACTACGCAACACTTCGCACCGTCATTATGGGTCTGGGGTACTATTACAGTATTTACGGTAGGTATACTAATACATTAAAACTACAACTTATCAATAAAACAGTAATACATCAACATCAACTTAAGGTGTATGGACAATGGAACCGGGGAGATGATCTGCACGAAAGACCCGTGCTCGCAAATTCCTTGCGCCTTGAATGCAAAGTGCATCGTTGAACAAGTAAAACTTTATGATAAATTTAATAAAATAATAAAATTAGATAAATTTAGCTTTTTATGTCAAAGTATAGCCTAAAGTTTAAAGAAAATCGAAAGAATTTCGTGAACAGAGTTAGCTTCTTTCTTCTTCAAAGACAATGTGTTTAAAAACTTTTGAGAGCGTTTGAAGAATATTTTAAAACTCTGATTTGAATATATTTACAATACTTTGAAATGAAAATGAAAAAAAATTGAGTGAGATTTCTTTATTTTTCCTTCATTTAAATACCTACCGTAAATACTGTAATAGTATCCCAGCCCCATAATGACGGTGCGAAGTGTTGCGTAGTCTAACTTTGAACGTGTTTTTCTCGACAGTGGTTTATGCTACAATGCTCGCTTAGGTATCAAAAAATAGCTGAAATTCAGCGCTATTTTTTGATACCAAAGACGCATTTTTGAAAGTACGGGTGCTTTGCAAAAAATGAAATACTAAAGACTACGCGACTACGCGGCTGTACGGGGGGGTCGGGTACTATTACAGTATTTACGGTAAGTGTTAAAATCCCTTCAGATCACAATTTTTGAATTCAAAAACATTTGAGAGCGATACGAAAAATCTATGTACAATTAAAAGTTGTGTATCTTAATAAAAATTTAAGAAAACTCTGTGATCTGGTCGATTTTTGAGTAAAATTTGATTGTTTTAAGTTTAATTTCTTCGAATTCTTTTTTATTTTCTTATTTTTTCTAATCAAATTTAGTAATTGAGTAAAATTCTAGGACGATTTCCGCTGTGAATGTGGTGCTGGATATGCGGGACGACTCTGCGATGCGGACATCAACGAGTGCGAGTTGGCGCCGTGCAAGAATGGAGGCACATGTATCAACACCGATGGAAGTTATGAATGCAAATGTCCAAGTGGATTGCTCGGTGGGTGAGGGAAAAGGCTAGCTAGATTTCTATTGAGCATTTGAGTCTATTCATCTCACTGGAGCCAAACTTACTGAACCAGCTTTGAATTTGACGTCACTTGCGTAAATTGTGCGATTCTTAGGTCCATTCTGTGAAGACGCTGCAAGTCAATGTGCTCCAAATCCTTGTCAAAATCATGGCCAATGCATCGAGCTGCTTGATGGATTCAAATGTTTATGTGCTGCTGGATTCACTGGAACAACATGCCAACAAGTGATTTGAAAAATTTTGCATAATATTTAGATTTCAGGGCGCTGCTGATTTCGATCCATGCTCTCAATCTCCATGTAAAAATGAAGGGAAATGCATTGTTCATGACGAGAAAGCGTTTTGTATTTGTTTGCCGCAATGGAGCGGAGCCACTTGTACAGAGATCGCGAATTGTTTAGTCGATGGTTTGTTAGATAAGGGAATTTAGCTCTATAGGTAAAAACTTCATTTTTACATGGAGATTGTATAGATCATCCTTGTCAAAACAACGGGAAATGCGTTCGAGGATTGGCAGTGAATACGTGTCAATGCGAAGCGGGGCACTCAGGGAAATGGTGTGAGACATCGGCGCTAAGAAAGTGGCCTGATCCCTGTGATGGAGTTGAGTGTCGGAATGGAGGTGGGTGAAAGAGATTAAAGATTGGCATTGATTTTAAAAGAAAGCTAAGGCTAAGTAAGAGAGGTTAAAAGTTAAAAGTTGATCATTTGTTTACAATGAGCGTTTTTAAAAGGTTGCTAATTTGGCTAAACTATCCACTTTCCAGGTTTTGTTTTGAAGCTGTTAGGGAAGGTTTGAATTTCAGGTAAATGCATTGAAGGAACTGGGGAATGTGAATGCTCTGGAGGATATACTGGGGAGAACTGTGAGATCTCAGAAGTCAAAGGCTCCACCATCTTTCCCCCATCGAGAACAACGAGTTCTTTTACAGTAAGTATCAAGTAGTTTACTTTAAATGTTGTGTAGTTGGTGCAGTGTTCGGATTGTGTTCATTCTCATTCGTGTCTCGAGTTGGAAACTGGTGCTTTATGTGTTTGCATGAAAGGATACACTGGTCCGACGTGTTTCCTAACGAATCAGGTAAAATTTGTATGGAATTTTATACAGAATGCTATTGCTTTCGGTTAAAAGTTAAATAGAAATTATATACCGTATTTTCTCTAATAGTAGTGCACCGTGAGCGTCGCCTAAATTACTCGAAATCTCGAGAACTGCTTATCAGAACCTATCGATGTGGGGTCGGAAAATGTAGCTAACGATGAGATCTAGTGGGGGATTAGAGTGTTGAGCTTCTGCAAAGCTTGAAAACCGTAAAATTGTCATCAACTCGGCTCGCCGGGGTCACTACTATTAGAGAAAATACGGTAGCTATGTAAATAATCTAAATGAATCTAGTATTTTCTATCGTAACTGATTTCTACTATTCAATAAAAATAGATTTGTGACTTGTACTGAAATCAATGAATGAATCAAAAGTAATCCCAGGCTTGTAACGAGATCGAGTGTGACTCTTCACAACAATGTCAAATCACTCATTCACTCAACTGGACAGTTGAAGCTGCTTGTGGTTGCCCGATTGGAAAAGGTTTGCAAGGAAAACAAAAGCTTTACTCAAGCCAAAAAATCTTATTCACAAAGTTAGGTGGGCCAAAATGTCAACAAGATGTCTCAGCCACATTCACTCAAGATTCCCTCTATGTCTACCAGAGTCCCTTGGTGATGATTGGGTGAGTATTCAATATCATTTTCTCATCCTCCACCTTTCAGTTCTTCATCCGGTCCATTACCATACAACTTGGCGTTGATTATTCGAACGACTGTCCCTGATTCGCATATCGTTTCTGGCGAGAATATCTTCGGACAACGATTATTTTCCCTTTTCATTCGGTAAAAATTATAATTCTATTACTTTTCAAATATAGAATAAGATCATTTTTTTTTCTAGAAACGGCCGATTGGTGGCTAACGTCTCTGGCACTGGCTATTTCAACCTTTTACCCATTGGAATCAACGATGGAAGCTGGATTCGTCTCGAGTTGAGAAAAACGAGAAACGTAAACAAATTTATGCAAATAATTTACTGATTCAGTTTTAGGATTTTTTGATACGAGTGATCGAAGAGAATGGATTTGAGGTTTTGTATAGAGAAGTGCCAAGAACGTCACAATTTGATGTGTTCACGACGAGGATTGGGAGAATATCTGGTGATCGACTATAGCAATACAATGATTATCTTCAAATCTAGAAAAGGAATATTTCACGGGTTGTGTCACTGATGTGTGGATTGATGGAGGACCGGTGAATATCGGGACGAGTAATCGAGCTGTTGCCGTTAAGCAAGGTTAGTTCTTCTTATTGTGTAGCTTTTTAAATGCCTGAACGTTAAGCCAGGAAACTAGATCCTGTTTTTCACCTGGATTCAGGTCCAGAGCTAGTCTAGCCTTGCCTAGTCTTGCCCTACAGTTCTTGAGTCAGCCAGAAGACATGCCTGGTTTCTGGTCATGCTTACGGTTTTAATATTAGTATTAGAAAGATCTGTGATTAAGAAACAAGTAATCAACTTCTAGGTTGTACCCGAGAGCCACAATGCACGGAGAATGCTTGCGCTCATGGCGGGATGTGTATCGATATGTGGTCGAGTTATCAATGTCGATGCAAGTCACCATATTTACCACCATCATGCGTGAGTTCATTTATTAATTGTTCATTTATTATTATTAACTCTTTTTGTAGATCCATCAACTTGACGGGTACACATTTGGCGCCGAAGGTACCCAGAGTCGAGCCGTTTTGACGGTAGACGCTGAGAATGCGAAGAATCTACAGGTAGAAAAGAACTCAAACAGTCTTCAACAATTTCTCAGGCGAAAACCGAGCTCCAGTTCTTGGTTCGTTCAAATCAACTCTCCGGAGCTGTCCTCTTTGTCGGTGACAACAATCAAGACGATGTGGGGACTTTTATTTCAGCTGGATTAGAAGATGGGCATTTGATAGGTTTGATCTTTGAATTTTATCGATAATCAAATAACAATCAAAATACAAACAATATTATTCAAATTACTCATCCGATTTTAGTCCGAGCTCGTGCTGGCGGGAAGAACGTGATGGAGTTGCAAGCGGAGAAGTTCATCGCCGACAATCAGCCGCATGTAATCCGAATTGAGAGAGATAATCGACATGTTTCGGTAAGAAAATAATATTATCTAAAGTAAAATAATGTATAAGAAAGTTTATTGATCACAAGTAGATTAAAAACAGTTGGTACTTGTCGGTTATATGCTGTTGCTACTGCTATACTGCTGTTGCTTTTGAAATATTATAAATAAAAAGTTAAATCTGCTCTGATCTCAACTTTTTATATAATAAAGCTTTTTACAATTATATATAGATTTATTTCCAGTTGTATATTGATGGAGAGTTGCAATCAGAATCGGAAATCCCGGTAAGATTCGATCATCCGTTATTCGTTGAAAAGGTGATCATTGGATCGATCAAGGACACAAATCAAGATGCTTTTTCTTCACCTGAAAGCTTTAAAGGTTAGAAATTAGAAAGTTAGAGTTTTACATCGGAATTTAGGTTTCTTGCAAGACATTCAACTAAATAGTCACTCGCTTGTGCTCAAAGGGACACCAGAGTTTGAAGTGAAAACGATTGGGAGTGTTCAATCGACGGATAATGTTTTACCGGTTGGTTTATTTGAAATGTATTTTGAATAAACGTAAAAGAAGATTGAATTAAGTGCAAAAATTTTAGGGTCTTGTCTCGGATGACGTTTGCAGGGTAAAGACGCCTTGTGCTCATGGGATTTGCACGAATACATTCAACGACTATAAATGCACATGTGAATCGGGATGGATGGCTAAGGTTTGTGAGATAGAATGATAGAAATATTTGTGAAGTTTTAGAACTGTGATGGGAAAGATTTCTGCGCTGAGAACCCGTGCCAGATGAAAGCTCAATGCATCAACACGCATGGAGGATATGTTTGTGAGTTTTTGAGATAAAGTTTAAATCAATTATAGAACTGAATAGGATAAAAGTTAATTTTGTGCTCTGAACGTGCAAACGCACTCTTTCTAGTGCACTCAATTCTCGATAGAAGTGTCAGAGGAATGCAGAATTCAGTGCTTTAGAGTGTTTCCATTTTATCTAAGCACAAACTTCAATTTTCCTTTCAGGTACCTCATCAGTCACTTTAATCAACTCATCTTTCATCCAATACGATCTTCAAGTACCAAAAGGAACTCCACAAGCAATGTTTTCAAGTCTAAACTTTGACATCAAAGCCGCATCAGCTGATGGAACGATTTTGAATCTGGTATAGCTTTTAAGGAATTTCAATCAGTAATCACTGCCAATCAAAAAGGATTTAAAAAGCTTCAACTCAAATCTAGATCTTGATCTTTAGCTTAAATCTTTGTATTTAGTCCTCTCCTGCTTATGCTATATCGTTGTCAAATGGAAAATTACAATTGACAGGAAATGGGAAGACACATTCAGTTAAACAAATGATAAATGATGCGAGATGGCATCATGTGAATATACAGGGAAATGTCATTCAGATCGATGAGAAGAAATATGGTAAATGAAAGGCAAAGCCGATGCCTAAAACAGATAAATTACTCAAATTCCTTTAGGCCTACCTGATTTCGCTCGTTTCACTGGTGGAACAAAAGTGGGCACACTTCGTTTGGGACAACAAGAAGATCAAGCAGGGTTCCGGGGTTCTTTGTCTAATGTGACAATTGGTGACTCACTTCCCTTGTCATTCTATCGACCGGAGAACTCGGGGAAACCAGCACAAAATGATATGTATTGGATGATCAAAAGTTGGAATAAGGTACTTGAAAAGGAATAAAACAGCTAAATTCTGGTGAGGAAATACTAGAACTACATAAACATATTCAGGTTGAACGATCTTTGATGGAGTCTCATTCGTGCGATGTGAACCCGTGCAAGAATGGTGGTCAATGTAAAGATCTGTTGGATCGATTTGTTTGTGATTGTGCGCCAGGTGAGTCACACTTTATTGGGGAATTGGGACCGATTCTCACTAAAAGCAAATTATCGTAATATAATTTTTTGATAGAGTTTTCTGTGGGAGTAGATAAAGTTATCAATGATTTATCGGGTGTTAAAAGATCAGCTTTTCAAATAATTTTCAACCTTTCATCAAGATTTTAGGTTTCTCGGGTGTCCGTTGTGAGATCAACGAGAACGATTGCGAGGGAAGAGTTTGTGGGAATGGTTATTGTCTTGATGAGATCAACAACCATCGGTTTGTTTTTTTTGATACATCTTGGCTGTATTAAATCCATTCACAATCTCCTAGCTTTGACAAAAACTATCTGATAATAAACTAAAAGAATATACTAATGGGTATAAAGCTTTTTTTGATTGCTTCTCAATGGCTTATTTTAGTTGTATTTGCGATGGTGATTGGAGCGGTGATGGGTGCGATGTGCCGAAAGATTTTTGTAGAAAAAATCCGTGTAAAAATGATGGTGTCTGTCAGAATTTGGTATATATAAAATTATCAAATTTCACCAAAGAAATCTTTCTAGAATGGTTCTTATATTTGCGATTGTCAAGGTGATTGGATGGGTCGTCAATGTGACGTCATCAAAATCACTCAATGCAAGGAGAAACCCTGCAAGAACAGCCGGAAATGCATTCAGAAAGGAGTAACCTAAAAGTAGAAATTAGAGAAAATGAAATTCGGATTTTAGAATAAATTCACATGCTCTTGCTTGCCTGGATATAAAGGAACACTTTGCGAAGAATATATTTCCCCATGTTTCTCAAGACCTTGTAAACATGGAATCTGCAAGGAAAGCGGCGACTCGTATGTCTGTGAATGTGCTTTGGGTAAGGATTAAAGCTTAAAATTACTGTAATTCTTTCTCTTAATTCAGGGTATTCTGGGAAAAACTGTGAGCGTTTGGTTCCGAGCTGTACAATGAACAATCCATGCTCGAGGGGACGATGTGAGAATGTTTGGAATGGAACACTTTGTCATTGTGATAAAGGATGGCAAGGGTGTGATTGTTCGGTGAGTGTTTACAAAGTCGTTCTTTTTTTTCTTCATCTACTTTTCACATTGTTTATTGATTACTATTGACAACAAAGTCATTAACATTTTCCAAAATCTAGGTTGACATAAACGAGTGTCTATCGATTCCATGCGAAAACGATGGTGAATGTTTGAATTCGGATGGAGGTTACACTTGCCATTGTCGAAAGTATTACCTTGGTGAGTTTAAAGTTTAAAAACTATCATATCCTAATTAAGTAAATAATGAGTCTACCAAAATTCAAAACGTCAAAAACAACTTTTCCTGGCTCATTTTTTTTGCGTTCGTTTTTTTTGCTTTGATTCAAACCCCTAAAATTTGGTTAAAACTATCGTATTTGTCAAAGTATTATAGGAAATTTTGTAGAGCTCAATAAGAGCTTTTAGATGCTATATAACACTTGTATATACGATGTCTACATCTAAATTTAGAGCCCCTTAAAACAGAGTCACTTTTTTCGACCGGATATAATTTACTGTTTCTCTTTGTATCCTAAAACTTGTCCAGAATACAGTAATCCAGTAATCTAAAGTAATACAATTCTCTTAGAATATAGTTAATCTGGAGATTTAAGCTATTTTCTAATATTAAAAGAATTTCAGGAGATCGTTGTGAAGTAGCTGGATCATGTCTGACCGATCCTTGCTTTCACGGGGAATGCCTTCAAATTCGACACGATGAACACCAATGTAAATGCATAAAAGGATATGAAGGGATCAATTGTGAGGTGAATATTTTGAAAAGAGAAATACAAATTTGAAATCAATCGAACTTTAGACTCGAATCGATTACTGCAAGAAGAGCGCATGCAAGAATGGAGCCACTTGCGAGAGTCTCCTTGGAGAATATAAATGCCATTGTATTGCCGGATTTTCCGGTAACAAATGTTGGAATGTTTTATTAAATTAAGTTGAAAACAACAGGAATCGATTGTGAAACGGATATTGACGAGTGTGCGGCAAAACCGTGTCAAAATCATGGGATTTGCAAGGATCGAGTAGCTGATTACGAATGTCTTTGTGATTCAACTGGATTTAGGTTTGTGAAACTTATTTTAATATTTATCTAGATAAATATTTAAGCAGTTTTTTTTGCATTATTTGAATAAAAATAGCTCGGAAAAGCTTCTAGCTGAAAACTTTTCAGTGGAAAGAACTGCACAATTGACGTGGACGAGTGCTTAGTGAAGTCGAATTGTATTCGTGGACAATGCACAAATCTTCCGGGTGCATATCGATGTCAATGTGAAGCTGGTGAGTTACAAAGAGAAAGGTACAAGAAAATGATTGTAATTTAAGGTTATGTTGGCACAAAATGCTCAATGAGAGATCCATGTCTTCCTGATGAGAACAACAAAACGATGCACGCTTGTGTGCACGGAGTTTGCTCGAATCCTGGAGTCAAGGTACTGTTGAAAGCTATTTCATCTGAATATCTGAATAATTACTAGATGATAATGGTTACTATGTTTACTTACTATGTTTACAGTACCTCTAAATCATCATGTTTTAGTTGGAATTGGGTCGAGAAGTGGCTACACATGAGTGCACGTGTAGTCGAGGGTATTCAGGACCGATGTGCTCAATAGAGGTGAGAAAGAGATTCTTGTAAATGAAGTACTTGTAAATAAATCAGCTGGATCAATTGAGAAAGTAAGATAAAGTAATCTTAAGCAAAAACAAAGATCAAATTTGGAATCAGCATTCAATTTTGCTTTGGTCAGTTGATCCAGTTAGCAAAAGGACTTTAGAATGAAAATTTAAGCCCAATTTAGTCACCCTTGATAGAGATTTAAATCCAAGATCCTGCAAGTAGACTTTAGCTCAGAAAATCTTACAATTAGTACATCTTTTCTAAACTCAATCCCTAATTTTTCTTGTGGTAAGAATTTGATGATCAAGGGCGACTAAATTGGGCTTAAAGTTCCATTCTAGAGTCCTTTTGCTAACTGGATCAGCTGACCAATGTTAAATGTTAAATGTTAAATGTTAAATTGAATGGACTAGAAAGAAAGCATTTGCACAGAGTTTAAATAATTTTTGTAATCTTTTCAGATGTCTGAACGAAAGCTAGCCGTTAGTTACATCCTTGGCCCTCTTGTTGCCGTTCTTCTCGTTCTTTGCCTTCTCGGTTGTGCTCTCTTCGTTTTCGTTCTCAAGGTTTATAGTTATTGCAATTCGTTTCTCGCCAACTTTAGAATTTAGTCCATTTTAGGGCCATGATGGTGGGTTTTAATAGAAAATTTTTTGTTCTTTATGTTCTTTAATGGATTGATCGATTAAATGGAAAGCTTTTAGGGTAAACGAGCCACTCACGGGCACTACAGTCCAAGTAATCAAGAGGTGACTGGAGCGAGATTACAGGTAGATCAAAAAGCACATGTAAACCTTGCTATAATGCTGCATTCAATTCTAATTTGTTCATCAAATTCTTGTTTTTTTTAAAGCTTTACAGCTATAGTTTTCTAAAATATTCAGATGTGATTGAATGCTTTAAAGAAAAGCTAAGAATACATTAAATACAGAGTGTTCTAAAAACAAATCAGTTTAGCGAGATTTTTCTCAGAATCTCTAGTGGCTTCTGGTGGTTATTGCAGTGCCAAAGTGAATATTTTGGGCGGGGCAAATTTTTGATAGTTTTTCAACTTTTTCCCGATTTGATGACTTTTCTATATGTGAAATTTCGGAGCCACCATAGTCACCACCACCATGTGATTTTGCCATAAAATTGAAACTTTCTACTGGTATCATAGTATCATATGTATTAGAGTTAACATATAAACTAAGATTTTCAATCAAACATTTTATTGATTAATAGCTCATGAGTAGAACTTGATTGCCTCTTTAAAAATTGCGAGCTAAAAGAGTTCTATGTACAAGTGATTATGGAATGTTCTAAACCGATAAAGTTTTTGGTTATAAAAACTTAGTTTATATGTTAACTCTAATATGATACTATGATACCAGTAGAAAGTTTCAATTTTATGGCAAAAGTCTAATTGATGGTGGTGACCATAGTGGCTCAAAAATTTCATGTATAGGAAAGTTATAAAATCGGGAAAAAGTTGAAAAACTATCAAAAATTTAAAATATTAACTTTGGCACTGTTGTTGCAACCACCAAAAGCCACTAGGAATTCTGAGAAAAATCGCGCTGAACTGACTTCTTTGTTTTGGAAAACCCTGTATTTTGAAAATTAGAAGTTGACAGCTGACAAAATTGGACGCGAATCTTGAACACAAAGTACAAGCATTGAAAAAATTCAGCAGCAAATTACAAAATTTGATTTGTAAACAAGTTAAGAGTAAAACTATTCATCATAATTCAATGTTTCCAGATGAATTCGATGATCAAGCTACCTCCAGAAGAACGCCTTATCTAATTTTAAATCCGATAAACTTGATAAATTGTGACCAAAATTCCTCAAATTTCTTGTCTTTCTCATTATTGCCTTTACTAGTTATTGAAATTTTCTTTTTTTTTTTGATATAATCTTAGAAATCTATCTTTTATTTAATAATTTGGGGTAGGCTAGTTTCCGAAACTTTTTTTTGCGCAACAGGGTCATTTGCGCAACTCGGCATAACTTCCTTCTAAGTGGGCTAATCTTTATGATGTTGGTCTCATTTTGTAGATCTCAATAAGTGCAACAAAATGAGACCAACATCATAAAGATTGGTCTATTTAGAAGCAAGTTATGGTGAATTGCGCAAATGACCCTGTTGCGCAAAAAAAGTTGCGGAAACTAGCCTACCCCAATCATTTCCATGTGTCAATGCTTACTTTTACTACGGGTAACCCAGTTTTTCAGCTAAATATCTTTAAATCTTTTCTTTCGCTAGAGATTTTTGTAATTTCCTTTTTTTTTCTTCAAGCTCAGCCCTGTCAGGCCCTATTTTTGAATAAAGATCTTATAAAATTACAATTTACAATTAAAAAAATTCTGAATACTTACGCAAATTGTTCTCTGAAGTGTACAAAACGTGTAAACGCATACATTCTGACAAAATGGATTCAACATTTCTCTTGCAAAGAGATCGAACTTTCAGAAACAAGAATTCAGTGCACCAGAAAGCGTGCGTTTACACGGCACAGCACACAAAAAACATCTCATAAACCTATTCAGCAATGTACTTTAGGCTTTTCGAGTAGATTTACAGATTCAGTTCACCAGAAAGCGTGCGTTTCCATTTCCATAAGCACAAACTACACCTCAAATCTATTACCTGGCAAATTCTAATATAAAAATGAAATAGTTTTGAGCTCTTTTAAGAGCTACTTGCGAAATGAGCAAAAGTTTATTGCTTTAAAAAAAAAATCAGTACTCGTTTAAACTTAAGTGCTTTTCAAATACCGTATTTTCTCTAATAGTAGTGCACCCAAAGCTTCGCCTAAATTCCTTGAAATCTCGAGAACCGCTTATCAAAACCTATTGATGTGGGGTCGGAAAATGTAGCTGACGATGAGATCTTGTGGGGGATTTGAGTGTTGAGCTTCTGGGAAAACTTGGAAACCGTAAAATAGCCATCAACTCGGCTCGCCAAGGTGCACTACTATTAGAGAAAATACGGTATAATATTAACTATGACTAGAGAAAAAGGCACAAAATTTTCTAGAAATACCGGGGAATCAAAAAAAAGGAAGCTCACCAATGATAAAGTGATAATAAAATCGTTAAAAATTCAATCTAAAAGGGATGAGATCATGTAAAATGAGGAAAAAAAAACAACCGAAACAAAAAAAAGTGCTTTGAGAGGTGAAAAAGGGCAAATTTTTAATCGAATTTTGCTATAGGATCAATTTATGGATTAAACAATAAATAGATTCATTGAATTTCTATAATCTTGTCATAAAAATGACATCCTCATCATCACTCGATGCTTCACTGTCAGATCGAAGAACGGCGTTGATTGCCGGCTTTGGAAACGGTGTTCGAGGGTCCTCGATTTCAGCCTGAATTCTTTTTCTTCATAATTTCTATATAAAAATATATAATATACAATAATATTTAAGAAATTCTCTTTAAAAATGACCGTTTTATTACTCCGACCGAATTCAGTTGGTGAGAGAGGAGCCGCGCCGATTGGTTGCTGAAAGCAATAGTTTAGATGTTAAAGTTACAAGGTTTTAAATTCTTGAATCTATTCTTTGATCTTTAATCTATATCTATACCTTAATAGGAGTCTCAGGTAGTCGACAAGCCGGCCAAATCACATGTTTTGCAGTATCTTTGTATCTTAGCTTAATCCTTTTCTTATCTTCAGCGCTCATTCCATCTGGAGGCATTCCTTTTGCGAGAAACTAAAGAAAATTGTTAAAAAATCAATACTTTATCAGATTTCAATTGTTAGTTTTCTATTATTAGTCATTGAGATGATATTTATTGAGAAGTATTAGTGTTGGAAAGTTTCGTTTTATATTTAAAAGCTGGATTAAAAGTTTAAAAGCTTAAAAGCTATATTTAAAAGGCTAATATGGAAAGTTGTAAATTGAAAATAGAGATCTAATAAATCTAAATAAAGATCTTTTAAAATTTTTATAAAAAGTAGTGCTTGTTGGTGTTTCGAAGTGTTTGACAAAGCGTTTCAACATTTTCGGAACACTGAACACATTAGTCGAAATGATTATTCGAGTGGAATGAGTGCTTTCGAAAATTATAGAAATTCTGTATGCAAATTATGGAAAGGTTTTTAAGAAAACTCTGAATAAACTTGTTCTTTCTGTACTTTGAAATGCAGCCTTTCTGCACTTTAAAATACAGCGGTTCTGTACTTTGAAATGCAGCCTTTCTGTACTTTGAAATACAGCCTTTCCGTACATTGAAATACAGCTTTTCTGTACTTTAAAATACAGCCTTTCTGATGCATTTTACACGAAACGAGAAAATTTAACCGTACCAGAAGGGGTTCATTTACTCTTTTGAGCACACAAAAAAAACACTAATTCAAAACTCTACCAATTTCTCACTGTTGTCAGTGTTTCGACGCTGGAAAACTTTAAGGAGTTTCATAGTGAAATGCCTAGAAATTAAAGAGATATTCAGTTAAAGGATAAAATGAAGTAAAGTGAATGTAGTAAAAAAAGAGATTTCTTTGAGAAGTTCTGTTAAAAAGAGAAAATGGGAATTCAATCCGTTTTTTTTGAAAGGGAATCTTAGAGAGAATCGGATTTGTTCTGAATTTCAATGAAGATTTGGTAAGATGAAAAACTTTTTCAGCCTTTTAAATGTTATGGAAAAGGCTGTGAAGCGCACAAACCTTGGACTTTACCAGAAACGGTGTGTTTCCGTTAAAATATAAAGATTGTTATGAAAAAAAGCTACAATCTCGTTGCAATCGTTTAGTTCTTTCTTTTAGGTATTTGTCGAGCTGTGCAGTGAGTGCTTGGTGTCTTGGATAAGAGCTAAGTCAGTCTAACAGCTAAGTCTAACAAGAAGCTCTTAGACCTAGCATTCTCCCTTAACTGGTCTAGCAATTGGATCTGCTTTAGAGCCTATTTAAAGCCTGCAAAGCCTTGTTTAAATATTTCTGACTCAATAAAAATAGCTGAATATCTTTAAATAAGCTTAAGAATTGTTTTATTTTAAAGCAGTTAAAGAAGAAGAAGAAAACAAATGAAAATCATTTTTAAGAAAGTAAAATAGTAAAATAGTCTTGTCAAATAGTCAAAAAAAAAGTAAAATAGCCTTGTCAATAATGTTTTTTTCTTTTTACTCACCCATTTACACCTCATTTTTTCACATTTTTTCTCAAACAACTGACTGGAAAAAGAAAAGAAAGAAAAGAAAAGAAAGGAAAAGAAAGAAAAAGAAAGAAGAGAAAAGAAAGGAAAGAAAAAAGAAAATTTAACGATTGAAAAATGAGCTGTTGCTGTGTTGGAAAAAGGGGGGAAATTTGTGAAGAGAACTTTCTGATAAACTATCACAGGAATTTCGTTGTTGATTATGTTAAATTAAATTGAAACGATTTGTTAAGAATAGGTTAATTTTTGAAATTTTAGAGTCAGTCAATTGCTCAAGCAAATGGAATTTTTAAAATCTATTTTTCTAGAAATTTTTATGATAAGTAAACAATTTTTACTTTTAAAATACTAAAATACTAACTTTATAGTGAAATCGAAAAGGAAAAGCATAATAAATCAGCTGTTTTTTTTTCAAAAACCCGCAAAACTACTGCAAAAGCGGCTGAATTCCGATGTATACATGAGAAAAAAGGAAAAAGGGGAAATCCGTTGCTTTCAACGCCGCGTCGAAAAAGGCAATGCCGCTTTTTTTTGCTTTTTTTCCCATCAGCTCTTTGAAATCTCATTTTGAAAAGGATTTCGGTTGTAAAAAAATTTTTAAAAAACTATTTATTTTTTAAAAGTTAAAGCATTTAGTTAAGCAATTCTTCATTGAAATTTCAAGAAATTTTCAGCAGTTTGCTTAGAAACTATTTGTAAAAGCTTGTAGAAGCTTAAAATTAGCTTTAAACTAAGTGTAAAAGCTTGTAAAAGCTTAAAATTAGCTTTAAACTAAGTGTAAAAGCTTGTAAAAGCTTAAAATTAGCTTTAAACTATTTGTAAAAGCTTGTAAAAGCTTACAATTAGCTTTAAACTATCTGTAAAAGCTTGTAAAAGCTTAAAATTAGCTTTAAACTAAGTGTAAAAGCTTGCAAAAGCTTTTACACTTAGTTTAAAGCTAATTTTAAAGCTTGTAAAAGCCTTAAAATAACAAGTTTTCAATAGAGAATTGTGAAAATATGACTAACTGTTTTTTTGAGTAAAACGAAACGAATTTTCTTTGTAAAGGCTTATCATTTTATCAAAAATGATAGCTTTTTCTTAAAGAAGCTTTTTCTTAAAGCGTTGTCTTCTTTCTTTTTCTTCTTTATTTTTCTTTTTCTTAAGCTATTATTGAAGTAAAAATTGGTGGGAAATTGCAGAAAATGTTTGAAATTTAAAAAGTAAAATGGTTAAAAAGCTGAGAAGAGTTCTTTTCAAGATTCAAATTTCAGGAATACCGTATTTTCTCTAATAGTAGTGCACCCCGACGAGCCGAGTTGATGACTATTCTCCGGTTTCCAAGCTTTTGCAGAAGCTCAACACTCAAATCCCCCACTAGATCTCATCGTTAGCTACTTTTTTCGACCCCACATCGATCGGTTCTGATAAGCGGTTCTCGAGATTTCAAGGAATTTAGGCACTGCTATCAGGGTGCACTACTATTAGAGAAAATATGGTAAATCTTTCCCAAGCCCAGGACTAGATTTAAGATTTAAAAAATAAAATGGTTAAAAACCTGAGAAGAGTTCTTTTCAAGATTCAAATTGCAGGAATAGTCTCGAAAAATTCGAGAACTTTGTAGTTTTTCAATTCAAATAAAGGAAAAGTCTTGATAAAGTTGTTCGAGAGAAAAAATGGGGTTTTTTAGATGGAGGATTTATTGCCATTTCATATGGGAACAGGGAAGAGTGTTCAAAAAAGGAGGCACTTCATAGCAAGCCCCTCTTATGCGAAAAAACCCCTATAAAGAACCCCTTGAAAGATCCCAGTTTATCAAATTGCTTTTTGAGATTAGATTAGATTTTAATCCTTATGAAAGATCTAGTCAGAAACATGAGCATTTCTTCACCAATTCATCTAAAAGATCCTGTTTGAATTATTGAAGGACTGAAGAAGCTAATACATCAAGAAGGATTCTCATTATTCAAAAGAAGAGTTCTAGATGAATTGGTGAAGAAATCATCATTAAACTTTTCTCTATCTTGTCAAAAACTCCAGAATCTACTCTAATTTTTGAAAGCATTTCAATTCTGCGATTTGTCAATTCTTTTTTTTGAAGGATTTTGAATTCTGTGGATATTGAGTAAGATTGAACATTGATCCATTTCCAAAGAAGATTTCAAGCTTTCAATGCTTTTATTTAAGTTTAGCAAACTTCTTTTCTTCACATTTCTTCACCAATTCATCTAAAAGATCCTGTTTGAATTATTGAAGGACTGAAGAAGCTAATACATCAAGAAGTTCTTCTCAAGAAGGATTCTCATTATTCAAAAGAAGAGTTCTAGGTGAATTGGTGAAGAAATGCTAATGTTTCTGACTAGATCTTTCTGACTTCATAAGGATTAAAATGCAATCTAATCTCAAAAAGCAATACATCAAGAAGTTCTTCTCGAGAAGGATTCTCAAAATTCAAAAGACATTCATGTTCTATTTGATTTCTTCTGAACGCAAATCAAATTTGATTTTAATTTGTCTCGAAATCCAAGTCTACAACAAAGCTCTTTGTCCTAGATTAGATAAAGACTTCTCAAATTTAAAAAAAGTTATCAAAAATGAAAAAGTTTAGTGTCAAAAAAGTGTTATAATCCATTAGCAAAGAGGATTTAAAGCTTTCAAAGCTTTTATTTAAGTTTAGCAAAAACTTCTTTTGAGAGTAAAGAAAAGTCAGAAAGAGGAACGTTCATTAAACTTAAAAGGTTATCAAAAGGAAAAGCTCATCATTAAAAGGAGTGCTATAATCATTATAAAGATAATTTTAAGCATTCAAAGCTTAGCTCAACTTTAGCAATCTGTTTTGCGAAGTACAAAAGGTACAAAAGGTAGAGTACTGGACAATGAAATATGATATTTGAAAAACGATCGTCACTTTCGCGCGTCTGTAACTCCTTTGTCTTTGAGTTTAAACTATTAATGCTATACATTTTCTGAAAGCTCTTTTCAAGGGCTACACAATGGTAATATTAGTATTTAGAAATGCGGTAAAGACAAGGGAGTTACAGACGCGCGAAAGTGACGATCGTTTTTCAAATATCATATTTCATTGTCCAGTAGTGTATAAAAGGTATAAAAGACCAAGTTAACAAGAAGTGAAAGGCAAAAAGTTAGGTAATTCTTAAACTTGGTTTAAGAAGAAGTTCTGTGAGAATCAGAAAAAGAGTGCTTTAGTCATTTCACCCGTTTCTTCATCTCCCAAGGGTCAATGTAATCCCTTTTTCCCTCCGTTTCCCTAACCCTTTCTACCCCAAATCAAAAAGAAATCCCCTTAGAGTCTTGTCTTCAATTTGCATTCCCTTTCCTCTATTCGATTTGGTCATTTCACGCCACCATTTCCTTTCTCTTTTCAGCTAACATTTGTCAATTTTAGACTAACAATATGCAAATTTTGAGAACAAAAAATCGGGAACAGAAAATTTTTCAAAATCTTTTTACCTGAAAACTCAGCGCTCTCTTTAGCAAACCATCTGATTGCTTTGATGTTGTTGGATGTTTGTTTGAGAAAATCGCTACTGAGTTTGAGCTGGCTCGCCAACGATCTGCAAGATGTAATCAATTAAACCTCAGTAAAAAGCTTTATTTACCGTAAACACTGTAATAGTACCCCCCCCCTCGTACAGTCGCGTAGTCGCGTAGTCTTTAGTATTTCATTTTTTGCAAAGCACCCATACTTTCAAAAAATGCGTCTTAGGTATCAAAAATTAGCCCTGAATTTCAGCTATTTTTTGATACCTAAGCCCGCATTGTAGCATAAACCAGTGTCGAGAAAAACTCGTTCAAAGCTAGACTACGCAACGCTCCGCACCGGGGCTGGGGTACTATTAGAGTCTTTACGGTAGGTTTTATAAGTTTAAGATAAGAATTTAAATGTGTTTATAGAGTTTTAACATAGAGATCGATCAAAATATACTGAGTAATGACCAATGTTTTAATATTACTCGTAAATATTACCTTTTATAGTAAATAAGTATTAGTTTTTAAGAGCTACAGCTCAATTAGAGCATTTTAGAGTAGAAATTAGTGAGGGTTTATCAATGAATAAATTAAAAAGCAATTTTGTATATAATTTTGAATCACCAGAAACACATAAACTCTAAAATAGAGTTTATGTGTTTCTTGCTTTTTATGTTAAAGAGCTGTTAAATTGTTAATTGTTAATTGTTAATTGTTAATTGTTAATTGTTTATTGTTTATTGTTTATTGTTTATTGTTTATTGTTTATTGTTTATTGTTTATTGTTTATTGTTTATTGTT